TTTAAAGGTTCAGACACTGAACTTCATACTTTCTTAACTTTTATAAACACTTGACATCCTAATAATGGACTATGGAAAAATCCACAAAAAATGCTTAACCCTTTCTTAGACACCCACATTCACACCACAAACAACAAATTTGAATTTGAAATTTATAGAAAAGCTACACACACAGATAATATCATCCCTGCATACAGTTGTAGTCCTTATAACCATAAACTAGCTGCAATTAACTCCCTAGTCAGTGCACAGACTATTGAACGTTCCTACAAATCATAACAATTATAATAGGGAACTAAGCATAATTAAACAAATTACGATTGCTAATGGTTTCTCTTTGACTACTTTACAAAAAATTATCAACAAAAAGAAAAATAAGATACAGTGGATGAATTTAACAACTTTGACTCCTATTACACAAAATAATTACAAATATATCGGTACAATTCCTTATGTAAATAACATTCCAGATACAATTATTACCATTTTCAAAAAATCTAATTTCAAAATACCTTGTAAAGCCTATCATTAAATATGTCTCTCGGCAACCATAAAGACAAAATTCCTCTTTTTGAAAATTCCGGTGTATACAAACTAACATGCAATACTTGTAAGGGTTTATATATAGGAATGACCAACAGAAATATAAATATTAGAGCTAACGAACACTTTAAAGAAATTAAAAACAATCAAATTTATAATACTAAATCCAATTTTGCTTCACACATATTAAATACTGGTCATGAATTTAAATTACCTCAAAATTTAGAGTTATTACACAAACATAATAATTATCACAATTTAGTAAATTATGAACTTTTAGAAATCCACAAAAATTTCAGTGAAATGATAATATCGTTAGTACCATATTCAATCACATATTTAATCTCGTTAGTTGAATTCATTAATTTAAATATAAACGTCGCTTTCATATAAATTCATATACAGTGAATTTTTTTTAAATGCGAACATAGGAGTTTGCATGCAATGTAATTTCCCTATGTTCGATTTAAAAAAAAAACCATCAATCTATGAGGTGTGCGCGGTTCACATTCCCAAATCGTGCAACTTGTGTGACTATGAACAGCAACTGATAGTCTTTATGATGAAGAGCACTCGGTAAGATTTTTTTTAAATCAGCCGTGTGAGGCCATAGTAACTTTAGGATAAATTTACGATAACTTGACTTCACATGGCACGCGCTGACATCGCAATTGATTGTGAACCAACCAACCAATTATTTGTAGGCCATGTGCACCTGGTATTCTACTAATTTGATTTATTCAATACATAAATGAAGAAAATAAGAAAATAAATAACAAAAACAATTACAACAAATGTTCGAACTGGCCTCCTTGACATTCTAAGCAATAACCTAACCGATTTCATAATTAAATTGGACGGCGGTATTTTAAAAAATGTGACAGCTGTCAATTGTATCTACTACTCATTTGAACTACTCAATAGATTGATGTGTTTTTTTTTAAATCGAACATAGGGAAAGTACATTGCATGCAAACTCCTATGTTCGCATTTAAAAAAAATTCACTGTATGTAATAAAGTATCCTACCTTGTAACATAGTTTATAAAACTTTAATTTTAGTGTTTTGATAATGGCCATTAAAATTATATGACCGAAACATATATATATGTAATACATAAATTTGGGAAAGACAAATATTTCTTAATTATACATCCCATATATAAGGATATTGATCATCCACTTCATTGACAACATAGTTCGCTGCAAAAATGGTAAAGAAAATGTGAATGTTGACTGTCTATCCAGCGCCCCGGTATTGGCGTTAGGGAAGCCTACAGAAAGATAGACAAAGATCTCAATGCGCTATGCGCTTAGATTCTGTTCCAGATTTTGAGAACAATTGCTGAGAAAACCACAGAAACCGAGAGTTACAAACCTCGTTACATGACCTCAAGAATAGTCGTCAAGATAGCCTCGTACCCCGTTTTTGGAAAAATACTTTTCCATTCAGGAAACCTAAACGGAAACGCTCGAGAGGCCGCCATTGAAACCACGTTCTCCCCAATTGCGAATTCTACGTTCAACTAATATAAACGTGCAGAAGATTTAAAAAAACTTGGAGCAATAAATTCCCTAAAGGTCGGCTCTCAGCCTTATTCTGCACAACGATTTGGGAAAGGAAGCGTTTGATCCCTCCTCTACGACCACCACGTGGGACCCCCAAGTACTATTTTCGTACTTTGCCTCCAAATCTCAAGTCTTCAACAACCCTTAGAAAAGGTCGTGACCTTGTTAGCCCTGATTACAGGAGGAAAACTTCAAATCATCTCTCTCATTCGATTTAATTATCTAACCTGATTGAAGGTAAGCAGAAAATTCAAATGGCCATAACAGACCCAATGAAAAGCTTAGGATGTTAGCAAGATTCAACCCACTCTACGTATCACTTTTTTTCGAGAAAGGCTGCTTATAAAAAATGTTGGTAGATCGTATAAATTAATATAATAATAGAATTAACAGAATAAAGATAAAGAGTGTTTCAAAAAGTTTGCGGGAACCTAGGCGGGAACTATAAATTTCAACACTGGCTCTAAATTTGTCTGGAACAAAAGCAAAATGTTTAAAGACAAATGGACTAAAGTTCAACCTACCAACGTCAATAGTAATCGTCAAAATCAAACTCAAATAGAAAATACTATTAATAGGATATGCCCTCCATGGTGTGAGACGGAACCTGAATATCTCCCCATTTGTTCAGACAACAATAATCTGTTTTTGATCAATTTGATTTTGCTGAGCTCAATACAGTTTTAGATTCAAAAAAAAATTCAGCAGCGGGAGTTGAAGGAATTGATTATGAAACAATAAAAAACTCCCAATCAAATACAAGCTGCTGCTCCTTGATATTTTCAATGAAATCTATTCAACAAGTTGTTATCCCGAATCATGGAAAAAGTCTTTTGTCTTATTTATTGATAATCCTAATAATAGAGGTGTTAGACCCATCTCCTTAACACCAAGTCTGTGCAAACTGTTTGAATATAGTAAAAAATAGATTAGTATTGTAAATATTACAAAATCCTTCCTAGCAGTCAATCAGGTTCTAGAAAAGGAAGGTCCTGTACTGACAATATAGTTTAGTTTACACTTATAGCCAGGGGCGGATTTAGGCAGGGGCTTTAAGGGCTGCGAGCGCGGGGACCCCATGCCGACCACTACAATGGGGATTAATAAAAACAATAAGTCCAATTGGTCAGTGGTTTTTCGCCTGCCGCTGTGTACAGATCGAGCATTACTGTTTCTGTGTAATCTGTGCTTTTTGAAATTAGAATCCTACTCTATTTCAATATTTTTCATTGTATTCATACTTAGTGCGTTTTCCTTAGACCTGTAGTTTTAAAAATAATTTTCTGAAGAAATAATAGAAATGAAGATGTTTTTCGTTAACCCGAAATTCCTTAAGTAGAGGGCCCCCTACAAATATTAGCCCAAGGCCCCCTGAGGCCTCGGTCCGCCCCTGCTTATAGCCGAACAAACAATAGGAAAGATTTAATTGCAGCATTCCTTGATGTGCAAGCTGCATATAATAACGTGCTCAGTGACTTACTTTTGGATAAATTGGCTGAAATAGGATGCTCTAAACTACTAGTCACGTTTATTAAATATATTACCAGTAATATAATGATTTTCTTTGATTCTCTTAAAGAGGAGTTTAAACTCAGTCACAAAGGAGTTCCACAATCGGTGGTGTTTTGAATGTATTTAATCTATGTAAGGGATATCACTGAGGGCGTTCCTAAAATTCTAACTATATCTCAATTCGTCTATCACATTGTAATGTACTGTAGTGATGGAAATGTTGAAAAGTCTAAATGTCATTTTCAAAAAGCAGTTAATATCACAAATGCAAATTTAGGTAAAATCGGTTTGGGATTTGAACCTGACAAAACTGGCTTTCTTCACATAAATTGTAAAAGAATTAAACCTGATGAAACAGTCCTAAATCTGTGTGACAAGGACATTGTCTCGTGTGAGTCAATCAGACTTCTTGGCATTGTTAATGATTATAAACTCAGTTTTATACCACACCTAAACTCAGTTGTATGAAAATGTGCTACTAGATCCAACATCCTAAAATTTATGTACGGCGTCAAATGGGTATCTCACCCAAGCACTCTATTAATCTTATATAAAGGTTTTGTTCGCTCTATTATTGACTACTGTAGTTTTGTTTATTTCCCGACAGTCACTATTCGTGCTGAAAAATTGGAAAAAGTCCAAATTGCTGCCTTAGGACTCAGGAGAACAACCCCAAACAATGTTGTACCTGAGGAATGTAAACTGCAGTCAATTGAAGAACGCTCAAAATGTTTGGGTAAATGCTATTTCACCAGAATTCTATCCAATTCTAACTTACCTTCCTTTCATACTATCCAGATCATTATTCACGATAAAAATGGCAATAGAAACACAATTAAATCAAATGAGAAACCTAACCTCTTAAAACAGTGCATACTGGTTGTTACTGATCTTAATATAAAAGGGGTCCGTTAACTTGGCCCCCCCCCCCCCCACTGAGAGATTTCATAGTCGTATTATTTTGAAATGAATGCGCTCGTTATGCGCTCATATGCGCCACCGATAATAACTCTTGCGCCATTATCGTTTTTTAGAAATCCGAAAAAACATTTGGGGGGGCCAAGTGAACGTAGCCCCCCCCAGTACGTATTTTGTCCCTTGTAACTAGGTCACCTGATACATTTGGTTATGCGCTCAATTGAGCCACTTGAATTAAAGCTAGCGCCATTACGGTTAAGCCGTGACAAATTTTCAAAAAGTGGGGGGGCCACACGTTGTTAAGTTCTTAGATGCGATCGGTCGGCCAATTTAGTTATATCTACTAAGGAACTACTATGTAAATATTATTATATGTATATTTAGTTTTTCTTTAATAAAGGATAACTTATATCTTTAAAGCTCCTACGATCCTTGAAAAGCTTAAATAAAAAAAAAGTATTCGAGCTTAGTTTATTCAGTCTTTTGAGTTAAGTTCATGAATAGCGTCAATATCGTCGCCTTTAGTATTTACATTGTAATACACTGATGGTGGTGGTTCTTTTCGTAAAGCGAAGTGCACCATCGGACTTAAAAGATTCTTGTTAATTGTAACGTTTCCCTTTTTGGTTAATAAGCTAATGACCAACCCCACAATGACCACAGTTGCGGTGCTTACTGCCGAGTAGTACCAAAACGAAACTGTGTACAGTACAAAGATATCGTCACTACTGCCGACTTTTCTAAAAATTCAAAATTAAGAAACTCCTAAGTACGATTTGCAATCATACGCTTGTGTTATAGTGAGATTAACAAAGGGGGTGCATTTTTCCACCGACGCTGGCTTTTCTTCAGTGGGAAGTAAACCTTGAATTTTGTACACCGTGTTCCCAAAAGCGATCCATCCTGTAAGTAAAACTCCCGCAATGCCCCCCAGTAACGTCCCCTAAAGACGGCATGCTAGGGTATGACCAAAATCAAAATTATATTACCTTCGAATTGGCAGCGGGTACTAATACACCTAAAATAAATATACCAACTAGCGGTCCACCAAAACTGCCTTGCAAGGACAACGTGAACGGATAAATTCCCCCAACCCGTTCCACTAAAAACGCCATTAAAATAGTCAAAATTCCCAAAACTGCAACGATCGCCTTTATTATATTAGTGTTCTGCCTCTGTGTGGTGTTTTTGGAAATGAACGGTAAGATGATGTCTTCGTAGATTGTGGCGGCCGTCGCGTTTAAGGTGGACGATAAGCTACTACAACGGGGTTTAACGTTTATAAGCTCTGTTTCGACTCACCTGAGTGCGGCACTAAACATTCCTGCAATAAATAATCCGGGCAATCCCTTGATGCTTCCGGCAATGTCCAGCACAAAGTACGGCACTAACTGGTCGATCTTTGCAATCTTGTGTGACTGCAGTACGTCACATTCGACGTATTTGGCATATGCTACGTTACCGATTAATACCGTCATCCACTTTAGTGCAATGTGACCGACCAGATGTAAGCAAATGCATTTTTTAACATCTTGAAATTTTTTGAGGCCCATGTATTTTTGAATCGCGCCCTGGTTCATTGTTAATGTGGACAGAGCGAAGAATATGTGTCCAACCATTGGCCCCCATAGGGGATTTCTTGAGGTTAAGTCAAAACTGAAACTAATTCTTTTACGTATAGTTTGATCAGAAACCGCAATTACTTAAAAATTTCCCATCTATCTCCACGCACAGCTATGGCCAAAGCCTGCCACAATCCTCCAACTGAATGGGCACCGATACCAACAACGGCAATTACCGATCCCACCATCAAAACAAACTGAAGCGCGTCCGTCCATACGACTGCCTTGAATCCACCAACTGTTGTATACAGAGTGCACGTTAGACATGTGACTACTGTTATTGCGTGAACGGGAATTCCGGATACTGCCCAAAAAGCCGTTAACTTTGACACACGCACTGGAAAGACTCACCTTGCGAGAATGCAAGTGACGGCAAGTACAAAACTAGGGGTGCATAGCAGAGGGTCGCGCACAAATTCAATACGGAGGTAAGTCGACGAACATTTTTGTCAAACCTCTGCTCCAAGTACTCAAATATACTAACAACCTGCAAGTTGAAATAGATTGGTAGAAATATATAGTATGTTGCCAAAAATCCAATACAGTCTGCCAGAAGTGTCCAAACATAATTCGATCCGAATTTGTATATATCGGCAGGTACCGCCAAAAATGTGTTGCCGGAAATGCCTCTGTAATAATGATTGTTTTAGCAGGCGAAACTGTTGGTACTTACGATGCGACTAGAGATATTGCAATAGGTAGCACGTTAACTGATTTGCCTCCTATTAGATATTCCTCCGTTGTGCGAGGCTTATTCTTGGACAGCCCAAAGTAGGCACCTACCAGAAAACTTCCGAGCAAAGTTAGCGCGAACAAAATGTAATCAAACAAAGACAACAGTTTTTCGTCGCCATCGCCAAGCATCGTGGCCGTTGATTAATAAGGTGCGGTCCCACTAATTAAACTAACAGTTTTTTTTTATCGACAACTACAGTAAGGGGAACTCTATTGTAGATACACTTGCGCAGCGCAATAGATAGATAAAGTGAAGGTCCAAGTACTTTTACTATCTTGTTTGTATGAATACAAGAGGGTAATGCAATCATCCGTTTTTCATACCACAGTTACAGTTCAAAGATTTAAGTTACTCTTTGGCTTGGTTTTGTTTTTTTCTCCCATCGACACTTTCGAACTGCAGCACATAGTTCAATATTAAGGAATCTATATCGAGGGCACGGAAATGAGTAGGTAACTAAAATCTGTTTTATTATAAGAACCGTTGAGTGAAGGAATCATTCACCTCACCGATGAAAAATGTCATTCGTTCAAACTACTGTTTTTGAACCCCCCACCAGTCACCACCACCACCAGTACCTGAGGTATGTGATAGGCACAATGTTTTCCGTTTCCTTTTTGCACTTCTGAGGTATATGAGATCGTCAGCAGGTTTTCGCGAAATTCCACGGCAAACAAATTCAACAAATATATTACCCCCCCCCCCTTCCCCATTCGTTACTAAATTTTAAAAATCGTAGTTTAATTTTGTAGTCATCTGCCGGTAAATCGTTCAAATACAAAATACTTGTGGAAAGTTACATAGCACTCTACGTCCGCAAAATCTCCCAAATACTCTAAATTATCTAAACACCCGGTCTTTTAATCTCCCCCCCCCCCCCATGTACGTATAAAAAAATTGAATTAACACTCTGTACCACTACTAGTCTTTAACCTTCCCTTAGCACGATACATCTAACCGTGATGTCAAGATAAAAATTAATTAAACTAATATTTTCCTAACTTGCAATTGAATTCCAATACACGTAATTGAAACGACATTCCCAATGAAGCTTCTACGTACATAAGAAAACATTACATATGTGTCATCCCTAACAAATAAACAAAGCCACATACCCCTAAATACGACCCTACCTCAACTTATTTTATAAACCTTGCAAATTGCGACTGTGTCAGTGGTAACTGGAAGGTTGGAATTTTTCATGTGGCAGAGATGGGCATTTTTTAGACCAGTTTCGAGCATTCCGCCGACTACTCTGAATTAAGTTTTCCTGCAGTTTTTCTAATTCGTAAGGTAAACACCGGGGTAGTATAGAACAACTTAAGAGCTTCTGCAGGGGCACCTCTAAAAATCATTATGCGGCTCACTGTGTAATTGGGCACAAGCCCAGACCAAGAGAGGGACATTAAATAAATAAATAAATAAGTAAATAAATAAATAAATAAATAAATAGATAAATAAATAAATAGATAAATAAATAAATATAATAAATAAATAAATAAATAAATTCAAGTTGTGGTGACATTGACAAGCAAGTAATACAAAACAATTGCCCTACATCCTATGCTAGTAAGTTACAGTAATTACAAGGTAAAATAAAGGATACATTTACGTAAATTTGCGAATCAAAGACATACACATGCCACAATTATTCTACTACAGTGGATAAAAAAATCCATATCGCCGCTTTCTCCTTTTAGCTCGACCAACAAAGCATGATCCGTACCCGCGCATCTTCGTCCTTGTGCAATTTGAGTTGCCAAACAAAAACATTTACAACAGCGTATCTTGCGTTTCTTTTATTAAATGAAATGCATAAAAGCGGGAACGATAAAATTCAAAAACTGCCAGGTACATTACATCACAAGACATATCATTATTATTTCCATTTTATGAGAATTATCAGTGGAAGAAATTGAACTGCGTATACTTTCATGCGTCTTAATTTATTAATTACAAAGTTAAAAATTTTTAAATATTCATAACAAATAATAAATTTCTTCCATGGGGATCGCAGTTGGAAGCGTCCCCATTATACTTGCCGCATTGCCACGTTGTATAGCAATACTGATTTTTTGTTTTAAATATATTTAAAACTAGTAGCTCGAGGTTCTCCAGTAATACTGGCAATACGTTTTCCTAAACACTCCACAAAATTACGAGCCTCTCTGCACCAAGGTCCCAAAGTCTCTACTGCGAAAGGTATAAAAAAATGGTTCTGTTCTATAATTGAACAATATTTCCTTATTTTTATACCTGCCGCAGATTCAGCTACTGCACCACCCGTTTTACTTGATAAATTAACATGGGATGGTGCTAGACTGTCGGTGCATGTGGCATCCCAAACTAGCATTTGTCCTTTGGTCCAAGGCACAAGGGTCATTCCATCAGGACGTTTATTGTCGTCACGTCTTAGGCCTACAGGTTCCAACACAGCGGGGATTTTGCCGATGCAAGTGAACGATGTATTATTTCATTCAAAGATGAGTGTCGAGAATGTCGACCTGCGCTCATCGACAAGATAGTCCGTGTATTCCACTGCTGTCTACTTGCGTACCACAAATGCAAGTATGAGGAACGCAAATGTTTGTTCCAAGGCGTAAACTGATGGAAATACGAAACGTATTGTTGTCCAATAACAATCCAATGGTTTTAGAGGGAAGTGTATTTAACCATGCGTTAGATTCTGGAACCACCGAAGCTTTATATCTTAAGGAACGTTTATTTAATGATTTAGATTTGCTTGTTGAGAATGACTTATTACATTGTTTGCTAGGGTAATGTTTAATTATCTGGGCAGTAGGAATATTTTTTATTTCGTTTAATTAAGAATCAGGCTTTTATTCTTTTTGAGTCTGTAAGAATTTGTTAGATTTCATTATTTAATAATGATAAATGTATTAAGTTACAAGAAGTAGGTTTTACAGCTTAGTATCGTTTAAGTTTTGCCGAAAGAAACATTTATACATGCTTTTACAAATTACAAAAATGTTTTTAACTTGCACAATTAACACAATTAAATCTTCTCGTTAACAGTCACGTCATCTGCATTGTAAGAAACGTGAGGGTATGTATCCGTGTGTAAGAAACGGCGAACCATCGGATTCACAAGAGTAGGATTAATTGTACCCTCTCGTTTCGTAAAGCAGCTAACAACAACTCCTACTGTAACAGTTATGATTGTGCCAGCAAGTGCATAATACCAAATTGCGATCCTATATAAGATAAAAACTTCTTCTTCACTAGTATAACTCCTAAAAAAATATGAGCTACCTACATAATATCTTCTGAAATACGTACGTCAACGTGCGGTTCAGTTTAACATCGCATTGCGCTATGGACAAGGGTTTCCTTTCATTTCGTAGCAACCCGCTGGTGGCATACGTTATATTTCCAATCACAAGCCATCCAGTTAATAATACAGCCGAAATGCCACAAATCAGGGCACCCTGAAATTTGTAGCCTCGTTTCTAGCTTATTCACAATATCGCCCTAGGCGACTTACCTTGCTATGCACGCGGAAAAAGCACACCTAGTGTAAATAAACCCAGCAACAGTGCCCCAAAGGAAATATCCCATCTTGTATGACAGGTCCCTATACTGCGGGGTTTGGATCTAACCATTTCAAAAACGAGCGCAATGCAACATGCAAAGACTTGAGTTCTTAGATTACCTCAAATTCATCTTTATCCGGACGATATAAATCAGTTTGCGAGGATCGTTGAAGTAGAGGGAAGATTGTTAAAATTTTGCCGCACCAAACTCAAATTGCCGGGTTAAATTCTGGAATAAAAGATAACAAAGCCCAATTAACCCTGTAAATCGTAAAGTTTGAGTTCATATAAAAAGAAAACAGTTCGTGCTTTCATTTAGTATAGAACATTTCCGATTACGAGTAAATAGAGTGAACCCAGGAGAGCAGTTTCAACCGCAAAAGGAGTTCTTTTCTTTCCAGTCAAGGAGTACACTATTTTGGATACCATCATATGTATAAATGGCCTCCCGCGTTTTTATTATTTGCGAGTAACTGATCTAATCAATCAATACACTACAATTACCTTTCCGATTAACAGGAGAGGTTTGGGCACCCATAATTTCCGCAGGTGCTAGCCGGCACAATTTTGATAGTTTTCACAGTCTTATGGAGTTAGGAAGGAGGGCAGGTTGTACCAACCCTTTATGTAATACCCCATTACAGGTTCTATCTTTCTTACTTTAAATAGAACATCCTGTATTTTATTGCATTTTTGAAATCTACATGAACATTTACGTCGTTTAAGCCACATTTCCCTACACAAATTAACGATTGAAAATGAGCCGTCTAAATGCTTTAAATGATTTCAAATTCCAAAACGGGACGACCCCTAAATGTACCCATTACTTGACGATGACGACAACTCGACATCCAGCTGCAATAAAAGCTCTCGTTACAAACCGAAAATGAAACGATCATGATAATATTTTCTTTCGGTAGATCAAGAAAAATTATGTTGGTATGCAAATTTTCATATTTAAATTATGTTGTATTTAAGGGTGGAGGAGTTATGGTACACAATTTTGTGCAAGGTTTGTAAGCACGAAACCATACCATCAATTTCCATTATATACTTGATGATCATATCATTACTATTTCTTTGGGTAAGGCAGCATAATTATGGCGATTAGTAATAATAATTACCTATGCTCCTGTTTGTCAACAGATAACCCCACCCCCTGCAAATAAGTACACGCAAAAGTATGCACACTAATTGTTTTCAGCCAATTAATAATTGTTTTAAGTTAAAAACAGTACATAGCTTACCTACCTTCTCAGGCCTAAATGCAAATCATCTAATCGACACGTACTTACCTACTAAGATTGATACAGATGAAGAATTAGAAAAAAAAACAATATACCAGGTATGTTTATTTAGCATAGAATATTCATTTACCTAGGAACAGTGGCGTATTTAAATTTTTTGCGGGTTTCTTTTATGCAGGAACTATATGCGCTACGCTTAGGTAAGATCAAAATGGAACTTGTACTATCCGTATGCTCCCCAGTACTTTATCTTCGTCATTTAATGCGACCGCCACCCTCATTTACAAGGACTTTATCGTTTCGTTCCTTTCCCAAACTACATCTCATCAAAGAAGGACTACTATTATTAAGATGATTGTCGTTATCCTGGGTATAATGATCATTTTACTGGAACTCATCGTCAAGCAGGTCGATGGGGTATTTCCTTTTGTCACGGCGTTGGTCAGTCTTTGCGGGGCACCTTTGCTGGGTTTATTTACACTAGGTGTGCTTTTTCCGCGTGCAAATAGCAAAGTAAGTCGCCTAGGGCGATATTTTGATTAAGCTAGATATTTCAGGGTGCTCTGATTGGAGCCGTTTCGGCTGTATTATCAACAGGATGGCTTGTGATTGGAAATATAACGTATTCCACCAGAGGGTTGCTACGAAATGAAAGGAAACCCTTGTCCATAGCACAATGCGATGTTAAATTAAACCGCAAGTTGACGTACGTATTTCAGAAGATAGTATGTAGCTCATATTATTTTTTTAGGAGTTATGCTAGTGAAGAAGAAGTTTTTATCTTATACAGGATCGCATTTTGGTATTACGCGCTTGCTGGCACAGTCATAACTGTTACAGTAGGGGTTGTTGTTAGTTGCTGTACGAAACGAGAAGGTACAATTAATCCTACCCTTGTGAATCCGATGGTTCGTCGTTTCTTACACACGGATACATATCCTCACGTTTCCTACAATGCAGATGACGTTATTGTTAACGAGAAGATTTAATTGTGTTAATTGTGAAGTTAAAAACATTTTTGTAATTTGTAAAATCATGTATAAATGTTTCTTTCGGCAAAACTTAAACGACACTAAGCTGTAAAACCTACTTCTTGTACCTTAATACCGGGTGATCGAAAAAAACTGCAGACAATTTAAATTGGGGCTTTAAATTTTTAGTGTTTTTTACTTAAGGAATTGGCAAACATGTTTAGAAGTTGGTTTATTTATGCATTAATTGCCATCCATTGGCGTAGTGTTTTATGTGAATTTTATTTTCTAATCTTCGTACTGTGATCCATGCGTTTCAAAGCAAACAGCTCTTTTTAAAAAGGTCTTCGCACGTGCATCATTTTGTAAAGGTACGTAAATTAAGAGAACATACTTTATAAGGATCATGTAACCTTACTTTTTAGGCATAAAGGCTTTAAAGGGGATGTCTTTTGATGCACAATTGAAAGGCGTACACGACATACATGTTTAAAAGATGCTCATATTCGACTCAGTTGTGCTTACTGCAATTCAACGATAAATGTGCTACTTACCATGATGTCGAAAGTGTAAAAAAAACGTAGCCCCAAGAAATGCTTTCCGAAAATTCTCTAATGAAGTTGGTGGGTATAACAATGTGAACGATAACATCCCTATTTGTTATTTTTACAGACTTATCGCATAATATGTGGCACAAAATTTAACACATTGATATCGGAATGTTATCATCCAGTGTTGATGACGTTAATTTATGAGAAGACGTCTTATTGTATGTAGGCAAATAAAATGAACCTTACAGTGATGGTTTAATGAGCATGACTATTGCTCGGGAAACGTTGGAATAGATATTTGAATACATGAACCCGAGCGTTCAACTGAGCTTGATAAATTAATTTTTTTTAATTAATTAATTGTGATTATTGTTTAGTGATCCATTAAATTGATCCACCACTGCTTTTAAATAAATGACATTTGGTATGTTACCAACTTTATAAATGTTTTGTTTTGTGGGAAATTCAAACTGTCCGCACTACTTTCCGATCACCCGGTACATTTATTATTATTAAATAATGAAATCTAACAAATTCTTACAGACTCAAAAAGAATAAAAGCCTGATTCTTAATTAAACGAAATAAAAAATATTCCTACTGCCCAGATAATTAAACATTACCCTAGCAAACAATGTAATAAGTCATTCTCAACAAGCAAATCTAAATCATTAAATAAACGTTCCTTAAGACGCACGAAAGTATACGCAGTTCAATTTCTTCCACTGATAATTCGCATGAAAAGGAAATAATAATGATAATGTCGTGTGATGTAATGTGCTTGGCAGTCTTTGAATTTTATCGTTCCCGCTTTTATGCATTTCATTTAATAAAAAAAACGTAAGATACGCTGCTGGAAATGTTTCAGTTTGCCAACTTAAATTGCACAAGGACGAAAATTCGCGAGCGGGTACGCATCATGCCTTTTTGCTAGAGCTAAAAGGAGAAAGCGGCGAGATGGATTTTTTTAATCGACCGTAGCAGAATAATTGTGGCATGTGTACGTCTATGATTCGCAAATCTTGCCGTCCTTGAGTGTCACTATTATTATCATTTGGTGTAGTGTCCTATTTGTAATATTTTTGAGGTCATTTATTAAATCATCCTCGATTGTGACGTAAATTATTGTTTATATTCTATCCGTTAGCTTACCAGGGCCAGTTTTGCTAGTGTACAACAACCCCGATACTCACCCCGACCCACTTCTACTTTTCCTGAGCTTAACTTATGCTTATCTCAAAGTGACTTTGTTCCTTTTACCCAATCTGAACGTAACAAACTTACCAAATATTATCCAAATCATAACGATTATTATTAAGAAAATGATAATAATTGTTATGGCTAAAGCTAAACAAAACTGAACTGAACGTTTTCTGATAAGCTTCATTTCACAATGTTATGCGATTATTTATTGCAACCGCCGCGTGTGTTCTTTTTCTTACTCTTCGACTCTATATCTAAATTTAAGCACGTACGTGGCGGCAAAATTAATTTGTCGATATTGCACGTCCAGCAAGGAAAATATTCGCGAGTTTACTTTTATGAAAGATAAAAAGCGATTAAGTTACAAAAACGCACTGTAAAAAGAACAATTTAGTTTCAAACGAACAAAAAACCCATTATTTCCTTGCGTAAATGTACAATTTTGCCAGAATAAGAAATTTTATACGTGTACCGCTTCATAAGGAAAGAGGAGGGAACTAATATGCAAATGCGTTAAGATAAGGAAGGAGTGTTCAAGCAGATAAGGGTCGAAACGCTACAGTGTTACCGGTTCTAAAAACCTTCGTGACGCAGTGTTTCGACACGTGTATAAAAAGCTAAACTTTCGCGGCGAATCTTTGTAGGTCCAGCGCTGCGTTCCTCGATTGTATTGCATTCATAGTCAAACCTTTGAGGCAATCCCACGTAACGTAAGCACGGAAATTTATAGATCGCGTAAAACGAAATTCTTTGCCAAGCTTTCAAGGTGAATCAGGTAAGGTACTTTCGTTACCCTAAGTTAAAAGGGTAATTTTGGAAATTTCTATACTGCAGAACATTCTTTTGGGAACTTTGTATATAGGATTTATGTTTAATGTCATTCTAACATTCCTGAAGAGGTCGACCCACGGGAATCCGTCGAGAATTTATCCCGTGAACAAATTTGTGTATTTTGTATGAATAATAAATGAACCCAAACCAAATATTGGTAAAGTTTTTTCTCATTAATTGTGCAGTTGAATTTTAAGTTTAGGAATACCGTCCTTTTCTGTGGGTTAAATTTTATGGAAGGAACAGACACTGGTATTTACTCCAAAGAACTGAACTTTCATATCGACCAACCACTGGGCAAACTTCCTACTGTATTCCAGGCACTTGATCATTGTAAAATTACATACTTCTAGGTTAGTTTTCGAACGCCACCATACACTAGAGCAAGTACCAGGCAGCAACACCATGAAGTTCGTGTGGCATTCTGGAACGAAATGTAATGAGAACCCCGACTGGCCTCAAAACAGGTGTTTTATGGTGCAGAGCCGGCTCCTCCACTTATAGTTGATAGTAATCCGTAATCCAGATCTCAGGGGCAAATTATTAAAATTTATAATGATCTCCCCGCATCTTCCCCTCCTCACAACCCAAGGTCACCGTGTGCTTCACAATAGACAAGGTTATACTAGGTCCATCTCGTCTCTCTGAGCAGCTCTTCCCTTCGTCATCGCATACCCCTCTCTTCTCTGCAGCTTCTTCTTCTTCGATTTTCATACAAAGGGTTTGAACTTCCTTTCTTTGAAACTAATTGACAGTTTACCTGTGCTGTGCTTATTTTTGTAAATTTTAATAGTTTGTCCCTGAGGTCTGGATTATGGCTCTCTCCAATCTACTATGGAGCATTATTGATGATCAAATACTGAGCACTTGCAGACGTTTGCCAGACGCCGTTAATATAAGTTGCTTCTTATAAAATGTATCAAACCCAAAACAACATTTTCCTACGCAAGACACCCTTTCAGCACACGTGGATTTGATAAATTCCGTCTTGCCTGAATCAGTACATGCTAAGTTCGATTTTTGAATATCAAAATCTATTTGTGTGTCATTGCATGCGGATTTTGCTACCTAGTTCGTATAATATCTATTTATGTGACCATGGCAAACAGTTTACTTACGAATTCTTATCACAAAGCGATAAGCGCTATCAGTATACTTGTAATAGAGGACATGGCTTAACATAAAACAACGGAAAAAAAAAGGTACCAACGTCCATTTCGTTATGATGGACCTGGCATTTTCCTGGTTTGACTACGCCCTATTTTTCGGCATGTTGGGATTAAGCATCATGATCGGCATCTACTTTGGGTTCGACCGCGAAAAACAAACAAAAAAAGACTACGTTTTGGGCGGCAAAAACATGGACGTACTTCCGATTTCCATCTCGTTGATCGCAAGGTAAGCAGAACGTCTTAAGCAACTTTGAGATTACGCCTACGTTTTCAGCCAGATATCCGGCATAACGCTGCTAGCAGTTCCCGCCGATATTTACAACTACGGCTCCAACTATATTTGGCTGTGTATATCAATACCGTTAGTGTGCGTTATCAATAACTACGTATTTCTGCCTTTATTTTTCCAATTGCAACTGACCAGTATTTACGAGTATTTAAGTTTACGTTTTGATAAAAGAGTTGAGGTTGTTGGGTCGCTTTTATTTATTTTCTCGATCTTCTTTCACAATCCCATCGTCATTTACATACCCGCTTTGGCGTTAGCCCAAGGTAAGAAGTCGGGCGGGATATGGCAGGTAATACCTTAATACTTTACATTTCAGCAACCGGTACCGACTTACACTCAACAATAGTTTTCGTGTGCGTTATTTGCACCTTTTACACAGGCGTAGGTGGTCTCAAAGCGGTCGTTTGGACAGATGTACTTCAGTGCGTTGGCATATTTGGATCAATTGGAGTGGTCGTTTTTGTGGGTGCAAAATCAGTGGGCGGGTTTTCTGAGGTTCTTGCAACAGCGGAACGGGGTGGTCGTATGGACATATTTGAGTAAGTAAGTTCCGCTTGGTCTCCACGGTAATAACCTTCACATTCCAGGTTGAAACTTAACCCGTTTGTAAGGGATGGGTTTGTTCCAGTGATAATCGGAGGTAGCTTGCAGTACATGACATACATTTGCTTCAATCAAGGCTATATGCAAAAGTTTTTGGCTGTGCGTACACTTCAAAAGGCGAAACGGTGAAGAATAATCTTGCGCTTGCAAAACTTTTCAAAGGTCCAACTTGTAGTGCCCAACAAATTTATTGCCTTGGTGTTATCGGGACGATAGCAGCATGCGTACTTACCGGCAACATTCTGTACGCAAAATACCACAACTGCGACCCTTTTCTGAGTAACAAAATCAACAGAAGTGATCAGCTTTTGCCGTACTTTGTCATCGAGCTTGCTCAAAATCTACCAGGTCTTCCCGGAGTTTTTATTGCGGGTGTCTTTAGCGCGGCCTTAAGGTAAGTTTCCTTTGCGTTTTCCTAGTCAACTACAGTGGTCTCTTCTAGTACGTTTTCCGCTAGCTTAAACACAGCTGCCACAGCAATTTACCAAGACTTCATCTTGCCCATCCGCCCCACAATCCAAAAGGATCAAGAATGCAGAATTTTGAAAGTAATTGTCCTGGTGTTCGGGGTTGTGTGCACAGTATTGGCAATGTTTGTTGACAAAGTGAGAGGAGTCTTATCTTTTTCTATTGCCGTAAACAGTATTGTTAGTGGTCCCTTACTCGGCGTATTTATTTTAGGTACCTTAGTTCCTGCAGCAAATTCCAGGGTGAGTAATAACAGTACTTGACAAAGATTTCATGATTTACTTAGGGAGCATTCTATGGATGTATGAGCGCGATTATAGTTTTAAGTTGGATGGTCATTGGGAACCAGTGGTACGCCAGTCAGGATTTCTTTGTAAAACCCATTTCGACATCGGACTGTAACCTTTCTTTAATTGTTGAAGAGTGAGGGCTGAATTGTTGAAACTTGGAAAACAAAGTGTGATTTTAGGAGAATCCAAACATCTGCAGTAGATCCACCATTCTTTCTATATAGAATCTCCTTCTGGTACAACACTCTAATTGGGTCTGCCGTAGTTGTTATAGTCGGATTGGTAACAAGTTTCTTTACCATCGACAAAGGAAAGACGCTTCATGCAAGTTTATTGCAGAAACTTCCTAAGTAGTATTTAGGTAATATAGAAATTCTGTAATACTCGTTTGGGGGGCCTCTTTAGGCAACTTGTAAATTATGCGTAATGTGGGCCAAATTACTATAATTAAGCATTAAGATAGCTCTTGAACTTTTGATGACACAACAGTGTCAGTTTTTAGCACATACCATTATCTCTCATACCAAAAAAATATTATGCTTACAGATTTAGCTTAAGATATTATACACTACACACACTCGGTACATAATTTCATGGTATATTACATCTTTGTAGGGCACCTTGGTAGATTACAATTATCTGATTATCCTCGTCTTTCTACAAACATTCTTCTACGGGCCCGTATTTACTGCCATCCAGCCAGCCAAAGAGAGATTAACAGCTACCTTTTCACAAATAAATTTGCAAAAATGCGCAAAAAAGGTACTCTCACGTTTTAATAATAATAATAAGGAAATTTATTGTCTAACAGCAAAACACGCCAATTCTAAGACAATGTAGAAAAATTACAATGAATGTACATAGATACAATAATAAACGCTAAATGCGAAAAAAAAACAAAAATAAAAAAAACAAAGATAGCACACATTATTGAAAGTAGCAATAATTATCCAGACTAATAAATAAAAAACGTAAATCATAAAATTAAGTTAACAATCCTCAAACTTTTCCAAGAAGGTGCCCTTAAAGAGCACAAGTGGAACAGAAACATTATTTTTTTTAATTTATTTACGAAGGCGCCCCCTTTTTAATTTTATTACAATAATAATTAATTGTAGATTATATATAATTAGTAATATTAAGGAACGTTTTGATGGAATTTTTGTACGTTTTGTAATATGAAAATTAAATATCTTACCAATAAGCACAGTTGGTTTGTTTTATTTGAATTTGTGTTTCCGTGTTAGATGCGTAATTTTTAATAGGTGTTTGGTATCAGGCGAAATTTAATTAAAGCACGTGTTCTGGTGCTGATAAGGAAATGCAGTTTTTGCGAAGAATTACACGTTTGGTGCGTTCCATTGTGATTGGTGATTTATTTAAAAATTTTATAAAGAAGGAAATTATTTTATGGTGGAGGTGGTGTTCCCTTAAATAGTTCAGACAACGTCCGACTTGAAATTTGTGAACGACATAACACACAGACAGTCTCTCCTTCGTTAGGTTGTGAGGAGAAGAAAATTGAGGACATTTTAATGTTGTGAACCCTAACTTGGTGCATTTTTCTAATATCAAAAAAAGGTTACGTGTTGCGCAGGATGATTTTTTGTTATTTATTCATCTCGTTTTGAAAATATGCTACGAAAGGTCCATACACTACAACGTCTAGGAATTAAAGTTTGTGGGTTTGGACGTGGAGGCACCGAGAAGATTATTTGGTGGTTTTTTTATTGATCCATTGGACGTCCTTTCAAGGAAAAAAACATTATCGAAACAAAAGCAAAGATCGATAAATACTATGGGAACCATCGGCACCATCAATTTCAATGGTTAACAAGTGGTCGTTCCGTCGCCCGAAATGGTAGATAAAATCCATGGAATGATATTTGGAGGCATCTCAACTGAGCACACGTTGCATGACTAAATATGTTAACAAGAAAAAGCTCACCGCGCGATGGGTGCCGCGATTCCTCACACTTTGACCATAAGCGCAACAGTATGACCATTTCAAAAGAGTGTTTCGCGATTTTCGGCCGCAATCCGAACCAGTTTTTACGCGGTTCAGTTTCCAGGGACGAAATGGGTCCATCACACAAATCCAGAGACCAAGGAATAATCAAGACAATACGTTTCTTCAGGTGAACGTGCACCAAATATGACCAAGGGGGCCAACAAGGTCAGAGTCACAGTTCCGCACGTAGTTCTTCTTCCATTTTAGGCTAGTGGTAGTGGGAGAATATGTCCCGTTCTGTTTCTTCTGCTCCTGGGTGACGTGCTGTTGGCTAGTCGTGGGTCTGCCTTCCTGGATTAGGTTCCACATGGTTATCAGATTGCCTGGTTGTGGATTGTTTCTCTGGCTTTTCTTCACGTGGTCGGCAAGTCCTGCTACTTCAATGTTGGCGAGTAATGGTGGCCCTGTCTGTTGGTGCGGTTGGCGGGAGTAGGAGGCGACTGTATTTTCCTCCACGGCCTAGTCTGTGGAGTTCCTCGACAGGTGGTCGAGGACTTCATGCTCTTTACACAATGTATCACGTTGAAGGAGAATTTTAAAAGTCTCATTGGATGACGGCGTTCTTCAATTAACTGAATGCTTAGGCGGCTGCTTCGGTCTATCGGTACGGCGTATTCTTCCGCAGTAGGTCATGGAAGGGGCCTTGCATCTCCGCTCACAGCGGGACGTAGTCACAGATTGGTCATTCGCAGGAAACTACTCGGCTGCTTTCTTGTTTTAGGCGCTTCGCCGGTGAGGATGGTCTCGACGTGTTCCCCTAACGGTTTGTTGCCGTCTGCTTCTTCAATGGTGTGACCAAGGTACTGAATGCATTGTACCCCAAAGCGGCATTTCTCCGCGGATAGTTGTAGCCTGTGGTACTACAATCACTCTAACACTAGGTGGAGGTGGTGGAGATGTTCTCCCCAGGTCTGCGAGTACACAATGATGTCGTCCAGGTAGACCATTACGAATTTGTGTAGATATCCTGAGAGGACTTCTTGTGTCATCCGCTTTTGGAATGTTGCTGGTGCGTTCTTCAGGCCAAAGAGCATCATTCTGAATTGGAAGGAAGCTCCGTCCTGTGTCGTGAAGACGCATCATCCATTGGTACTTGCAACTATCCAAATTTTAGGTCCAGAGTTGAGAAGATCTTCGCGGTCCCCAGGTCCCGTAAGGTCTCGTGGAGAACTGATAGATTTGAGCTTTCGTCTTTAGTGATGGCGTTCAGCCGTCGGTAGTCCACACAGAATCGTGGTTTGCCGTCCGTTTGCGGCCAGCATGGTCTCTACTTCGTTTATGCAACCGTGGTTGACCTCGGTGGGGGCAATATATGGCGGCGGGGTGGCTAGGTTGATGGTGCGGTTCCAGTGCATCGTCTGTCTGCTGTCCATGCCAATGTACGTATCCATCGATGACGACTTTTTGGTGGCCTAACCAAGCTTGTCTAAGAATCACTGGTGCAACGAACGATGGTCCTGATGACCTTCTCTTCTCCTTCCACTTGGTACTGGGCGGTTGTGGTTCCGGTTATCTGCAGGTGGTGGCTGGGATCGGCCGTGTATTTCCGGATCTTGTGGACGAACTCGCGTCGAATGAAGTTATGTGTCGATTCGGTGCCGAGTAGGGTTGATCAGCTCTTTGCTGCTGATCCTCACCGTTATAGTATTCATCGTTTGCGGTTTGAATTAATTGAATAGTGGGCTACTCAGCCCGGCGACTGGTCAGTTTCCCTGGCCCTGTTGTCGGTTGGCAGTAGCGACATTTAGGTACGGGCGTTATGGTTTGGTGATTGATTGCGGCTCTTTACGTCCTCTTCAATCTCGGTGGCATGTGGCATCGAAGGTGGCAGCGTATGTCCGGGTGCAGCAGACCGCGAACTAAGTGTAGGTGGTCGGGCGCCGACATATTGAGCCTCCTTGCGATGCGGACTTTTCGTAGCAGGAAGGTGTTTCGGATTCCGCCCTCTTCTCCCGAACGAAAAATTCAGCGGTCAGCTTAGCGGTTTGCCTGCGATCGTCGAACTTTTTCAGGAAGTGGGCCTTCAGATCGGTATAGTCGGTGATAAAGGGCTCGACGGTGGTCCACCATTTCGCTGCGTGAGACTTTTTGTAACTTCCCGTAGCAGGTTCTGGGCCCCTTGTGCGCTTACAGCTTCCTCGATTTTCTGAAGGAACGGCTTTGGGTCGTCCAGGAGGTCCCCACTGCGTGTTGGCAGGTCCGGCAACGACGACGGAAGTGGCTACAGTGCTTGATTTGGCTTCCGTGGATGGTCCGGCGGTGGTGGTCATTCTTCTTCCGTGCTGCGAGTTTTCATCGGCATCGTAGGTTGTGGTGTTTGGGCGCAACTGACTGTAGGCCGAGTCCAGGCCTGTGGGGGTGGTGATGATGGTGGCCGACTGCTGTCGGTTAGAGCTGGTAGTGGTTTAAGCGCGTTGCTAAGGTGGATCCGAAGACGCTGGGTCGTTTGATGATGCTAGTGTTTTCGGTGGACGCTTATATAGGTCCGCTGCCGCTAATCTCTCATGTAGTAAGCTTCGCATACTCAGTAAGGCTAACAGCGCGTCCGTTTCGTGATCGGTCCGTGCAAAAACCCTCCTGGGAAGTCAATTCCATTCCCACATCGAATCAACGATAAGCCACGCCTAAATTTTGGTCGGTCCGTATACGTCCAACTACATCCAAGTCACCTAACATCCCCCCTCAGAGAGACCAGACGCTGAGGGAACATTTCTTTCAAAACATGCATAGAGACCTGAACCTTATGGGCGGTAGCTTCATCCCGCTGGAACCATATACGAAGGTGGTCCTCACTTTCGGCTAGGGCATCCAATCTGGGATACAAGAATGTTTCTAGCATTGTCATATATCGAGCAGCCTTTAAGGTGACCGTCACACCTTCCGCCTCAAAAATAATAGAATAGAACAGAACGCGTACGGGAAATGTTGAAATTTCGGCGAACCGCCGGATATTTTCGTAATAGAACCGCACATCAAAGCCACCTGACCTCTCTACCTGCCTTCTGCCACCACAGACTGTACCAAACTCATTCAAAACCGGGGAATCTTAACGGCACCACGCGTACGTAGTAGGTAAATTTAACTGAATTTTTATTATCTCCACGTTCAAATGATATACCTATCTAAAAGGGACAGTATGGTTTTGAGTCACCGTTTCTAAATACTGTATAAAAATCTCGTTTCCTGCTTTACCTGACAAAAAATCTTGCTTTTGCTACTCGGGTCTTGTCTTCCTCGTCAACTTCATGCCCTGTTCGTGTTACATGAAAAAGGTAGACTGCTATTCTGCACCTAAATTCGACAAGAAACATTGTAGCAGCGAGCTATACAATTACGTGTAATTGAACTTCTATCCCAGTATCGATGATTAATCATATCAGGTACTCCTAACGCAACATAATTTCAGATAGTTAACCTTATCATCACTTTCATACACTGACTAAACTTGAGTTTTTGACAGGCGAGCGAAAAAGATGGAAGTAACAACTCCCGCAAGTTCGTCCTACGGTCACCAATTTACTTGGACCGACTACACCTTTTTTGGCGGCATGTTGGCCATGAGTACGATTATTGGAATTTACTTTGGATTTTTCGGAAAAAAACAGAATACAGCCAGTGAATACTTGATGGGCGGAAAACGGATGCACGCAATCCCGATTGCAGCCTCCCAAGTTGCATGGTAAGTCAGCTTGTACCATCCGCCAAGTAAAAAAGTTCATTTCAGTCAGATATCTGCAACTACGCTTCTGGCAGTACCGGCAGATATCTACAAGTTTGGGGCGAATTACATGTGGCTCTCGGTCTCCACACTGTTAGTCTCCATAGCTGTGTACAAGATATATTTGCCGGTATTTTATAATCTTCAGCTGACCAGCATTTACGAGTACCTGCAAATGAGGTTTGACAGAAAGATGCGAATCCTAAGCTCATTTTTAACGATAGTGTCGATGCTGGTTTTTTGCCCAGTTGCGATTTACATTCCGTCGCTCGCATTTGCACAAGGTGAGTGACTCAATTTAACCATAACCACAAATCCTTGTTTTAGTGAGCGGGGTTAACGTAATGCTAGTGGCTTCAGTTACCTCCATTATCTGCGTGTTTTATACAACTGTAGGTGGTTTAAAGGCAGTCGTGTGGACTGATACGTTTCAGTTTGTGGTTATGGTAATTACTTTTTCCATAGTGTTCGTCATGGGACTCTCCTCGGTCGGCGGATTCGCTTCGGTTGTTGACAGATCAATTGCCGGCAGGAGGTTTGAAGTGCTCGAGTAAATTGGTCCGTTGAAAAAGAACGAGAATTGAGGTTTAAATAGTTTTAGCTTTGATCCAACTCTGCGGGATAGCTTCTCGGCTTTGATAATCGGAGGTACGGCCCAATGGATTGCGTTTACGGGTACAAATCAGGCTGTTTTACAAAAATATTTATCCGTCCCGACCTTCAAAGACGCCAGGAGGTAAAACAATGTAGCAGTATTGTCTGTTGAACCGTGTACTTGTAGTGCCCTAGTCATATACACCATTTGCATATCAATTATACATGTGTTCGCAGTCTTCATGGGTTTGCTTGTTTATGCAAAATACTGGAACTGTGACCCCCTGGCTTCCAACCAGATTTCTCGAATCGAGCAGTTATTGCCACACTTCGTAATGGAGGTAGCTGGTAGTCTTCCAGGGTTGCCAGGAGTTTTTATAGCGGGAGTGTTTAGTGCAGGACTAAGGTAAGATCTCACACGATCGGGATCCCCAACTTCATTAATAGAATTTTAGCTCATTATCCGCCTGCTTGAATGCCATATCAGGAGTTATATACGAAGACTTTGTCTCCCACTTTCTATCCAAGTCAACCTCCCAACAACGAATTAGTAACGTTTTAAAAGTGATCGTTGCAGGGATGGGAATTGTGTGCACTCTCCTTGTGTTTATTTTAGACAACGTAAAGGGAATTTTTCCTTTCTACATTGGTTTGATGGCCGTCGCAACTGGCCCCCTGTTGGGAATTTTTACCATGGGTTTACTGGTTCCATTTGTCAATTCAAAGGTGAGGTGGAGTAAGGGTAGGTAAAGTAAGCGACTTTATTAACATTTTTTAGGGGGCATTCTATGGAGGTATTTTCAGTATGATTGTGATCGGGTGGATTGCATTACAGAATCAGTGGTATCAAAGTCATGGCTTGAACGACGAATTTTTAAAGCCGATCTCTACGGACGGATGTTATAACTCCTCATTTGACATTTCGTAAGTAAAATGTAATGCGGCAATGGATCAAGAATATTTCCAGGAATACCTCCCAAGTCGAAAGGCCGATCTTCTTGTATAGAATTTCATTTTGGTTTTACGCACTCATTGGCGCTGTTGTATCAATGGCGTGTGGATTCGTGATAAGTTGCTTTACTGGGCACGATAAAGCACCGGTGCCCAAAAAACTGTTGAGCCCGATTGTCCATGGTTTTTTGAGCAGAGCTTCTAGTAAGGACAGTGTTGAACCAGAGAAGATCCCACTCAATAGCTTTTAAAGGTTACTCAGATCCGAATCTTAACTGTGCTTTCATCGAATATCTAACAAGTAGTAAAGCAATTTCTAATATCCCATTATGGAGTTTTGTAATTGAAATGGGGAGGAGTAGTGTAGTTGTAGCTTTAAAATTAGAATGTAATCTTAGGTTACTAGGCTTTAGATAGGAAATCGAGAACAATTAAGTATTTCATAAGTAGACTAATTTGAAGGATACCATAATTAGGGTATTGAACCATGAATATCCATTAAATATAGCTAGAATAGAGTGGTGAAGTGTGTGTTATACCATACCAGATAGAACCACCCTGCTTAGGCGCTTTTTTGCAACTGTTTTGGAAGAAGAATTGAAAATTGTTGCATTTCGAATCTGTCGCTCATTTTGGACGTCTACGTACAAGGCTGCTTCTTGCGTTCGCTACTCGCAAAAGCGTTTGGACGCGTCCAAATCTCTAAAATGATGATTTTGGTGGCATTTGGTGCAGCTACTACCAAGTGAATCCTGGTTAGAATTTAATACCCAGTAAAATAAAAATGCAAATGCACTTTTTTAGAAGCGTATAAATAACTTCAAGGTGAGCGCCTTTGTTACGTTCAAAATGATTTTTGAACAAACAATCCATAATAACTATAAACCTCCCAATTAAGATATGCCGTCATTAATGTTGCCAAATCATAATGACAATGTTTAGAATAGGTAAACAAATTTGGTAAGTTTGTGGGCACCATTACTTCGTACTATCATGAAAATGGTGATAGCTAATACCCGTAGATCCACCGTTAGTTGACCGAACTTCGAAATGTACGAGGAGGGCGCGCAATTTGAATGGTACGACTACTTGGCGTTCTGCGTAATGCTCATTGTTAGCGTGGCGATCGGTTCGTACTTTGGATTTTGGAAAAAGCAGAATACCAAAGATGAATATCTGTTTGGAGAAAAATCTATGGCCATTCTCCCTGTGACTGTTTCACTAATCACCAGGTAGCATACAATGGTTTAAACTGTGGATTATAACTGATTTTCAGCTCTATCTCAGGAATAACTATTATGACCTATCCTGCAGACGTCTACAAGTATGGCTCCATCACATTATGGCTCGCTCTGATGTTGCCAGTATGCGGAATCGTTTACGCCTACGTATTCCTCCCGGTGCTAATAAAAGCCGAAGTGACAAATTTATACGGATATTTCGAAAAAAGACTCAGCTCGACTTGTCGCATTTTAACCTCTGTTATATTCACAGTGATGGTAGTTTTCTATGGCCCTGTCGTTATTTATGTTCCATCCCTCGCTTTCAAGCAAGGTAAATAAGATCAACACTCTACGCCCAGTACCAATCTTTTTCAGCTACTGGAGTGGATGTCCTCATCGTTGCACCTGTAATCTCTGCAATTTGCCTGTTCTACACGGCCATCGGTGGTATAAAAGCCGTAATATGGACGGACACATTTCAGTTTACTGGCACGGTATTATCAACCCTACTCATTACCATTATCGGGATCATTTCCGTGGGAGGCATCGAAACTGTATGGAACACGAGCATGGCTGGGCAACGTTTGGATATATTTAAGTAATTCGGTCCATAAGAAACATCCCACGCCTTGGCAGTTTTAGGTTTGACGCGACAGCGAGGGATACCTTCTGGTCAATGATATTTGGTGCTACCATACACTGGAGTTGTTTTACTATTACGAATCAGGCGGAATTTCAGAAGTGCCAATCTGTATCCACCCTAAAAAAAGCGCAATTGTTAGTAGGTATTCTTTGCTTTCCTCCACTGAATCCTTTTCGTTTAGTTGTGTGGTACTTTACGGATTTGGTGTTGGAGCACTTGTCTTTTTAACAGTTGTTAATGGAAACATTATGTATACCAAATATTCAAAATGCGATCCACTGTCCACTCGTCAGGTGTACCGTGACGATCAGCTTCTGCCGTACTACGTCCTGGACACCTCCAGAGAAATCCCTGGCCTTCCCGGTATCTTTATAGCGGGTATATTTTGTGCAGCTTTAAGGTACGAAAACAATGATTGAATGTGTGATTGATTCATTTCTGGCTGCAGTACCTACTCTGTGGTTTTGAATGCAGTAGCGGGTGTTATTTATGAGGACTACCTTAAGCGATTCTTATCACCTGAGAAACAAAAAAATCGAGAAGGTGCAATCTTGAAAACAATCGTATGTTACGGGGTGGTGTCCACCCTTTTGGTACTGCTAGTACAGTCATTAAGTGAAATAGTTCCTTTTATGATTACGGTTCAAGCAATCGGCAAGGGTTGCATCTTAGGTCTAATGATCTTGGGTGTTTTAGTACCAGTGGCGAATTCTAAGGTAGGAAAAAACGCGTAGTGCTTACCTTGTTCATTTCAGGACTTATAGGGTGCGATTTGTGGTGCTATCGTTGCACTAGTACTAATGTCATGGATCGGATTTGGCAGATTATGGTACAGTTTAGAAGGAACTCTGCGTGACGCCTCAAAACCAATGTCATAAGAGCATTGTGACGTTTCTTACAACGTAACTACCTCTCCGATACATAACCAAGAAGACATTTTTATACTGTATCGTGTATCTTTCTGGTACGGAACTCCTATAGGGTGTCTCATAACCGTCGTTACCGGAACTGTAGCGAGTTTGTTAACGAGAAACGATCAAGAATCAGTCAATAAAAAATGTTATTAGTCCCTTAGTACATAGGTTTCTAAATTAAGATGAAGAGCACCATGAAACCATGGAATCAAATCTATTGTAAATTCCAGTTCTGTTCTGTGATGTTGTATTATAGTGATTGTATTTAATACACAGATATTACTTCTCTCGCGTCAAAAAACAGCTATTTACCATAAAACTATAAGCAGGTAGAATGTTACACAACAGATTAGCTTTTTTACATTTTTTTTTAATTTCCAAGTAAAAAATACCATTTGTCTGGAATAATCTTCACCAGGAATTTGGGAAGCAGCTAAGGAAACGTTGCTCCAGACGAGCCCTCCTCTAACTGACCATACGAGTCAATGCTTTTTTTAACTGATCTCCAAACAATCCAGTGGGAACCTTGCATCCAACCAAGATGATAGTGCAGTCTCATCGGATCAGAGGATGTGGAAGAAGGAAGATATGATGAAAATATGAAGAATGCACAGGAAGAAACTAATGTTCATTCTTCAAGTCCTTCTGCAAATGAAACTTCGGGATATATCACAAATGTAAAAGTGTAAACACCGTCAAAACGAACACTGGATACATCAAAAGAGTAATGCCTCAAACTGTTATTGGCCACCACCTGTTGGAACTAGAAAAAGAGAAACTGAAATGAAACAGCTGAAAACCCGAAAAATGAGGAAGTTGGTTTTCTAATTCTATTCTACCGCACGTGAGACAGCTGACTGCACGTGATAAATTATGTTTCCGAATGCAGGTTCAAAGTGAACATGGCCTACCCACTTCAAATAGTTACCACCAACTTTTGGAGATCGATGCAAGTTGTGGTGAGAAACAGAGAAATCCAGATATGGAATTACCATGAACCTAGCGGAGCAAGGTCAGCAGAACACAGTCAAACATAATGCATAATAAGGGGCTAACTAGGTGCTAATTAAGTGCCCTATTCCTGAATTAAATGCTCCTTTTATTTAAATTATGACAGGTTCTGCTAGGTTCATAAGAACTCAGCACAGCACTACCTTAAAAAACTAAGACAATGAAAAGTGAACTAACTAATGATTAAGTGCTAATTAAGTGCCCTAAAAAACCAATAACACAACAAGTGAGCTAACTAATAATTAGGTGCTGATTAGGTGTTTTTAAATTCTATGCTCCTCCTTGTTTTTATTTTTACTTCTTGGGAAGTAATAATGATATGTGCATCACTAACACTTGAAAACATGTTTTTGTAAACACAATAATCATGTAAATAGTGGAAGTTAAAATTAAAAAAAGGAGCACAGAATTTGAAAACAGGGCACTTAATTGGCACCGAATCAGCACCTAATTATTAGCTAGGTCACTTTTCGTTTTGCTTTCTTAAGGTAGTGCTCTGCTGAGTTTATGAACCTGACAGAACATGTCATAATTAAAAAAAGAAATATTCCATTTGGGAATAGGGCACTTAATTAGCACGTAATTATGCAATATGTTTGATTGTGTTTTGTTGACGTTACTTTACTAGGTTCATGGACATGAATAGTTCCAATAAGTACGAGAATGTCACAAGCGTCATTCTCATAGACGAATGAAATCGTTCCGGATCATTTTTCGATTCGTGGAAGAGATGATAATCCCCTAATCTGCTTCTTTTCAAATTTATTGAATGCACTGAAAACCGTCTGTTGGGCATCTTATAACACAAACCCGGTACGTGACCGTTCAAAATATTGACTGGTAATATTATTTATTGTAAGTTATATGTTATTTATTTATCACAAATTTGCTTCCTTAACCTATGTCCATTATGCTAGTATGCAGGAACTGCTGAAAACGACAACCTTACCAACAATGTGCTTAGTGTTAGTTTTACTATCGTTTGCAGTTTAACTCCTGGTACACACATTTCCTTGTTGTTCAGCATTTCCTAAACGTTGTACTTTCTTACTTTGGGAGGGCGCTTAAAATCTGTTCTAACATCTTCGCTAGCCAGCAGCAAAGGTGATCGTTGTTAGTCTGTTCTAAGATGAACAAAAAGTGACATTGAAATTATTCCAAGTCGATTGTTAGTTAGCATACTTTTGAACCCTCAAATGATCAACAGTTATAATTAAAACTAATCAATAATTTTGTTCTTCAGAATTAATTATGGCTAAGTTGCCCAGAGGTATGTAATAAAGGTTGGTATTTTCCTTTACTGTCTCGGAATTTTGCATATTTTTTGCTACATTTCGTACAAAATAAAAACTTAATTATACCTGTTCCAGAATTAAAGAGAATAATAAATTACCCGGGTACAAAAGAGCATGACTATTTTTACATGTGACAAATATCTGCCACCAAAGTGAGAAATTTTAAATGTGTATGGAGGTTGGTACTTTGGAAATACACACAGGCAATCGGTGCACGCCTGCATATTTTCGCCATTTTATTGTGAATGCTGTAATTTTTTGTTTTTTTCTTGTTTGATATTATTTAGAGGACCTGCAAATCACCCTTAGAGTGCACATAAAAGCCTCTCCCCTTTCATAAAAACTGAGTTTTACATAAGGATGTGTCTATTGCGAATAGAGTGTAACTTCTGTGGTAGTCCAGAAACCACTTTTTAAGTGCACATAAAAGTATATTAATAATATTAGCATTATTAGCAATAATGTTTATTTTGCCATACTTCATAAGTCATAATAAATAAAAATTAAAACATTGTCTCTCCTTTCTCCCTTGACGAAAACGCTTGCTCACAAAATACAACACCAAATTTGTTTTATTGACAAAAAAAGTCGCACAATAGCTCCAATTTACATTTCCCTTACAGATTTTCTAATTACAGCTTTCAGGAATTCCGACCTAAGTGGATTAATTTCGCCGCCACGATTTTTTGAATTATCCTTCATTCAAACTGAAATACGAGTACTCAACGATAACGTTTTCTTTTTATTCTAAATGCACGATAATCCATTCTGTCAATTAATTCACTTATAGGTGATAGTTTTAATTATCCGTTCGCAAGGCCTTTACTTTTTCGTTTCAAAAAAATTTACCTGGATAAAAACTCGCTTCTGGATCGAATTTTATTATACTGCGTCTCGTACTTGAAATTTCTATAACTTAGTTCTATTGTGACCGAAAAGTAGCAACTTTTCCCCCCCTGATCTCAGAACGAATTTTATCGCCGTTACTTCTTGTGTGGTTTAAAGACGAATCCCCGAGAAAACTATAACGTTCCCGTGACTCAACCGAATGAATTAAAAAATCTCTCCAGATTAATTCCTACCTATTCTTTTGTAATTAACTAACTGTGTAAGTCTTAGAAATATACATTCGTTTATATTCAATATTCTCACGCCATTTAAGTATTTCCTTTGTAAACTCGTTTAATAAAAAAGTGAGTTATTTCTATAGTAAAGCTGTTGTTATTACTTTAACTCTTTATTTTCGCTGTTAGAGGTCATTCATGTGTTATGGGTTTCTTAAACAATAGTTCTTTGTTTCACCGCTAGAGGTTGTGATCATTTCTTTTCTGCATACGCATTTCTTTCCTTTCGCGCAGTGAAGATTTTGGCTTCGAATTAGTTGCATGCAAATTATTCTTTGTTACACTATTACTCGTTTCTTGACTTATTGTCTACTTAAATATGGGCCTGCGGTTTTGGCTATCGCCATACTTCTTTGAAGTCGTTTCTCGTTCTGATGTGCTGCGGTTGCTCTATTGTTCGTTGCGATTGGATTAGCTTTTACTACGGTGACATTTATAAGTATGAGTGTAAATAGTAGGAAAGCAGCACTCGATAAGGCCTAACGATTTTACGCCCGAATACATATCTTATAGTAATTTGTTTTTTCTTTGTGAACGGATAAGGGAACTATAATTGTCAGTTAAAGAATCCGAGATCTACTATCCAATCGAAAACGATAACCAGAAAGCATATAGAACTCCTGGTTCAGAAACAATAAAGATATTTATGAACAATTGTTCTATCGGGTTATAGTTGTACCGCTTTCCATCATTTTGCCATTTGTTGTTGTCGGGCGACATAGTGTAGTAATTAAGCACTTGAAAATAATTTTATGCTCAAGAAATAAGCGAAATGCTTAATAAATCATGTCACACATAAGAACTTGACTACAAACTCGATTCGCACAATTGCTTTGTGTTCATTCGTGAAAGAAGCCAACGAAATTAAATAAAAACAACTTGTAAATCTGCATATGCATGATGAAATTGCATTTTTGGTGATACCAATCAGTATTTTATTAGCGAAGTTTAAAATGATCTTATCTCATGAGTAATTTAACTCAAACTAGACTAAAGCCTGCACATCTACACTATAGCAGAAAGCTTTTAGTGAAAATTTGAAGTCTCTAGCTATTGTAATTGCTGAGATCTCATCCGGACAGCTGACCAGCCAGCCATAACGAATATAATAGCGTATTTTTTTCAAATGTGCTAAAAAAACATTTGATGAGTTTAATTAATAATTAAACTTCCGAATTCACACCAAATGCCTAAATCCGAAAAACAACGTCCTAGACGGACATAGTTTACACAACAATATGATAATTACATAACAAAAAACACCCAATCTAATGAAGATATAGGAAGATTAATAATTTTATACTTTGTTTTGTTCCTTCCCAGTCGTATAGTGTGTTCAATGCATTCTTTTTCTACATGATGTAGGTTCTTGTGTCTAGATTACTTTATACGAGCGATAAAGCTCGTTCATGATTTTGATCTGTCTGTCCGTCCGTCTGTGTATATGATAACTCGCGAATAGTTTCGAATTTTCCATTTCTGTTTTCAGTATTTTGTTTTTCAGCACCCATGAAAGAGCTGAAATTTTCAGCGACCGAGGAGCCTCGCTTGCTATATTTGTTACAAATTTATTTATTTCAATTTTCAATTTCATTTATTATTTACCACGTTACATGTCTGGTAGATGTGTTTGTGGCACGTACAGTGTATAGTAACGTACTTATACAATATGGTTCTGAGTAGCTGTAGCTATCTTATCCTATGCCCTGTTAGCGCTTTGAGAGTGCTATATCTAGGATTGCACTCACTCAGAGCTGGGCAGTATTCGATTTTGTAAATACTTTTTAGTATTCAAATCCTTTAAAGTATTCAAATACTTTGTAATTAGATACCTTTATGGAAGCAGTATTTGTTTTTGTAACCCAAATACTTTCACAAATATTTAGTATTCAAATACTTCGCAAAGTATTTGAATACTTCGTAAAGTATTCACATATTTCACAGAATACTTCGCATAGTATTTGAATACTTAACTTTCCTTTTTTTACCAAAAATCGACTACTCCAAAATTTCTCGGGAAAACACTTTTTCTTATTAATTTTGGTGCGTAGAATCCAAACCAATTCGTACTTTTTCGATCAGACTTCTCAATCAAAAGTTATAGACTAGAAACCAATTTCGAAAGAAAATTCAAAGGGCTGTAACTTTTGAACTAGTAGCCCAATCTTGGAACTGTTTGAAATTATGGATTCTACAGGCACATTCTATAAGAAATTTTTTTTCCGGGTCGATCTGAGACAATTTTTTTTGCGGGCCTCAAAAAAAGGCAGTGTATAACCTTCCTTTTTTACCAAAAATCGACTGCACCAAAATTTCTCGGGAAAACACTTTTTCTTATTAATTTTGGTGCGTAGAATCCAAAACAATTCGTACTTTTTCGATCAGACTTCTCAATCAAAAGTTATAGACTAGAAACCAATTTCGAAAGAAATTTCAAAGGGCTGTAACTTTTGAAATAGTAGCCCAATCTTGGAACTGTTTGAAATTATGGATTCTACAGGCCACATTCTATTAGAAAATTTTTTTTCCGGGTCGATTTGAGACATTTTTTTCTGCTGGCCTCAAAAAAAGGCAGTGTATAACCTTCCTTTTTTACCAAAAATCGACTACACCAAAATTTCTCAGGAAACACTTTTTCTTATTAATTTTGGTGCGTAGAATCCAAAACAATTCGTACTTTTTCGATCAGACTTCTCAATCAAAAGTTATAGACTCGAAACCAATTTCGAAAGAAAATTCAAAGGGCTGTAACTTTTGAACTAGTAGTCCAATCTTGGAACTGCTTGAAATTATCGATTCTACAGGCCACATTCTATAAGAAAAATTTTTTTTCGAGTCGATCAGAGACAATTTTTTTTGCGGACCTCAAAAAAAGGCACTGTATAACCTTCCTTTTTTACCAAAAATCGACTACACCAAAATTTCTCGGGAAAACACTTTTTCTTATTAATTTTGGTGCGTAAAATCCAAAACAAATCATACTTTTTCGATTAGACTTCTCAAACAAAAGTTATAGACTAGAAACCAATTTCGAAAGAAAATTCAAAGGGCTGTAACTTTTGAACTAGTAGCCCAATCTTGGAACTGCTTGAAATTATGGATTCTACAGGCCACATTCTATAAGAAAATTTTTTTTCCGGGTCGATCTGAGACAATTTTTTTTGCGGGCCTCAAAAAAGGCAGTGTATAACCTTCCTTTTTTAACAAAAATCGGCTGCACCAAAATTTCTCGGGAAAACACTTTTTCTTATTAATTTTGGTGCGTAGAATCCAAAACAATTCGTACTTTTTCGATTAGATTTTTCAATCAAAAGTTATAGACTAGAAACCAATTTCGAAAGAAAATTCAAAGGGCTGTAACTTTTGATCTAGTAGCCCAATCTTCAAACTGTTTGAAATTATGGACTCTCGATCGATCTCGATCTCAGACAATTTTTTTTCCGGCCTCAAAAAAAGGCAGTACTTTTAAGTTATTCAAATGTTTGAGAACAATTTAGAAATGTTTAGGGAAAGTTTCCATTGTCACAAAATCAAATATAAAAATCCGATACATCTGAATACAGAACTCGATAGTCTACGTAACTTAAAAACAATAGGGACCTTTCTTATATCCTTAAAACCATATGTGCCAATTTTCAAAGCGATCGCACGTTTCTAAACAAGTTATCATGCTCACGGACAAACGGATGGTCAAAAATGGATCTGTTCCAAAATCGCTAGGATTAATTTCAGAAAGGCGTACGTATCATGTGCAAGACGCTTTGAAAACTGGTACACGTATTCTTAAGGATATAACTGGTATAAGAAAGGTCCTGGTAGGTACCTCCTATATAATAATATAATAATAATAATATTCCGCTTTTACTCCCCTTAAATTTGTATATAACAATAGAAATATAAAAAAAGCTAACCCCATACAAAGTATAACTTGATTTTTGAAGTAGTATTAAGACTTTTATCTAGTATACTATTTTAAATTTTTAATGTATTTGAGTGACAAGTATTTAAATACTTTTTACTGTATTCGAATACTTTTCAAAGTATTCGAATACCTTTTAAAGTATTCGAATACTTTTGAAAGTATTCGAATACATTCTAAAGTATTTGAATACTTATTTTTTTAAGTATTTGAATACTTTTCAATGTATCTGTATCCAGTATTCGCTTGTGCTGGACTTTATTTAGTATTCCAATACCTATGATTTATGTAAAGTATTTACTATTTAGTATTCAAATACTTTTTGAAAGTATTCTGCCCAGCTCTGCACTCACTACTGCAAATGCAGTACTAATTTTGCGTGCATAGCAATTTTTTTCACAGTCCTTGCCACACGATTGTTGAAGTAACATCGGTCATTCAACGTCAACCTATCTGTGTATGCAGAACTTGTACCCTGGTGGAATAGGTACGTGATACGTTAATAATTTAATAATTTTGTACCAACGTCGATGGACCACCCGTAATATATCAAGAGATGTGTTCAGTAAGTAATGTTTGTATTTAAAAATAAATTTTGTTTTAGATTTAATGTAAAATAGACGCAGGTATGCGTCCTTGTAAAGGTACTTTTCATAATTCTAAATATTTGCATGTTTCTGAATTACATAATGGAAATTTTGACGTAACCACATAAAACCCAAGCGTATAAAAATAATAATAAAAATCGCCATTATATTGTTATTCTGCTCGCTACCAATTACAGAATATAATTAACTTGATTACCTCAAAGGCAAACAATCGTTTTGAATTTGACATCCTTGAATTAAACCTGAATTTTGGCGCGTTTGCCGCACCAATGGTTTATGGTTCAAATGTGATCAATGTGGAGGGGGCAGATTAGCAAAGAAACAATTAAAATTACTTGTACATTATAAAACAATTCGTTTCACTAATTAGACGTAAAAACCGATAGCGGCGTTTATTGCTCGCTTTTCAAAGCTCCGGCGACGCGTTAACGGATTAGCCAAAGTAAAATAAATCCATTCGTAATGTACGGAGAGGTTGTCTACTTTGAGTGGTACGATTATGTCGCCTTCTCCGTAATGCTGATTATTAGCCTCGCTATCGGGACGTATTTCGGATTTTGGAAGAAGCAAGACAATAAGGAGGAGTACCTTCTCGGAGGGAAATCCATGGGTGTTATTCCAGTCACAATTTCGTTAATCACAAGGTATCAGTCAACTTGTTACATCAGGTGATATTAATGGTTCGAAACCTTCCCCATGTGTTGTGGAAAGACAGGCTTCGAACAATTAACTGTCCAATTGCACCCAAAATAATTTTTAGCACTTTATCGGGGGTTACTGTAATGGCATACCCGGCTGACGTTTACAAGTATGGTTCGATAACATTGTGGCTATGCATAGCCATACCAATTAATGGTTTCATATACGCCTATGTCTTTCTTCCCGTGTATATGAAGGCCGAAGTGACCAGCTTGTATGAATACCTGGAAAAGAGGTTCAGCTCGGCCAGCCGCATTTTGGCGTCCGTACTGTATACACTACTGATGGTCATGTACGGGCCCATCGTTGTTTACATACCGTGTCTCGCTTTCAATCAAGGTAGGTGTCCATGCGAGATTTGGTGCTAATGAGTTCCGTTTAGCAACTGGAATTGACGTTATCATTGTTGCCCCCATCATTTGTTTGCTTTGCATTTTTTATACAACAATTGGTGGTATCAAAGCTGTAATCTGGACGGATACTTTTCAATTTATCGGTACTGTGGTGGCAAGCGTAACTATTGTCATCGTTGGTACAGTCTCGGTGGGTGGTATCCAGAAGGTATGGGAGACTGCCTTAGCCGGAGAGCGTTTGGACATCTTTAAGTAATATAAATCCTGCGTATTGCACAGTATAACATCCTGAATATTAGTTTTAGAAACGATACATTCGCTAGGGACACCTTTTGGTCAATGCTATTCGGCGGTGCCATTCAGTGGGGCGCTTACGTGTTGGCCAATCAAGGAGAATTCCAAAAATGCCGATCGGTACCCACCCTAGCAAAAGCACGATTGTTAGTAAAGGTAGAGCTTTAAGTACCTGACGTTTTCATTATAGGTGCGCTATACTGTACGGAATTGGGGTAGCGGGTCTTATGCTCCTAACGGTTTTCAACGGGAATATAATGTACACTAAATATTCAAAATGCGACCCGTTGACCACACATCAAGTAGAGCGCGACGATCAACTTTTGGCGTACTTTGTGCTAGATATTTCCAAGCAGGCTCCTGGTCTTCCAGGCATTTTCGTTGCCGGTGTGTTTTGCGCAGCTTTGAGGTCAGAATCGCCAACCAGTTAATGGAAACATTACTTATTACCTCTTTAGCACCTACTCAGCGACGCTGAATACCGCCGCCGGCATCATTTATGAAGACTTCCTCAAGAGATTTTTGGCAATAGAGACCCAGAAGACTCGAGAAGGCTTAATACTGAAAATAATTGTCCTGTGCTTCGGCATGGTATCTACTGCTCTAATTTTGGTAGTCAAAGTATTCAATGAAATTGTTCCCTTGGTAACTACTGTTCAGGGAATTATCTATGGTTGCCTTTTAGGTCTACTATCCTTAGGAGTCTTGGTACCGGTCGCCAACGCAAAGGTAGTACCTACGTGTCATGCCAACGGAGTATTATAAACGCTGTTTTTAGGGTGCATTGTGTGGTGCTGTTACCACGCTCCTTGTTGTGTCTTGCTTGGGATTCGGCAGATTATACTACATGTTCTCAGGGATGCCGATGGAAGCGGCTAAACCATTATCGGTTGAGGGTTGTGACTTTTCGTATAACACGACCGTAACAAAGAACCGCGAAGACATTTTTGTTATATTTCGTGTGTGTTTCTGGTACATTGTCTCAATTGGAATCTTTATAACACTTGTTGTGGGTACTATAGTAAGCTTACTGACGAGAAAACGCGGAGAGGTTGTCGACAAAAATTTAGTTAGTCCTATACTACACAGATTTTTACGTTAAATTAGATACAAAATTCTTAATCGGTTATGTGCAATTGTTATACAGAGCAGAGTGTTCATTTGAAAACTTCTCACCACTGATAAAAAACGCCGAGACGAAGGAGTATTGAGCAATAGCTTCTTTAAAAGGTCTTTCGAAGTCCTTTATTTTGACGTTTGATTTTTTTAAATTCGTTTCCGAAAAAATTAGAATAATTTCCACTCTTTCGGCAAGTGTGTAAACCATTTTGGATCTGACAAAATAAATCTATCCCAAGATTGTCACAAAGGTAACTGACAGAAAATTAGACTCTTTTTTTCCCATCGCAACAAATAAGTGACATTTTCGTTTGTTTTATTTTTCTATCTGAACAAATAGGTCCGTTCTTTTTCACAAAATCGTAACGTTTAAGTCACCCCCTTATCTTTATAACAAAATAACTTTTCGCACAGATGTACATAACATTAACATTCGCCGTAAAGACCACATAACCATTCCGCAGCATAAAAAAGGAATATTTCAGAGGTCATATTCGTACGCGATTGCTCATGTATATAATACTTTGCCAGCAGATGTAAAATGTTATGTACCAGATAAATTCAAAGTTAGTGTTCGTCGACTCCTCCTAAAAACATCCTAAAAACATAATAAATATGTAAAATATTTCCGTGTTAAAAACAATTAACAGCTTACTTTGTAAACCACATCTTAATTGTCAAATTCTTGAGTTTTAAATGTACTACTCCATTTTTTGTTTCACTTTTTGTATGTATCATGACCTGTCTAGTTAAATACACTAACATAAAATAAATTAAAGGTTGAGTGGAAGAGCAGACACGGATGATATCTCTGTCTGAACTCCGCCATTTAGACAGGCTCTGTATAGAAATTGTCTATTAAAGTCATATATTATTATTATTATTATTATGGTAGGTGTATCTTGTGAGAACTCAGGTCTAGCCTGGTTAACTAATCGCACGGATTAAAATCAATTATTATTATTATTATTATTATTATTCAATAAATAAAAATTTCAAAATAAAGGACTTCGAAAGACCTTTCAAACAAGATATTACTCAATACCACTTGTCATTTAAAATGTTTAAGGGCATGACCCTGGGGGCCAGAGGGCGAAAGAGAGTGAAGTAGTTTTTGGTTAAAAAGTTAAAAGGTTAAAAAATCTTTTGATGTGTCTCGGAGTTTTTTCATAGTTTTCGGTAAATCCGTGTTGGGAAGTTTTTAAGTGAACACACTGTATAACAAATGCGTGCGAAACTCTAAGATTATGTTAAGAGTATTCACGACATCACATCACTTCGTTTTCGTTTTTTGTAGAATGGTAATTACTTACGAATTCATGTAAGGGTTCGTAAATACCCCTATAGTAATATAGAACATAAAATGAAAGGTACAATTGCCATTTTTACCATCTACTTAGAAATGCCCACTGTATGTATATCATATAGGCATAAGACGATTAGTGTTAGTGAAAGAAAAGGTTGTATTAGTGACCGTAAATTTGATGAAGTTAGTTAGTTAGTTCTGTGGCAATTAACTGAACATGGTTTTCTGACTCACCATTAATTGACATCGTTGGATGTAAATTAATCCTTAACTTGTCCTCTTTGCTCATTTATATTCCTCCTGATGTAAATGTGGAGAGATCAACTTGTCAATTACTCTAAAGTAAACTTAAAATTAAAAATCTCATTTCACTGCATGAAACGGAATAATACAGAATATCCGCTTGGAAGCGAAGCTGCTTAAAGGGTAAAAACAGCCTTTAAGAACTCTTGTTATGAGACCTCGTACGCTCAACAAGTCCCAAGTGTATTTTACGTACAGATCTTATCTTTACATCCCATACTTTTGGCAATATGCGCAAGCGAAGAAAGTTACATCAAGAATTCCAGGACACCCCTCTTGATACCCCTGTTTCAATTGTCAAATGATTTGCAATATTCTTCAAGAGCCATTGTTAACTCAACATGTGTTACTGTGAAGCAGTTTTCCCTGAATGAAATTGAAAAACAACTTGAAATGTTAGAGAACTCCCAAACCACTGGCCTTTTTAGCGCATTTTTGCAAATTTATTTGTAAAAAGTAGCTTTTAATCTCACTTTGGCTGGCTGGCTGGCTGGCTGGCTGGCTGGCTGGTCGGCTGGCTGGCAGCAAATGTGGGCGCGTAGAAGAACTCTTGTAGAAAGGCAACGGGTGTACGTGTATCTACAAGGCCGTGTAATTTGTAAACCTTGGGGACATGGCTACATGATGTGGGGTTGGCGACATCTGGGCGTCGTCCTCGAGCGTAGTATACTAACGTGAAGGTTTTTCAGTTTTTTCCTATCTACAGTTTTGGTCCGATTCCTTTCAAATTGGTGTCGTCGGAAAGATGTTGTAAACGCGCACAACTCCTGCGTGGCGGAATTTTGTTTTTTGGCCTAGGGGCGAAATTAACGACCTTTTGCAAGGCGCGCGCGCGCGTCTTCGAGAGGTAGTCAACTTCGGGCACCTTTTACCTTCCGTTGCGAATTCTGTCACGCGTTTTAACGTTTCGTAAATCTCGAATGGCTGTCTCTCTTTCTCGTGTCGTCAAAAGAAGCTCGAGCAATGAGAAGTGCCCCCCAAAAATTAAGTACTATCTTGTGGAAGGTTTTTAGCGAGATCCACCAAAATGTGGTATAAGTATGCACCGAAAAAGCAAATGTGGTAGCCTCCGACAAGATCTAACTGATGGTGGAGAAAAATCTTCAAACGCGAATTGCGGGTGAACGGGACGTCGGAACTAGGTACCGTCAAAGGGAATGTGGTATCCTTCGACAAGATCTTTTATTCATGGTTGAATCAAAAGTGGCTAATAGAATACTGATCTGCCACACAAAAATGCGCTGAAGATAATTTTTTAATTCAATATTACGCACCAATTTTAGAATTTTCAAAAAGGGAGATCCATATTATGTGAAAAACTACCGCCCCATATCTATTTTGCGCAATTTTGACAAAGTCTTTTGAAAAGACGCGACATGATCGATTATATCCTGCCTTAATCCCGAGATTGTCATGGATTTATTTTAAAAAGCGCTCCGCTGTATCCAGTTTCTTTTTTGGAAAAAGCTCTACACCTATTCACCAGTCAAGAAGGCGAATATTGTCCAGGAGGTCGAAACCATTCTGGCCGACCGCATTATTGAACCGATCACCTACAGCTACTCGTCCCCGATCGTCATTCTCCAAAAGAAGGACGACCAACGAAAGGAAGTTCCTGCGGGAGTTCACCGTCCACAAGAGATACCTCTACAAGCACAGTCTCTAGGGCCGCCTGCTCATTGTCCCCAGAGATTGTCACGCGAACGTTCTGTACGTGCGGAACGCAACCCACGCTCTCCTGTCCGTGAGTCCGTGTCGATGGACGCAATTCACCTACGTCACCTTATTTGGCACCCCCACGCGCGTAGTACCTCTCGTCCTCTTCAACCGCCGGACTAGAAAGAACGCGGGCGCGGTCGTTACCCCTAGGAAGGCTCTGACCAGATCGGGAGAGTGGCGAATGAGATCCCAAGAACCTCCACCCACGGGCAAGGAAACCATGCGGCAGGTACATCGTAACCCCCAACTACGGCCCCGCGATCACCCAGTACCAAGTAAGGGCGCGGCTAATGAAGAAGAACCGGAACCAGAAAGCCGGGAACTTCCACTCCAAATGGACGGGACCCCACCTGGCTGGAACCAACGCCTACTGAATCCGGAGGGACAACGACGCGCTCACTAGGGTCCACATTTACAACCCGCGACCCACACCTCCTTCACCACCTCTACCAGCACCAGCAGTTCCTTCTGGAGGCTCTTCGGAGAAGGGGGGGCCACCTGCCACTGGTCAGCTCGGCTCGCGCAATCAAACCGGCCGACTTTATGGCTCAGTGGTAAGAGCGTTGGGTTATAAATCCGGAGGTCGGGTGTTCGAACCTGGGTTGAGGTGAATTTTTCATCTGTGGCGGAGATGTAAATTACCTTAGACCAGTTCCGAGCATTCTACCGGCTACTCCGAATTAGGTTTTCGTGCAGTTTTCCTAATTCGTAAGGTAAATACTGGAGTAGTATAGACCAACTTAAGACCTTCTGCAGAGGCACCTCTAAATAGCATTATGCGGGTCACTCTGTAATTGGGCGCATGCCTGTTGAGGACCCAAAACTAAGAGAGGGATAATAAATAAATAAATAAATAAACACCACGGCGAACCATCCGCCGGAAATATAAGCAGCGTCGAAACAGCCAAAACCTTACCTACCCGAGGCGACTGCTGAGACTGATGGCCGCGGCTCTTTTTCCACCACTGCCAATCTGACGCAGTCCAGTGCCCGTCGCCGCGCCGTCCAACCTCCACGTCAAGTGCCCTCCGCTCCGTTGTGGAAATTCTCAGCTTTCCGGCTTTCTTCCTGCGAAAATCTTCCTCGTCTGGAAGGTGGCTTAAAGGAGATGGTTCATCGCTCTGGGTTTAATTTCTTTATTCCGCTTAGTGGGCAGTTTAACTTGGCGAACCTTCGACACTGTGTAACGCTGATTAACGAATGCCCCTTTCCCACTATTTACACTCATATTTATAGATGTCACCGTAGTAAAAGCTGATTCAATCGCAACGAACAATAGAGCAACCGCAGCACATCAGAACGAGAAACCACTTCAAAGAAGTATGGCCATAGCCAAAACCGCAGGCTCTTGTTTAGGTAGACAATAAGTCAAGAAACGAGTAATAGTGCCACAAAAAATATCCAATAAGCGCTTTCTCTTAATACGATGAATAATATAAATATTCGACTCCGCGCTATTATAAGGTTTTTGTCATTTAACGTTAGGTTACTACAGACGCTGTTCTCGCTCTTATGTTAATTACAATGACCCGCACCAGGGCAGAAGTGTAAAAGAAGGCGCAAAAAATGTTCATGAAAACCGAAAGCGTAAAGTAAGCGTGAAAGAAGCATTATAGAGAAAAAAGTAGGCGTACAGACAAATTTCCGAAGCCCATTAAGAAACAAAGCTGCATAGAAATGAAACAACGTCCCTTGCAGTGGATCAACCGGTAAATTTCGATGACACAGAATTACTCTGCCCTGAAAAGTCCCAAACGTTCTAACTTCAATGCGCAATTTCGAGAAAGAATTTAAAAAGTATATCCTTGTTGAAAAGAAAGTCAACTGTTATCTAATTTGCCGATTAGTTTTTGATATGGTAAACTTTACACTTAGAGTTACTGTTAGGACTGCTGACCTTTGGGGCTTATTATCGCAACAGTCGACATCACATCTTATCTTCTCTAAAGGGATCTAGCACGTTCAGTATCTCTACTTAAGTTATGAAAGATGTTTAATGTGGCCGAAAAAGTGGCTTTGGTAACGGGTGGCGCTCATGGAATCGGGCTGGCTATCGTCCGGGAACTCTTGCACAACGGTGTTAAGGTAATTTCACTTTTGGTTGCGCAATTTTTTCACAAACTCGCCGCAGGGCGTCGCGATTTTGGACGTAAATGAAGCGTTGGGGCAGGAAGCGTTACAACAAATTCGAAACGAGTTCGGCGATGGAAAGGCCAGATTTCTGAGGGTGGACGTTAGCAGTCGACAAGAATTCGGAGGTACGTCGACTTTTCTGTGCATTTGACATAGGTAATATCGTGGTACTTTTAGAGGCGTTTAGGAAAGCGGTTGATATTTTCAAACAGTTGGATATTGTCGTTAATAATGCGGGAATACTTAATGATTTGGACTGGGAGAAGGAAATTGGAGTAAATCTTGTAAGTGGATGTCTGGTACGCATACCAAATGGCTCAGAGCTTCTTTTCAGATCGGTACCACGAATGGTACCATCTTTGCCTTTGAAGATTATCTACCATCGTACAGAAGTGGAGAAGAAGGGGTCATATTAAATATCTCCTCATACTCCGCTTTGCATTGTCATGCGAGTGCTCCTGTTTACGCAGCGACCAAAGGAGGTGTTATAACCCTCACGCGTTGCTTGGGACGGTCAGTGCATTACAAGCAGAAAAATATAAGAGTAATGGCCCTTTGTCCCGCTTCCGTTAGTACTGGTATATCCTCCACTCTAATCAGTCCAAGTTATGTAGAGATCCAGAAAAATCACGATTTCAACCCGAGACCCATTCCTCAGAGGTTCGCATCTTTATGTTTTCTCTCCTCAACTAAAAATTAAATTGATTACAGCCCAGAGGTACTAGGAAAAGCGGCTGTTCAGATTATCCAAGAAGGAGAAAATGGTTCCGTATGGATAGCAGAGGACAATAAACCAGCGTACGAAATAGAAATTAGTTTCACTCGCAAAGAGAAGAAAAATCTAGTGTTGTAAACCATGGGGGAGAATAAATTGCTACTAAATTCCTCGTATGTCTATATGTTTGCTATATATTTAAATATTTTATGTTTTCATACTGGAAATAGTTTTCTGTCTTCAAATTTTGCTTCATAAACTGGCTCATTATCTTTAACCACCCACGTCGATCCACTTACACCTTGGGAAATAGCCAACATGGCCGCCTTTGCTACGTGACTTGTCCTAAAAGCTCAATTTTTACAAAAACCAGTACTGGTAAAATGGTCTTACGGTTGCAAAATTACAGACGTAATTGTAGATTCAAAAAATTTTTGATAATTGGAGTTTAGAAATTTGTCCTCGCCCAAAGTGAGTATAGTAGTATTAGTAAATCCAGGACATAGTGCAAGAACTTTAATGTTATTTCTCTTATAGTGTCTTTCAGTGCCAAGGCAACGAGTAAAACCGACGACCGCCCATTTAGTGCAGGAATAAACGGGTGCGCAATCCAACGGCTCCAAACCGGCCGTTGATGCAATGTTCAAAATTACACCCTCGGTACCTTTTTTGTACTTCGGCAAGTACTCTTCAAAAGCTAAGAGAGTTCCATAAATAGTTCCATTCTACAAATTCATACATGTTAAGTCCACTTTAAACGCCAGATATCCTACTAACCAAATTAGTGTCGATTGTGTCTTCGATTTTCGCCTCTTTTAGTATACCCGCCGCATTGATAACGATATCTAAGTTCTCGAAAGTTCGAACAACAAAATTGAACGCTTCTGCATTTGGAAACAATGAAATAAAATGTACAACCTGCACACTTACCGTCAAGGCTGTCCTTTTTTCTAACATCGGCTTTCAAAAACAGTACCTTGTCACTGCCAAACTCCTCCTTCATTTCTCCCGTTACCTTCTGCCCCAAAATCTCGTTTACGTCCACCAAAATTATCGCCTAGAACATCCATTGCGAGATGAAAGCTTCTCCACCGGTTATACCTTTAATCCATTCCTCAATAGTTCTTGGGATATTGCTAATCCTATTCCCGAGACGCCACCGGTTACCAAAGCTATTTTCCCCCTAATTTCGAACATACTTCTTTGACACGGCAACGGATTATTAATACTAACCCTAACAATCAAGAATGATAACGATTAAAGGTTATCTGGCTGGTGCCTCTTGGTAATGAGGATAATAATAGATAGGAAACTCAAAATATTTCATTTGTATAGTATACTAAAGACCAAAGATTATATTTCGTAACTTCAAGACATGGAGAACGTTCAGACACGTTAAGAATCGTCAAGAGTTTTCTGATGTCCTACTACAAGGTTTCCCTCAAGATTTCGAGTCTTAAAAAAGTACCTATCTCGTAGTTTTATAGAATCCTACAAAGTTCCTTACGAGTCTCAAGAAAGTATCAAGCTCTACAACTCTTGAGATCTAAAAAATACCAAAACCCTACGTAACTATCATAGAATCATTAAGAAATCCAATAATCAAGCATTTAGAGAATTGCAAAGGCTTTCCTAGAAACCTTATTGCACCTTTTTATGCACACAATACTTCACTAGACAATTCTTCGAGGTTTTAAAGGAATAGTTTGAACCATTAAAGACTTAAACACAAAAATCGCTAATCTTCACGCCTCACCACTACCAAAAAGAGACAGAACCTTCAAATAAAAAGCGAAGTGTTTAAAATAGTCAAAAAGAGATTAGGGCAGATTGAGCGAGAAAGCACACTTCTTGCTTGTAGTCCAAATAATCATAACCAAATGAATGGGTACTCGAACCAATTTTCGCCTACAAAATGGCGAAAGGAAACACAAAGCAAACATCTTAAATTATACAATAAAAATCAGATATCGAATCAAATGCAATTAAACCAATTAATAAAAAGGAATACAAGAGGCATCATAAATGCAATGAAAAAACAAGAGTAATCAAGTTAGGCAAAAGAAAACAACCCGTAAAATTATAAATATTCTGTAGGTACATAAAAAACACTCGTACATATGTCGATCTGTCTGTCAATACACGTTGCTATAATATATTTAAATTATGTTACAATGGTATCAAACTGGAAATAATTTTCGGTCTTCAAATTTAGCTTCATAAACTGGCTCATTATCTGTAACCACCCACATTGATCCACTTTCACCTTGAGAAATAGCCCACATGGCCGCCTTTGCTACGTGACTTGCCCTAAAAGTTCAACTTTTACCATAACCAGTGTGGTGAAATGATCTTACGGTTGCAAAATTACAGACTTCGTTGTAGATTCAAAGAATGTTTGGTAATTGAAGTTGATAAAGTCATCCTTGTCCTTCACAACAGGGAGTGAAGGAGTATTAGTAAATCCAGGACATAGTGCAAGAACTTTTATGTTATTTCTCTTATACTGTCTTTCAGTGCCAAGGCAACGAGTAAAGCCGACGACCCCCCATTTAGTGCAGGAATAAATGGGTGCGCAATCGAAGGGCTCCAAACCAGTCGTTGATGCAATGTTCAAAATTACACCCTCGGTTCCTTTTTTGTACTTTGGCAAGTACCCTTCAAAGGCTAAGAGGGTTCCATAAATAGTTCCATTCTACAAATTCACACATTCTAAGTCCATTTCAAACACCAGATATCCTACTAACCAAATTAGTGGCGATTGTGTTTTCAATTTTCCTCTCTGTTAGTATACCCGCCGCATTGATAACGATATCTAAGTGCTGGAAACTTTGAACAGCAAAATTGAACGCTTCTGCAATTAGAAACGATGAAATAAAACGTACAATCTGCACACTTACCTTCAAGGCTCTCCTTTTCTCTAACATCGGCTTTCAAGAACAGTACCTTATCACTGCCAAACTCCTCCTTCATTTCTCCCAATACCTTCTGCCCCAAAACCTCGTTTACGTCCACCAAGACGATCGCCTAGAAGAACGATTGCTAAATTAATCCTTCCTCCACCGATGTTACCTTTAATCCATTCCTCAACAGTTCTTGGGATATTGCTAATCCTATTCCCGAGACTCCACCGGTTACCAAAGCGATTTTCCCCGTAATTTCGAACATAGCTCTTTGAGACGACGGCGACGGATAAACACAACTATAAGTTCAAAACCCTGACAATTGTAAACGATTAATTGAATGACCCACTGTACCTATTAATATAAAGGTTATCTGGCTGGTATCTTTTGACAATTAAGATCAAAATTAATCAAACTCAAAATGTTTCATGTCTGGTGTACAAAAGACCAAAGCTTGGAGGGTATTCATTAACTATACAGACACGTTAAGAATCAACTTTAAATAGTCTTCAAAACCTTTCCGGATGCTAAATCAATAGCTCACAAGGGACATTATGAATGGTTCAAATCTTTTAAGAGGACCTTCTAGAGGTACTTATGAGTCCATAGACACTGAGAATGACCTTTTAAAACCCAAAGGCCCAATATTCTTAAGAGGTAAAGGATCTGAACTCTTAACATTTTTGATAACTGTTTATAATAATAATATTTCCCAACAGTTTACAGAAACCAATTACAGGACAACTACAAAAACAAGTTATTTTCAATACATATAAACAGATACATATGATAACAATATATAATATTATAGGTGAAGATAAATAGTGATTTATGAACATTAGTGAGATAACGATTGCAATATACATTTAAAGGTTGAATGGTCTATGTCACAAGATGAACATACATTATTGAATTTTTTTAAATAAGTATTACATAAATCATTTGAACTAATTTGCGGAACAGTAAATACATATATGATTATTTCTAGAAATAAAGCGGGAGACATGCCAAATGATTTTTCTAAACATTGAGGATGGAATTGTGTAGTAGGTAATACAGGGCTATTTATTTAGAAGTAGACAGAGAGATTTCCTATGTCTACTTTTAAATGACAAAATGCTTCTGAAAGACGCCTGATTTGAGACGGATGTTGATCGTCACTTTCTTGGTGGTGGAGTTTTTTTTGTATATAACTTATCTGTTGTATTCTTGCTGCAAGGATATATAAAAGGGGTAGCATCTGATCAGTATACCCCAGTATCCTTAAAAAACAGTCAGTCGTAATTGTTTAACAAACATTCCGCTGGAAGTTGTAGGTATGTCCACTCTCGTCCTTCATTCCAACCGCGTACGTTTTTATAGTCGATAGTTTTCCTTTACTGACGCCTTTACGGCCAATGTGACTCAGAAGGGTAGGATCTACGCTTTCGGTTTTAGTTAAACAGCTAACCAACATGCCAACAATGATGACCATTAGCGTACACAAAACAGAGTTGTACCAGAAGGAAATTCGAAATAGTACAAATGGTTTGGAGTGTGTATACTCCGCGTGTGTCCTAAACATTGTATCAATGTAATATTAAAATCATCTTTGGAACATACGTGGGCACTATTGTGATGTTGACAGGAACCGGGCAATCTGCCACTGACATTGGTTTTCTGAAATCAACACCAGCACCTTGAATAGAATACCATTGGCCTATAGCAGCTATGGTACCAATGAAGATAAAGCTTGTAACACTTCCATAAAAGGCACCCTGCGACATACCTCTACTTTGCAAGTGAGTTTTACAGTACGCACTTACCTTTGCATTTGCCCTCCGAAAGGTAAGGCCAAGGATGAACAATCCGGTCAGTACTCCATACACCAAGCCAACAAAGGCCGTCACAAACGGCAATATTCCTCCCATGTATTCAACCAGAAAAGTTAAACATGTGCAAAGACCACCCGTTATTACAACTATCAGCCTTAAGATCCAACATTCTTTGCCCTTTAGTGCTTCTCGTGATATACACGGTGCTATTAAGTCCCCATAAATGGTAGCAGATAACGTATTGAATGATGAAGATAGTGTACTACAAAATAACTATCGAAATGAAATTGATCAACTACGATGGGACCCAACCTTAAAGTTGCACTAAAAATACCGGCAATAAAAATACCCGACAATCCTGGAACTTTTTTGCCGATTTCCATGATAAAAAAAGGAAGAATTTGATCGTATCGTCGCACGTCACCCGCCATTACTGGATCACAGTTCCTATACCTTGCATATAATATAACGCCAATAAAAGCGCAGAAGGCGTTTACTGCCACCATTCCGAAACACTGGAGAGCCATTACCCTAAAAATAGGTGACTTATGAAGAATATCAACATGTGTTTTCATTAACCTGCCTTACGACATTTTTAAACTCGGAGACTGATAAATATCTTTGGATGGTTCCGGGATGGAATGCTGCGGCGAACATCCAAAGAACCATACCGCCTAGTACCACCTGCCAAAATCCATCTCTTATCGTTGGATCGAGGCTGTAACTTAGGGCACAGATTAAATTTCAGTTTCTGGATACGAAATGGTACTTAAAATCCAATCGTTGGCCATCGACCGCCATTTCTATAATCCCACCTATGCTGCCTACCGACTTTATTCCCAGCACGAGTATAAAAACGACACATATGGTTATACCAATCAATTGAAACACATCCGTCCATATTACCGCTCTGAATCCCCCAACAGTCGTGTAAAAGACGCACATAGTGCACACAATAGAAGTAACAATTTGGGGATGGATATCGGTTGCTAAAAATCGAATATAATTGGCATAGGTTTTGCAAAAAACATACCCTGAGCGAGCGCTATGGCTGGAACGTAAGCCAAAATTGCGCTGTAAAGTAAAGCGTACAATGTATACGCGCAGGAGGCCACTATCTTAACTTTTTTGTCAAATCTTAACTCGAAATATTCAAAAACATTTGCAGCTCTACACCTTATTAACACTGGGACAAACAAGAAACCTCCAATAACATTTGCCAATATGCAAGATATACCAGACCATAGCATATTTGCTCCATACGCGTAAACATCGGCACTAGTTCCTAGAAAGGTGACACCCGTAACGCAACTGAAACAGAGCCAAAATGAAATAAAGGAAATGATCACTTTTATTCACCTCGCAATTATCGACATAGCTACAGGTATCACATTCATCTTTCGATTGCCCAACAGATACTCATCGGCGGTACGGGACTTTTTCCAAAACCCAAAGTATATCCCGATACCCAAAGAGACAGCAATCGATCCATGCAATATAATATGATCTACTAATCCAAATCCCATTGTTACGAAGTTAAAAACCTGTGAGTAACTAAGCAGCCACTAGTTAACTTCGCCTTTATAACAGAAATGCATGAGAATGTTCACGTGTAAAAAACCTCGGATACGGCACTTGAAAGGTACCTAATAGCCAGTTAAATTTTTAATTATCTGCCGAATACAAGGACACATAAATATTGTTGACATGTAATTGCAAATTAGGAAGTCTCTGAGTTATCACCCATTTAATTATAGGCGTGGCCTTAGTTTGGATACATTGAAGTCGTACAACAATCTTTAGAAGTTGATTGCAGATCTCTTTGCTGAATTGCTTTACGTCCAACAATTCCCTAGTGCTAAGGGTCCCTGGTTCGAATCAGGGTTCGGGCATGGATATTTGTAAATGTATAGTGAGTAGCCTTGGCTAAAACGCCGCCCACTCAAAAATAAAGGCAAATAAATAACTTAAAAAAAATAGATTAGGTGCTAAGGATTCTCCGAGAGTCATGTAATGTCAATTATTTATTTACAATTAATTATTAACGAATTTATAGCTGTCCTTAAATAGGTTGATTCGTAACAGGTATTTATTATTTATCACGCACTTGTACTCAATTACTAATCAAATACGAGCACGAACTTCACTAATAATCACTGCGGCATTGATGTTGGAACTGATATTAACCACGCTTCAATTTACGTGCGAACGTTTCTAGAAAAAATGACGGAACGTTCTCGAAGAGGTCTGTAATATATCAAGGAAAGACGCATGCGCTTTTCGTTATCGTCGGTGATTAATCTTTTATCGACTTGATGGCGCCGGGATACTTGTTACAATATGTGAAGTCAGTTCTGAATAATTTAACGGATTTTAGTTTTTCCTTAAATAAGCAATTCCTCACATATCGTAAAAGCTAATCAGAATCTTGTGTAGGATTCATGACTACAATTAGTCGATTTATTAGGTTAAATGGTTTTCTGAGACATAAATTTCTATTGACTTTTTTATTGAGTTGGACTAGGGAAGTAATTGTTGAATGAAAATGAAATTGAAAGCTCATTAACTGTCTAAAAGAAGATAAATACAGATGAGTGATGTGATGAGATACACTGTTTGTGAGTTTAAGAACATAACTATTGAACAGATTCTCAGAAAACTAGTCAAAGTTATAAACAATTATACAAAACCAGAAATGGCCTAAACCTAAAAGGCCCGTTAGTTCCAATCTGTCACGTGTTGTGGTTGCTCAGCAAATAACTCAAGAGAAACGCAAACTTTGTGACTATTAATGATCACTGTACATTACTTGTGTATTGAACTGTACTCGCAATAAAAATAAATGTGCCTACCGATCTATGATCATCCCTGAGCTGCGAATAATTTTCGCGATACAACAGTAATTAACAGTATTTAATGAGTAATTCACATAAATAGACATGCAAATTGTTCATAATTAAATACCAAATAAAAATTGCGGCGTGTAAAAAAATTATCGATATCGAGTGTGCCACGGTAGCACAATTAGTACGGAAAATATGATTTATTTCATAGTTTATACAGGATGGTGACTTGCGTAATAGGGATTTCAATGTAAAATTCATAACATGCGATTATTGGCTCCCCAAATTACTTTAGAGCAAAAATGTATTAAGGTTTTTTGTAGAAAAATTTTTTTTACTTCAATCCACCTATTATAGTCAATTTTTTGCAAAATAAAGATGGAAGATCGCTATGATGCGTCACGCAAGTCACCAGAGCACATGCCGAGAACTTTAAAGAGGGTAGATTCGAATTGTTGTCAATGGTCGGTGGTAATCCTGTGATGGCAGGATCGCCGTGTAATGTTTTATGGTTTATATTGGGTTCATTTAAGAGTCATGAATAAAAGTCACATCAGTGAAAAGTCCGAGAGAGGCGTCTTGAACTGAATGAAACAGAAGCGTAGTTCTAGGCTGTCTTACGAACTTGCTAAATAAATCAATTTGAATAGTAAGCCACGAAAACCATATTGAGAAATATTAAAACAAAATAAAATGAAATATCTGTCAGTTTAATTCAACCGAAATAACATGCACACGCATTTTGCATTGTCATTCTAGATTTTAATAAAAAACGACAGTAAATAGTGTGCTTTTAGGTCATGATGAAGAAATATTAAATTCGGCCGCTATTTCCCTTAAGTTTCTTATTGGATTCTGGTTTCACAAAAATTAAAACATTCAGTTTCATATCCTCCGTTAAAATTGAGGGTTGTTAACGGTTTCTTATGTGGATCGCATTTGAACAACCACTATTTTAAAGTAATCAGCACAGAAAATAAGTCTCTTACGCTGCTTAAACTATTACCGCCACTATACCAATTGACGATATCAACTTTTTCTTCAGCGGAATGAATCCCACACGACCGAAAATAAAAATACGGAAGTGAAAGCAATAATATTCGAATTAATTAATATACCAGCAAATCTTCATTTGTTTTAAGAACTTATTTTGGTTGCCTAAAATTAGGCGTCTTTCAGAAGAGTTTTTGTCATTTAAAACTAGACATAGGAAATCCCTATGTCTACTTCTAAATGAATATCAAAGGCCAAAAATTTGATATAGGTAGTCTGTTTGATATTAGCTGTCACAGCGGATATCTCGGCTACTGTTGGAGACTTAGAGATATGACAAAATGTTACAGAAGAAAAATTGGTCTACTCTTTTACCCAAAATCGTCATGAAACCTTCATTTTCATGCCTACTTTATCCACGAGTTCAGCAACGACTAGATAGCGGCGGCTCCTCAGTAACTTTAAAACAAAATTATGTCCCAACCGGCAATTTCCCTAGCGGAAGGAAAGCAATTAAAACACAAATTAATTAGAAGTTTCTACGGAGAAATGAAAGCAGGAAAGCGTAACAAAATCCCCCCCCTTTAAAATCAACGGTTACCTTTTGATTGCAACGTTACGACAACTTAATGACTTTAAAAAGAAGACAAATTTCTTCCAAACGCAAAATGAATCGTTACGAAGGCACAATTAAAATTGCTACGTTACAAACTTTCAACGATGTCGAAAAGCAAAAGATCTCCCTAAAATCGAGTGTTTTCTTTATATAGAAGTTTGCAAATTGTGGAAATAAGTATTGGTATTGAAAACAAAAGCAATCCAAATTAAATCGTGTTTAATTAATTGAGGATTTCGGATCACCGGAAAAATATGCAACCAACTCCAAATGGTAGCTATTTTAAGAGCGCATCTCGCGGCATAAGTTTTAAATAAATCAGATAAGGTGCACTGCAACTCATTTTGTTAAGTACTGATAATTAGGCTTACTTTAAGGTTTGGATTTAGAGAGTATAGGCAACTAGTGATGCACATGTAATTCAATGGGGCGTGCATTGCCTCTGAACTTCATTCACCATTCCATAAGCAAGGGGTGTATATGATCGGAAAAATATGCATTAGGTAGATAGATGTACAGAGCATAGTTTCCATACAATATAAACTGATATTTTGTCCACTAATATATGTTTAAAAAATCCAGAAAACATGCGTCAAAAGAGTTCATAGTTTAGGAATTAATTGCAAAAATTAGGGAGCAATTTAAGCAATACGGGTGTATGGGATCGGTAGCGTGAATACTTATCTATATTTTGGCAATTCATGTGAAGCTCAAAAGTTTTCATAAAAAAAGTGGTGAATGAAGTTCTGAAAAATGGGCATGTAAACTGGAGAAATGGAAATAAACTACGCAGCTGTGACTAATATCGCGGTCAACAGTGTAGCTTCTTTCTCACAGAGGGTGCCACCAAGAGTTTTAGGAAGTCAGTAAAAAATACGATAAAGATATGAAATAGGTAAGCGCTTTTATCTTGCGATGGAGTTGTTCTTACTTTTTAACTAGGCTAGTACTAGTACTGTGTAATGGGGATAATAAAAGACCAAAAATTTAAGAGCAAAAAAAACTAGCAGGCTATGTAAGTTGCCTATGCTAAATCATTTAGCGATTCTCTTTCAAGGTTGAACGAGCGTGCGTGTAATAGAATTTGCTGACAGCAAGAAAAAGATCGTTCACTGGTTTATTATTTTGTCAACTACTTGCTTCGAAATTTATTTGGTTTCTCCTTCCTATTCATTGTAAAAGGTACCTCCTCTACCTATCGTTTTATGAAATAAATAATAGAAATGGGGATAGGTAACATTCCTTTACAACAAATATCAAAATTATACCTAATTTTTAGAACAAAGGGCTGTTGTATATTGTTGTTGATGTCTGGCAAGATGCGACCTTGTGTGGGTGTTTATTTGTAATGCGATTTGTTTGACCGTCTTCCCTATTCTTTATCTTTGCTGATTGCAGATTAAAATACCGTAATTTATAATCCATACCTTGTTGCAAATTAAATTTTTTGAACTTCAATAGTTCCATTGAATAAAGCTCTTTATTCAATGATAGTACCTATTACATATTAGCATTGAATAATAAATCTGATTTATTATTCAATGATATTAGTATTAGTTTAGTCAGTTTAGTGTAATGTGTAATAATTGACCTATACAGGGTGATTCAAATTCAAAGGCCACCATGGGGATCTCGGGAACTGTAAGAGATAGGTAGAGGTAGTTTACATTTGACAAAGTTACCCTTGATGGTAACATCATCTATTTTTAATAAGAAATAACATTAATTTGTAAAAACACAAGAAACTACTTACGTACGTTACTTAAGACAAAGGCAAAAAAGATATTTTACAAGCATTAAAAAAATTGATGTGTACATTTTTGAAATCAGAAAAAAATTCTCTATCAAATGACACAAAAAGTAAAAATTACTTCCATAAGAAACAAAGTTGATGATAGTTAACCGGAGACGAAACGTCAAACTTCAAATTTAAAAGTAGCATCTTGTAGAGGGAAAAAAGTGGCCATAATAATGTGTCATTTATTATTAAATATCTTTGTAAACAACTATTAACTTCAGTAAAAAACAAAAACGATTTTCAAAATCTCGTTTTTTCCGGATATCTCCGAAAGTAGTCAGAATTTTCAGTTTCAAAACTGTTTTTGTTAAGCATCAAAATACACAACTTTGCCAAATTTACCACCTACCTATCTCTTACAGTTCCCGAGATGCCCATGGTGCAGTGCCGGATTTAGGGTTTCTGCCGCTGTGGGCAAACATTTTTTGCCGCCCTTGACATATCACTATATCACCATTATTACAAGGTGGGAAAAGTAAGGCATTCATTGGCTATATTTGCAATGCAATGAATGTACTAACAGATTTTATTTTTGCTTCATTTCATTTACCGATTCACCGTTTACCTAAAAAATTTGAACGCATTTTAATTTTTATGTTTTTCTCCAAATTTGCCGCCCTTACAATTTTGCCGCTGTGGGCAATTGCCCACGTTTGCCCCTTATATAAATACGGCACTGCCATGGTGGCCCTCGAATTTGAATCAGCCTGTATATTACTAATTTACAAAAGACCATCCCTCGAATGTAAGACATGGGGAACAAATGTATATTTAGGTATAAACGGCTAAAAAATTAAAAAAAAATCGGTAGATATACCGTATGTCCCCGGATTGACCTTTACAAGAAGAAAAACTTTTACTATACTTTTTGACAAAAATACATTCTCCATAAAAGCTTTTGCTTGTTCTAATTCGAAATTTCCCTACCGTTTCAGAGAAAAATACAAAAAAAACGAAAATATGGTTGAACTTTTTCCAAGTCCTAAAAGTCAAAACGCGTCTCTACTGTAATAACACTTCGTTAGTTACAAAGTCTTCGTTACCTGTTATTTGAATAGGCACTAGGATCGTTTTATAAGTATAACACACTTCGTAATGACATTGAATAAAAACCTCTTTATTCAATGGTAACAATGAAAAAGAATTGAATTTCCAAAGTGTTTTCTTTAAAATGTCGGAATCAAGAGTTTTACTGAAGGCCCTTCCAAACAAAAAGCCCCTGTCGCCACTTGTGAACCAATTTTACGATCTTAATTTTGAAAGTCCCCCATGCCAATAATTACGCGATTTTTACTTCATACGTTACGTTACAAGCGGTTCATTATTCTCCTCAAGTTATGTGTGGTAGAGCGCTAATTATAATTTTGTTAACCTAGCAGTCTGTAAGGAGCCGTGAACGACCTTGCGTTTGTGTTTTGTATTTTCTTGTCGTGTGGTTATGCAAATCAAATTGCATTTTTTTTAAAGCTCCCTCTGTGTTGTTTGGGGCCCACTTAAAGAGAGTATAATGATTTAAATATTTGTATAGAAAACTGCTGTAGTTACGCTATTCATTATTAGGTACCAGCACATTCTAACGAAAAAAACTTTGTCCTTTACTATGGGTACTTCTCTTTTCAGGCAATCCCAGCCTTAATTGGGCGCGTCCAAAAAATATTCAATACTTACTCCAACTAACATCCATTGTTAATGGAATTTGTTCAACTAATACAATAATTAATTACTGGAACTGCAAGTAAATACGATTAATCTTTGCATATGTTCCCCATGCCCTATCCTCAAAAAAAAACGGGGACGGATCCAAACGACTACTTGAAGACGGCTTCGGATTTTTTCCTCTCGGCTGTTAGCTCGAATCAAACACTTTGGGAATACAACCTGCACTAGGTACAGGGTGGTCATTATAAGGCGGGTAAACTTCAAGGTTGAAAACGGGTATTTCGGTACAATGGTAGGTACCGATAAACTTTTTTCACAATTAGTAAGAAACGACCTTAAAAAATCTTTTGCCTGGGTTCGCCCATCATTCATAAAAAATATACAAATTTGTTCACGTATTAAACTTCTGGGGGTAGAATCCATAATTTCAAAACAGTTCCAAGATTGGGCTACTAGATCAAAAGTTACAGCCCTTTGAATTTTCTTTCGAAATTGGTTTCCAGTTCATACCTTTTGCTTGAGAAGTCCGATCGAAAAAGTACGAATTGTTTTGGATTCTACGCACCAAAATTAATAAGAAAAAGTGTTTTCCCGAGAAATTTTGGTACAGTCGATTTTTGGAAAAAAAGGAAGGTTATACACTGCCTTTTTTTGAGCCCCGACAAAAAAATTGTCTCAGATCGACCCGGAAAAAAAATTTTCTTATAGAATGTGGCCCGTAGAATCCATAATTTCAAACAGTTCCAAGATTGGCCTACTAGTTCAACAGTTACAGCCCTTTGAATTTTCTTTCGAAGTTGGTTTCTAGTCCATAACTTTTGATTGAGAAGTCTGATCGAAAAAGTACGAATTGTTTTGGATTCTACGCACCATAATTAATAAGAAAAAGTGTTTTCCCGAGAAATTTTGGTGCAGTCGATTTTTAGTAAAAAAGGAAGGTTATACACTGCCTTTTTTTGAGCCCCGACAAAAAAATTGTCTCAGATCTACCCGGAAAAAAAATTTTCTTATAGAATGTGGCCGATAGAATCCATAATTTCAAACAGTTCCAAGATTGGGCTACTAGTTCAACAGTTACAGCCCTTTGAATTTTCTTTCGAAATTGGTTTCTAGTCCATAACTTTTGATTGAGAAGTCCGATCGAAAAAGTACGAATTGTTTTAGATTCTACGCACCAAAATTAATAAGAAAAAGTGTTTTCCCGAAAAATTTTGTTGCAGTCGATTTTTGGTAAAAAAGGAAGGTTTTACACTGCCTTTTTTTGAGCCCCGAAAAAAAAAATGTCTCAGATCGACCTGGAAAAGAAATTTTCTTATAGAATGTGGCCGGTAGAATCCATAATTTCAAACAGTTCCAATATTGGGCTACTAGTTCAAAAGTTACAGCCCTTTGAATTTTCTTTCGAAATTGGTTTCTAGTCCATAACTTTTGATTGAGAAGTCTGATCGAAAAAGTACGAATTGTTTTGGATTCTACGCACCAAAATTAATAAGAAAAAGTGTTTTCCCGAGAAATTTTGGTGCAGTCGATTTTTGGTAAAAAAGGAAGGTTATACACTGCCTTTTTTTGAACCCCGAAATAAAAATTGTCTCAGATCGACCCGGAAAAAAAATTTTCTTATAGAATGTTGCCTGTAGAATCCATAATTTCAAACAGTTCCAAGATTGGGCTACTATTTCAAAAATTACAGCCCTTTGAATTTTCTTTCTAGTCTATAACTTTTGTTTGAGAAGTCTAATCGAAAAAGTACGAATTGTTTTGGATTTTACGCACCAAAATTAATAAGAAAAAGTGTTTTCCCGAGAAATTTTGGTGTAGTCGATTTTTGGTAAAAAAGGAAGGCCTTTTTTTGAGGCCCGCAAGAAAATTGTCTCTGATCGACTCGAAAAAAATTTTTCTTATAGAATGTGGCGGGGTCGACCTCTTCAGGAACGCCTAATCTGACTTCCACTCTGTCGTAATTTAACCTTATCCTTATCAGTAGTAAAAAGTAAAAATTTGCGTTGTGATTGGGTGCGCCATTTTGTGACGGTAAGTTTGAATTTTTTAATTTGCGGATGTCGGTCTTTTTGTAGCGGTAAGTTTGAATTTGTGCGAAGGATTTGAATGTTTGAATTAACCATTATGACGACACCTAGTGGGGATTTGTTGGCTTTACAAGAATCGGTAATATAGTTTTCTGTAATTAGCATCTAGTGACTGGTTCATGAAATAGTGTTGTGGTGGTAAATTCGATAATAACAAGGAATAAAGGTATTCTTTATTCATTGGATAATAAGTAAATGTATAGGGAGTTTCGAAAAATGTATACATGGTTAAATTTAAGTATACAGGGATTATGATAGTTATACATAGTGTTTGTATTCATTTTGACTAGTAAACTGCGCGAGAATGGCAAAAGCACTATAACAGTTAAAATAAATGAAACGTTAGTTAATGGTACTGAAACAGAATCCGTTTAATATATACTACTTTAAATTTACCGGGTGTAAGTAATTAACAGAGCCGTGTTTAGTATAATACACGTAAGATACGCTGAACAATTAGAATTTTAATGCTTTGTAGACCCATCAACCCATGAAAACAAGGATTAACTGCTCTAAAAAAAACTACACTCTAGAACTTTTGATTTCGCTGAAGGATTTCGTATAGAGCATTAATTTGAGAAATTCATTAAAGAAAGAACACTCTGATTAAAGCTAAAATTTGGCTATGCTTTCAAAACGTTTACATAAGCTCTGAATCGTGGTAATTAATAATTTTTAGCTTCTCTCTTGAAGGAATAACAACTTCATAAGGTACTTCGCTATCCTCTACAACCCAAATTGAACCATTTTCTCCATGCTCTATTGCGTGAAGTAGTCCTTTGGCGACGTATTCAGGCCTGGAAACAGTTAGTGATTTATTTTCGCATCCTGAGAGGTAAGGACGTAAAAAACCTACTTGGTCGGCTGGATTCATTTTGACCACACTAACCGACCGCGTAGGTTTTTTCTATCCGTTTTAGTTCTAGATCTACGCACCCCTGAAGAGTGACAAACGGTTGGCTTTCTCTAAAAATATCTTGATAAGCTGGTCCAAGATTTTTGTCCAACCCATCCAGCGCCAACGTAGTGTCTGTTGGTCCTGGACACAAAGCCAAAAAACGCACTTGTGTCCGCTTGTAATGGCTCTCGGTGCCCCAAGATTGGGTCAGTCCGACAACAGCATGTTTAGTCGCCACATAAACCGGAATTGCTCCAAATACTTCTAAACCTGTCGTGGAGGCAACATTTACTATTATTCCCTCATTTGCCGTCTTATACTTGGGAAGGTAATGGTGTAAAGCCAAAATGCAGCCGATTATCGTACCTACCTAAAGACTGAATTGTTAGAGACGTTCAGCATCACGTAGAAACTTACAAAATTGATACCAATTTGTCTTTCCCACACCGCATCATTCATGATTCCTGCATTGTTAACCAACATGTCAATGTTCTTGAATGTGTCGACTGTCCTCTCGAAGGCCTCTGCAAAATCATTATAAAAAATAGTTTGCCTTGAGACACTTGCCTGCAAACTGCTCTTTGTCGGTAACATCCGTTTTCACGAATAAAGACCGACTGCCTCCAAACTCTTTGGTCAACTCTTCAACAGCATGCTTCCCTCTTTCTTCGCTTACATCAGCAAGTGTGACAGCCTAAAGAAGCACAACTGCACCAGGTTTCCTAAACACAGATACTCACCCGCAGGCCATTACGTAGAAGCTCTTTGGCATAGTGCAAACCAATTCCTGCAGCACCTCCACTTATTAGAGCAACTTTTCCATATATCGCATTCATTTTGGTTCAACTAAATTGGTGTTGTTTTTGTTTATAACGTGCTGTAATCAGAGAGTTATGATAAGCGCTCTTATTATCTGCTGTAACGCTAAAATTGTGAAACTTTTATTAGATTCTGTTTGCATTCTCTGCATTGGTGTTGTAAATTCTTGACAGATTCTTTCGTGATAACTATGCCTTAATGAGAGCAGGTGACACGTGTAGATAAACAACGGCTGGTTAAAGTCCATCTATATTTTCTCGCTTCTTGTAAGTTTTTAAACCAAAAAAATGAATGTGGCAGCTGGAAAAGTAGCTTTAATCAGTGGTGGAGGGGCCGGTATCGGGTTGCAATACGCCAAAGAGCTTCTACGTAACGGGTTAAGGGTGAGTGTCCCACCACCAGAGACAATTGCAGGTGTTTGTCTTAGGCGGTCACCTTAGCGGACATCAACAAAGTGAATGGAGAAAATGCCCTCAAGGAAATCCAGGAGGAATTCGGTCACGAGAAGGCCATCTTTGTTCAAGTTGATGTTGCTGAGAAGGATCAATATGAAGGTGGGAATGTGAGTACATGCAGTTAATCTTATCTTATCACTTTAGAGGCCTTCAAGCAGACCGTGGACAAATACAAAAATCTTGATATCGTTGTAAATAACGCGGGGGTTATGAATGATGCAATTTGGGAAAGGCAGATTAGCATAAATTTGGTAAGAGAGTCACTTGTCGAATATCTTCCAAGTTAACTTGAAGGTGGGGACGATAAATGGATGCATTTTGGCGTTGGAGAACTATCTCCCCAAGTACAAAACGGAATCGGAAGGAGTAATCGTGAATGTCTCTTCTGTGTCGGGGTTGGAAAGATTTCAGGCTTTCCCGATTTATGCGGCGACCAAGCGAGCCGTCATCGGCCTCACGAGGGCGTGGGGAAAGGAGCAGCACTACCATCGGACCAAAGTGCGCGTTCTCGCTCTTTGTCCCGGGGTAACCGACACACCCTTACTGCGGGAATGCTTAGAACGTAATCTGGGGCCTGCTTATCAGGATATAATGCGGGGAAATATCCCGCATTTGACTATTCAATCGTAAAGATGTATTTTGCATGAGCGTTATTTTAACGTGCTTTGTTACAGAGCGGAACATGTCGCGTTGAGTTTAATATACGTACTGAATAATGGTCAAAATGGATCTGTGTGGGTGTCAGAACATAGTGAATCGCCGTACCAAGTTGGAATGCCTTCTAGACACGAGCTTCGAAGAAAATAAACAGCTAGTGTAAAGGCGTTTCAGATGATCGTAGTTAAGATATTCTTTGTAATACAGAGACACTTTAGTTTTTTGTCAAACCACCAATCGTGTTACAGTATGTGTGGCGGAAAGTCATACGAAAAAACCTAGGTAATGCCATTAGTTACATAATTCCACGTGCTTTTTACGTGTATTACTTATTACTCATTAAACATTATACAAGTAATTACTTCAACCCCTTCCTGTACTTGAAACACCCTTGCAATCGTGCTCTGGTCTTGAACCTCAACATCAACCTCTTGCTGCTGTTCTTCAGCTTCAGCTACTTCTTCCTGGTGGCTTTGCATGGACTTGTGGCTTAAGAATTTCAACGTCTTCTTGATGCTTCTGGTCTTGAATTTCTTCGACTTGGTTCTGTTGCTGAACTTCCGATTGAACTGTCTGACTGATAGGTTTCGTATGTCTTCCTTGATTCGGTCCCTTCTGCTGACTTACCTACTAGCCGAAATCGCAGAAGGTAGGTATAACGTCGAAAAATGCGCATCGGCTCTAAACCAGGCGGTTAAAAAACCGTATGAGGCTTCGATGTCGAAAAAGAACAAAATTTCGGAAGAGCAATTGCAAGAATCTACCCGAAGAAGGCACCGGGAAGTGGCGATGTAACCGTGGATGCGGCTTTTGACGTCCGCCTTATGGACAAAGCTGTTTAACCGCTGCCTAAATACGGGCACGTTTCCAATGTGTTGGAAAATTCAATTGGTGGGCTTCATCCGGAAACCTGGAAAAGCTAATTACTGCGGGTGATAGGGAAGGCGCTCGACAGAATAATCGCAACGCGCATCGAATACAGGCTCGGGGAAAACGGAGAGTCCAACCCGAACCAACATCGATTCCGTAAGGGAAAAACGACCGTGGACGCGAATCGGAGGGTGATCAACAAAATAACAGAAACAATAGCCGCCGGAGACTGATGTTGCACCGATATTTCTCTGGAGGCTCTCACCGGGGAAGCTGTTTGGGTCTTGTAAAGTGGAAATTGATCTACGAGGGAAACTTCAGAAGTAGGCTGGCCGAGGGTGTTAAAATGATTGGATATGCAGACCCTTTTGCCGAATTTTGGCAAACATGGCTATGGGCATGCTGAGTCCTAGACCCATTAGAGTATAAGTTTATAAAAATGCCTTTCTTGTATGTAGAATGGAAATTTATGTATGAGAAATGAGATCAATCACATGTATGAAAATTGCTCTTTGGCTTATAAGCGCCATTTTTGAATGCATTAGTGGAGTTTTTAGAAAGTTAGGTTAATAGTCAATAGTAATCAATTTAATAACAATGCCTCTTCCAGCTGCTCTAGCATCGAAATTAGCAAAAAGAGGCCTCTACACAGGTGGGAATATTGACAATTGAATGTGTAAATATCGTTGGTTTTTAGCAAATACACCGAAATCAACGGACAAGGAACGCAAACGAGACTACAGAGGAGTTGTTGGATGCCCCAACAAGAATAACATATACCACGATTGCACCTACTGGTGTGATGTACATTGGAAGCCGGCCAATATTCCCGACCCACGTTACATGCGCAATGTTGGTAAGTTGCTGCAGAAGTATCCATTACCGCATCACTGGACCGAAATTTTCGATAAAGGATTGTAAGTAGCTACCAGTCCTCAACTTTTCCAAATGACCTATTTTAAGGAAGCGCTATTACTATTGGGATATGGAGACGGATATGGTCTCGTGGCTACCTCCAAAGCACCCTAGGGCGAAGATAACTGAAAGTGCTGCCAAATTAAGAGAGAGAAGAGCCAAAGGTGTAACAGCCGAGGACAGAAGTATCTCTAAACTTGATCTTGATGACAGTAAAAACGATCGCAAACGACACAGCAAAAGTTCCAGAAGGGATCGCGAGAGCGATAACTCAGACAGGAGACACAAATATGAGGAGAAAGATCACGGCCGTAAGAGATCGCGCCGTGAGGATATCATCGATCCCATGGATCCTGCCGCGTATTCCGATGTGCCAGTTGGTACTTGGAGTGACGGTTTGGAGTCTAATAAGGCTGATGCTGATGATAATGCGAGTTCGGGAGCTTTGTATCAGCAACGTCCATATCCCTCACCTGGAGATATATTAGCGGCTAATAAATCTAAATCTAAAAGATAGTTGTAGAATATTAGTAATAATAATAATAAGTTAGAATAGTACCACTACAAATCAATACAAGAGACATTTCCAAATATAACCATCTTCAGAGTCCATACAGTGATTCTATAGGCTTGTGTAACTCTAGAAAGGAAGAAGTATGTCAAAAAGTCGGAATTGCTCTGGTAGGAATCTCTAGATCATGTTTATAGCTTAGGAAAGCACCTACAATGTTTTGTAATCTGCTGGGAAGTTTATTTGAGCATTTTCCATAGATTTTCCACACCTTTTATGCGCCCACCAGAGTTTAATACGCTTCTGTCTTTGCAGCTGAGCAAAGTTTTACCTAGTACCCCAGTTTTGTTGAGATGATCTCTCAGGGGGCAGTGACTGGGTATGGCCTTAGTTCACTTCTGCCTAGTGCTATCATCAAGCTGGTTTTAGTGATCAATTTCTTGGATTGTCTTAGTCCAGGAACAGATTCCCATAGACGTTTCTATCATTTTTTTAACTGGCTTCTGAGCACTCCTCCAGCTAGCTGGTGCTCCACAGTCGGGTTCTGGACCAATATGGAAATGAATGGTGCAAGTCTTATCGACTATCCCCTCATGGTTTGGCATCTGCACTATCATAATCTGAGCTATTCCTTTTTTGTGTGACGTTTCATGAGCATCTTGGAGGTCCGGAAGAAGGCATTTTACCCTCACTATTTGTGTTGTATCGTATTATACGTATACAGTCAACACAACGTATTGATGATTATGTGTGAAAACCAGAAAATCATAATTTTGGCTTTCGGTGACGCATCCTGTATATAATGATCGGCGCCTATGTATTTTGAGGTTGGCATTTCTGTAATTCAAACGTCAGTTCACAAGTTTTGCACCCAAAAATCATGCGTTTTTGAAGTTTGAATGAAAATGTTTGAAAGCTAACATTTAAAATTTAAAGAAAAGAAAAGGGAATAATGGCCTCAGCACTTTTCGGAAGAAATTTGCTTCTAAAGCAGCTTGCGCCCTTTAAATTACCCAAACGTCACGGCTACATTGTCTTGTAGGTTATCCCAAACTATTTCAGAACTATAATTAAACACTTTACAGAGTACCGGAAATCGGGGAAGATTTACCAGAAAAAAACCCTCTGGCGCAACAGAATGGTTTACCCGAATTTAACTCCTTGACAATAGAAAATTGTATGGCAGCGATTGGTAAGCAGGCTTTCGATTTGGAATTGGGCGTACAGAATATCGAAGAACTGATTGCGAAGAACGCGGTTAAAGATGTGTTTCAAGACGTGCTTAATCCCTTAGAAACTTTAGGCGCCCCGTTGGATGTGACGTGGGGTTTATCTAAGACTTTATATTTAGGTAATAGTACGATAATGCCTACTAAAAGCTACCTTTCGATACACGATCGTGCTCGAAAGTCACGGTCGATGAAGTTTAACAGTAGTCAAATTTATAACACGGTTAATAATGATAGTGGGACTAGGAGCAGTGAACAAATACGGCTACTTCAAAAGTTCAAGTTGGAGGGCAAATTGAACGGGTTATGCGTGAAGGAAGGCCACCGGGCGCGTCTTAATGAAATTCTCACCCAGCTGCACGCCGAAAAGGGAAGCTTTAAGGCAAAAATCGAAATGGCGACCAAGGCATTTTCCCATCGCATCGATGAAGCTAGCATTGTCAAGAATTTTCCCGCCGACCTACTGCAAGCTATGGCCGGTGATCCTCGCGATTACTTAAAGGCACCGTGGAATGCGACATTGCAGCAAAATGTGTATTTACCCTTCATGGAGAATTGCTCCGTACGCGACCTGAGGTGGAATATGTGGTTGGCTATGGTAGGAAGGGGGTCTACGTACGGCAATGCCAATTACAGCACGAGTAGGCATTTGGAAGAAATAAGGTATGTCTATTGTCTAGGGAAAAACTCAGTAGAATTTTGGTGTACACTACTTGCATTTTATAGAATTTTTTAAAACTTTTCTTGAATTTTTTAGAATTTTAGTGTAAACATTCTGCTCAATTTGAGTCACTTTCTGTCACTGCTATCGGTGTAATTCACAGAAATTATTTTTAGTTCAGTGGTGTATTTACGCTACAACTGAGTGTTCGCTATTAACACGTACGACCTTCTTAAACATTTAATTTGTGAACAGTGTAATTGCGTTACTCACGATAAGGAAAGCTTAAGGGGGCCTATTCACATTGAAGGATGTTACGTCATTGAAAAGAGACAAAAAATCAAAGGCAAATGAGCATAATAAAAAGGTACAGTACTATTTAAAAAAATTCAATTGTTTTTCGTTATTCATTTGTTTTCTGAAATAAAAACGACTGAACGCTGCCTTATTATGGGAAATAAAATATTAAACAACTTTTATATACTTAGAAAAATATTATATGCAGTCATTATTTAAGAAGATATACTATAGTCCATCCATAGTGGGCACCCTGTATATTTAATTAGTCAAATAACCCACGCCTTTATTTTTAGTCTTCGCGTTGCGGCCTCGTTTCGCTTTGCCGGAGGTATGTTGGGTACTCTACAGTGTGATGTTGTGTTTTGGAAACGGAATTGTTATGCTGTAAATAAAATTCGCTTATTGTCTAATATCTTTAAAAGCCACGAGCGGACATATTGTTATCAACTTTCGTCAAAATGTTTCCTGCTAAGAAAAATTCGTTGAAGAATTTGCCGCGCCCTGGGCAACTGATCGTAGTCCCCCCCACCCCCCATTCCGAAGGTTGACGTCTAAGAAACAGCGTTTTAAGAAAATTAGAGAGGACACAAAAGGTCTAAGAAAGGAGAGCGCCGTTCTACCGTTCGCCGCCGCTCAAGTAGCGCTGTCTCGGACATACCCTTATCTAATAGTTTTCGTGACTGCCGACTTCTGCGGGAAACGGTGTCATATTCTCCCAGGGATAGTCCTGGCCTTCGGACTTGATACCACTTGCTTCGCAAGACGAAGGTCGCGACTGGCATAGCACCACTTTAATTACAGCGACTAAAGTCACTAAATATAGAAAGTACAGCAATCCATTGGGCTCGTGTGTTAGAGAGAGATGATTTTTGCCCAAAAATGGCGGAAGTTACCAAATTCTAGTAACTTTAATGTTAGGGATTGTTTCACCTGTTTGGAGATATCTGTATATATTATTATAAAACATGACAGTACTATGAAGTTAGGTTATAAAAAATTACAGCTATTCAGATTTTATTTGTCAATTTTTTTAAGTTGGCAACAAATTTGCCCAAAAATGGCGGATGATTGCGGTACTTTCTATATCTAGTGACTTTAACAGCGACAGCTCAGGGGCGACTGTGATTGTGTCCAGGTGGAACTTTTTCTTAAGGCACGGCCTTCGAAAAGAAGAAAAAACCCATCTTTTTGTGAAGTATACACTTACTGTTAACTGTGAGCGCTTGGTTCCCCCAGTGGGGAACCCAGAAATAGCAGCGGTCTTGTCTGCACCTTGCTTATACAGGGTGACAATTTGAAAACTTACCACCCCCCATATCTTAGTAAATAAACGAGATATTTAAAAAAATCAAAATCCGTTTCTGTAATTCGGAGGGGGAATCACAATGACATAGTTGGCGACGCACCCCCTCACACCCCCTGCGCCCCAGCCACCTCAACTTTTAAATCTTAAATAGTGACCCCCCATGTGTGATACGTCGTTGGAAAGCTCTGAAAAAATGCTTTCCAACCATACCAAATAGCATTACATTTAGGTTAGTAATTATCGTGCAAATCAAAAAATAAACATGGAAAATCGTATTTAACTTGAACTTCCAAAGCCGACTCGACAGCAACTCATTTTTGATCGCCAGTAATAATCTATTCTCAAACTCTTGTCGAACCTTTCCTATGTTGGTTTTGCAATATTTCGACATTCTTGAATTATTCTCTGTCTTAGTTCGTCTATGTTCGCCGGTTGCGTTTTAAATACGACAGATTTCCAATGTATCATATTAGTTTATTTTTTAATTTGCACGATAATTACTAACCTAAATGTAATGCTATTTGGTATGGTTGGAAAGCATTTTTTCAGAGCTTTCCAACGACGTATCACACATGGGGGGTCACTATTTAAGATTTAAAAGTTGGGGTGGCTGGGGCGCAGGGGGTTGGAGGGGGTGCGTCGCCAACTATGTCATTGTGATTCCCCCACCGAATTACCGAAACGGATTTTGATTTTTTTAAATATCTCGTTTATTTACTAAGATATGGGGGGTGGTAAGTTTTCAAATTGTCACCCTGTATAGAGATAAGTCTCGTTCCGATCATCAGGACCAATTGAGTAGAGGCCTACTGACACTTGGAATAGGGTTGAGCACGCTTTTAGTGGAATCCGTTAGTACTTATTCCAAAACCCTTGTGTGACAAGTTGTGGGTTCCTACAGTGACTGTAGACGGTGGTGACAATTGAGCCCGTCCGCCATGTTGTGGCAAATTCAAACATAGAAACCTTGATTCTATGGTGTGTATAATTAATGATAGAATACTTTAATAATTGAAGATATTCAACACAGCTAGTGAAACTGCGGTTCAAAATTTTAGCTGCTATGGGGAACAAATTAAAGTAAATTGCGCTTGCATACAGACGCCAGGCGGCCACTTACTGACTGACTGTAGAAGGTTAGAGGTCAAACTTGCAGTCTTGACAACCACTCACTAATTTTAAAAGTCCCACGATCGTATCCTCAAGCACTCATACTTATTAACGTTACAGGTATTTACGAAGGGAGCAAGCTAAACTACTCGGTTACGAAAGCTTCGCCGATATGTCTATGGAGACCAAAATGGCGGGAAAAGTTAGTAATGTTAGAAATGTCTTGGAGGCGCTGTTGGAAGCCGCACGGCCGGCGCAAGAGCGTGAGCTGACGAGCTTACACGAGTTTGCGCTTCGAAACGGTTTCAAAGATAGCAAAATCGAACTTTGGGACGTCCCCTACTGGCGCAGGCGCCAACAGATCGAACTGTTTCACTACCGTGAGGGCGACTACATTCACTACTTTCCCTTACCCACCGTACTAGACGGTTTATTTTCCTTATGCAAAAAGCTATTTAAAATCGAAATTCGACAGAGAAAAGAGGTATCTACGTGGGCCAGAGACGTCAAATTCTACGACATTTATGAGTCGGATAGTGCGGATCCAATAGCGGGCTTCTATCTTGATCCCTACATTCGAAGTACACAGAAGATGCACATTCCGTATCACAACGGGTGGATGGTCGGTATTCAAAATTGTAGTAAAATCGCCAATATGAAGCCACTAGCCGCACTCGTGCTGAATTTCTCGCCACCTACCGGCGATAGACCCTCATTACTTACGTTCAAAGACGTCAATCTACTGTTTCACAAGTTCGGACAGGCGCTGCAACATTTACTAACGAGGACCACCTATTCTGAAGTGGCGGGACTGTCGAACGTCGAGTGGGACATCGTGGAAGTGTCCGGTTACACTCTTTCCCATTTCCTGTACAATAAATCAACAATTGACATGATTAGTGGACATTGTGATAACGGCGAGAAGCTACCCGTGGAAATGTTCGAGACACTGATTAATTTCCGCAAGCACACAGCGGGTTTAGATTTGTGCAGGGAGCTTTACCTTTCTGCCTTAGACTTAGAACTTCACACCCACAAGGAGTTTTGGTTGGACGTTGTTAAGGGCCTATGGTCCCACTATCGTTGTTTTCCACTACACAAATTCGATAGCCACCCCTGCTCGCTCACGCAAATATTCGTCGAAGAATGGGGCGCCGCTTATTACTCCCACATTTGGGCACGGGTCCTTGCCGCGGATATATACGGTGCATTTGACGAGGCACAAGGCGATGAGCAACTGATGAATGTCAGCCAAAGATTTCGAGATACATTTTTAGCTTTAGGAGGCAGTTGCAATCCATCGGAGATGTTCCGCCAGTTTAGAGGTAGGGATCCGTCACCGAAAGCGCTTTTGAGTTCCTTAGATTTAAAGCAAGATAAATAATTGATGAATGCTTTATTTGTGATGTGATCTAAGCTAACAGCAGAACCTGTTTTTTTACCAACTTGTTGACATTGTTTGTTAGTAAGAATAAATGTATATTATAGGTATCTAAAATAAAAGATTGAAAGTTAAAATATATGTAACCCACCAATAACTTACGTTTTTAGCACCTCACATGTGGGTATAACATTTTGCGCCCCTATTAAAAAAAATTCATCTACCTACATTGGAACAAATGAAAAAAGTTGTAAAACTGCCGTCTGTTTCACTCACCTGGAATTCTTAGACCTGTTTTGCACATGAAACGCGTTGGAATTATTACCTATCTTGCACTTGAACCTTCCTTTAGAGAATGAAGCGATCACTGGGGGTGGCCAATAACATTAGTTATTACACCTAATGGTCGGACTGACCTTGGCTCAACTGTAGGCTTAAATTCCCGGGACGAAGGGCAAGTTACCTAACTTGGGTGCGAGATCATGCAAACAAAAACTCTGATTTAAAATCTATGTGCGATATATGAGTGGCCAGTTTGCAAGTCACTGATTTTTGTGGGAGATCGCGGTGTAGAACTCCCTTTGTTCAGGGGTTAGCTTTGATATATGTAATAGAAAATGTGTTTGAGGAGTCACAGTGAAATTGCCCGGGGGTTTTCTTTGAAGTATAGTCAATTATCTTGCGGATAGCTCCCGGGCGTCCAAAAAAATCTGGGACATATCTCAAAATTTATGTTAATTAAGCCCACTTCTAATGCTACTAGACCTAATATAATCAGACAAAGTTTGTTGCAACACAATTATTTAACTGCTTACTTTATTGACCGGATTAAAATTCAGTAGCCTGCTTCTGATTCTGCTTCTTGCACGTGCATGTCGCACGTACCTCATCATCGCTTATTGTTACACGTTCGAACCTTAATAAATTGTGCCATAAGCGTAGAATGGAATTACATATCTTTAAACATCGTACATTTCAAGGAATAATAGATACCTAAATAAGTGCAAGCAAACACTAAAAATTTGGCAACGCTGGGATTTCTGCAATGATATTTATAAATTTCTAAACAAGTAGTTGCCTTGAAATAGCCGGGTAGCGTACGCCAATAAAATTGAGAAAAAACAGTAAAATTTGTTAGGCAACACACAATACATATACAATACTATTCTCTATGCCGTTGGATCTCTTATTATGGTTACTCTTTGATTAAAGTCATCGCGTCAGTCACTTGCACATTTAACCTCTCGGCCGCACTTCTATCTTGAATTTCCTCTAATAGAGTTATATCGGAAACACTTCTGGGAAGCTGAGACACCTTCTGTCGAACTACCTCATCGGCGGACGCCAAATTACCCTCCAACTCTTGCAGTGCTTTGACTAGCTCCTCAGGTTCCGGCGGATCCGTGGCAGGCGTTCTCGGGCTTAAATGTACGTGAGTCTCGACGGTACCGTCGACTTCCACCGTAACTTCGGTTTCCGACTTTTTCCGTTCTCGATTCGGACTGCCCTTAGCCTCTCCGTTATTATCAGTCTTTGCTCGTTTTAGAGGCGGCTTAGTGGGTGATAGTACTAGAATTTTGGAGCAATTAATGTCAACCGAATTTTTTTTTCGGGCCTCAAAAAAAAAGGCATTGTATAACCTTCCTTTTTTACCAAAAATCTACTGCACCAACATTTCTCGGGAACACACTTTTTCTTATTAATTTTGGTGCGTAGAATCCAAAACAATTCGTACTTTTTCGATCAGACTTCTCAATAAAAAGTTATAGACTAGAAACCAATTTCGAAAGAAAATTCAAAGGGCTGTAACTTTTGAACTAGTGGCCCAATTTTGGAACTGTTTGAAATTATGGATTCTACAGGCCACATTCTATAAGAAAATCTTTTTTCCGGGTCGATCTGAGACAATTTTTTTTTCGGCCCTCAAAAAAAGGCAGTGTATAACCTTCCTTTTTTACCAAAAATCTACTGCACCAACATTTCTCGGGAAAACACTTTTTCTTATTAATTTTGGTGCGTAGAATCCAAAACAATTCGTACTTTTTCGATCAGACTTCTCAATAAAAAGTTATAGACTAGAAACTAATTTCTAAAGAAAATTCAAAGGGCTGTAACTTTTGAACTAGTGGCCCAATCATGGAACTGTTTGAAATTATGGACTCTACAGGCCACATTCTATAAGAAAATCTTTTTTCCGAGTCGATTTGAGACAATTTTTTTTCGGGCCTCAAAAAAAAGGCAGGGTATGACCTTCCTTTTTTACCAAAAATCGACTGCACCAAAATTTCTCGGGGAAACACTTTTTCTTATTAATTTTGGGGCGTAGAATCCAAAACAATTCGTACTTTTTCGATCAGACTTCTCAATAAAAAGTTATAGACTAGAAACCAATTTCGAAAGAAAATTCAAAGGGCTGTAACTTTTGAACTAGTGGCCCAATCTTGAAACTGTTTGAAATTATAGATTCTACAGGCCACATTCTAGAAGAAAATATTTTTCCAGGTCGATTTGAGAGAATTTTTCTTCGGGCCTCAAAAAAAGGCAGTGTATAACCTTCCTTTTTTACCAAAAATCGAATGCACCAACATTTCCTGGGAAAACACTTTTTCTTATTAATTTTGGTGCGTAGAATCCACAACAATTCGTACTTTTTCGATCAGGCTTGAATTCCCTGGACAAAGGGCAAGTTACCTAACTCGGGGGCGATATCCTGCTAACAAAAACTCTTTGATTTAGAATCTTTGTGTGATATATGAGTGGCCACTTTGCAAACCACTGATTTTTGTGAGAGATCTCGGTGTAGAACTCCCTTTGTGCAAGGATTGGCTTTGATATAATAGAAAATGTGTTTGATGAGTCACAGTGAAATTTTCTTTGAGATATAGTCAATTATCTTGCAGATAGCTGCCGGGCGTCCAAAAAAATCTGGGACATCTCAAAATTTATGTTAATTAAGCGCACTTCTAATGCGACTAGACCTAATCTAATCAGACAAAGTTTGTTGCAACACAATTAATTAACTGCTTACTTTATTGACCGGATTAAGGTTGATTCTCACTTAACATAACGTTTCCATACCATATCCTTTCCATAACCATTCCGTAAATTATTATACCTATGAAATTGACCTTTAAGTGATATGTGCGTAAGACATTTAGCCGCGCGCTAATACACATTCTCCTTTCCGTTCACATATGGAAGGCGAATGTGTATTAGCGCGCTACTGAATGTCTTACGCACATATCACTTAAAGGTCAATTTCGTAGCCTATAATAATTTACAGAATGGTTATGGAATGGATATGGTATGGAAACGTTATGTATAGTGAGAATCAGCCTTTAAAATTTCCAAATTCGGTAGCCCAGTAATGGTCATTGCTACATGAAATTTATGGAATGCAAGGGGTCTGCGATAATGAATTAAACTGCACAACCTTGCAGTTTTAACGCTCGAACTTACCCTTTATACCCAATTTTTATAATAAGCCCCCTCCAAGTATCCACCCGTACCTCATCATAACAAAATGAACTTGCCCCTGGAGTTTCAAATGGCCATTGTTACAGTGCAGTATCGTTGGTTGCCTAACCATACATTTTGGCCTTCTGAGCACCCTCTGAATGGGATTCGTTAATCCCTATGACTTATGATCATTTAAAATTAGGATTTTATTTCTACAGCTGTAGACAATGGGGTGTACTCTCCCTCTAAAATATGTCATACGAAATATTTCCTGCTACAGCCATGCTTGCTCAAACAATCAAGTCAGCTTAGACACAAACAAACAAATTTACATGTTTTATTGATTGTACAATACAACACCCCTTACATGATAATGATGTAATAACATATTAGGTACATGTTGCTAAGTTTTCCTCCTTACATGCTTTGCACCATTACAGATTAAGGTATTAATCGTGTTTTAGACAACAAATGTTCTTCAAACTTTGGGTGTCCAAAACAGAACTAAATCGTCTACTAAAATGTACTCAGCGAAAATAACATTAACTAATCAGTTTGGTATTTTAAAAAGATCTCCCGCCGATGGCAAAGGAGACAATCCGTGTGTAACATCCGGCAGCCTTGTCAAGTCTGGAAGATTTCGAATGTGTGTCTTCAACTCGTGGCGCACCGCAAATACTTTTTGTAATTTATCCGTATACTCCTGCAAAATTAATTGTGAACGTAACACAGTTTGAATAATGTCATTTACCTCTAAGGCCTGCTCCGCTTGTGATAAAAGATCCTTTTGTACTTGCAGAAATTCGGCTAACATTACCGTAACTTTCTTCCGTAATTCTACTTCCCTAGTCAATCGCGCATTATAGCCGTCAATTAAAGTCATCGCGTCAGTCACTTGCACATTTAACCTCTCGGCCGCACTTCTATCTTGAATTTCCTCTAATAGAGTTATATCGGAAACACTTCTGGGAAGCTGGGACACCTTCTGTCGAACTACCTCGTCGGCGGACGCCAAATTACCCTCCAACTCTTGCAGTGCTTTGACTAGCTCCTCAGGTTCCGGCGGATCCGTGGCAGGCGTTCTCGGGCTTAAATGTACGTGCGTCTCGACGGTACCGTCGACTTCCACCGTAACTTCGGTTTCCGACTTTTTCCGTTCTCGATTCGGACTGCCCTTGCGTTTTTTAGCCTGTCCGTTATTATCAGTCTTTGCTCGTTTTAGAGGCGGCTTAGTGGGTGGTAGTACTAGAATTTTGGAGCAATTAATGTCAACCGATTGTAGGCACGTTCTACTTACATAATGCTTGCTTGAATTCAGTCAATTGAAGATCGTCGTAAATTCCCCGCTCGTCCCAAATTGAAAGCAACCTACCTAGACTAGATTTCATTTTTTCATCGTACCCTATGGAAGATAAATGCTCGAAGGCCTTTCCCAAAACAACTGCAAATTCCTTGCCGAACTCGGGTCCTTTCTTTCTACTGTTTTGAATAACATCATTGGCCAGATACATGAACGTTAACTTCTTACTATCTTTCGCTGCAAACTATTAGATCGGAACGGGAAGGTGAAGAGGGTCTATGTTACCTCTAAGCAGCTCCTTGTACCAGGTTTTCACAATTTGGACATGGTGTTTTCTGTGATGAATCAACCAAAAGGATAAAGTTTGAATACTTTGTGTTGAATTATTACACTCAGCGAGTTTCTTCATAAACGCGCTCTCTGTAAATCCCGACATAGTAACTAATTTAAATAAAAATTAAAAAACGTCATAAACTTTCATAACAAAATTACACTTTTCAACTGGCATCAGGCATTTTGACTTTTGACGTAAGCACTTTAAACTGACTTTTGTACTTGATTTTGGTTTTATATTTTTTATTTATTTGGAAGCTTGAATTGGATTATTTTGCTTTTTTCGGTGAACGATAATTCTTGCAAAATAAATAGTAAAGAGCAATCAAACCAAAATTATCATTTTAATAAAGTAGCTGTGGCTATAGAAACGACCAGGGGGAAATGCGCTCGGCGCCAAAAAAACCAGTGGCGTGTATGAAATTTTGTAACCTTGGACTTGAATCGTTCACACTCACTGTTTCTTTACGTCCTTCCCCCTTGTTTTTCTGCTACATCTGACTCCTTATTTACATCTCCTGCACGTCTTCTTTATTCCCTTCTCATCTCACACTTCGTTACAAATCGTAATCCAGTAATACCTCTAAAGTTGCCATTTATTTACATACTTTTTTACACCTTCATCTGTGCACCTCTCTCACATATCCCTCACTCATTTTTCACGTTATCTTCGCGTTCCCTTGAGATCTCCATCACATCTGCTAACAACCTTCTTCTTGTCCCTTTCAAGTATTCCAGACTTTTACATTAGGTCTTATTCCCTCCCTTTTTTCGCCTTCTTGCGTGCCGGGTGCAGTACATCCGTCCTATCCCAAGACAACTCTTTGGTACAGGGACGCTCTGGAGGCGGGCTGCTCAGAGCCCCTTCAGCCACAAAACTGGAATGGATAGGTCAAGTTAGGGATGCGATATTCCAACATTCACCTCGTAAGTTTAAGAAAAAACCCCTGACGAAACTCGAAACGACATCTCACGAATAGCAGTCGGGGAGTGCAACACTGCGCCCCGCGAGTCGGTTACCTAAGAAACCAAGCGGGGGCGTACGCCAATGGTATTTTGGTCGACATTGTTACTGTAGTGGTAACACTGTAAAACTTTCATTTGGTATTCAGCAACATTTCTAAAGAAGCGGTTCGTGCTAATTGCAATTGTTTTTTATTTTAAATAGTGCTTCAATCATCACTGGGAACGATAAGATCGTTTGTAATGGCAATGCAACCGCACAGCAAGAAGAGGGTTTGTTATTACTACGACAGTGAGTATATTTCATTTTTTTGCTCCGCATACAATTTTCATTGTGCATTTTAAGACCAGTTAATAATCTGCTTGAATGATTTGCGAATGGTTTACTTTAAATTAATGTCTTGTTTATGATATTTGGTTAAGTACAGTTTTGTTGAGTTAAAGTTGAGAAATCTACGATAGACTACGGTGTATTTGCTGGTTGGTCTCTTCTGATTGGTTGTTGCAAACGTAGCGTCACTGGCATTGAACATATACGGTTGTCTGAAGTTAGTCTATCGCAGATTTTTGAATTTTTTCACTCTTGGACCTTAGAGGTAGATATGGGCATTGCATCTCTTCTCTATTATTTTTCGAAGGTTGCCACAATGCAAATGTAATGCACTGTTAAGCTATTATTAAATAGACTGCTAGGGATTTGGTATAAACCTGTTAGGAAGTTTGGGATTTTGAAGCCCTTATTTGAATATTTTACTTACATCCTTCCTTCTTCTTTTGGGTTAAATTTGAAATGTTCACTAGGCGACATTGGCAATTACTACTATGGGCAAGGACATCCAATGAAACCTCATCGTATTCGTATGACCCACAACTTGCTGCTCAACTATGGCTTATACAGAAAAATGGAAATATACGTAAGTTCAGGCGGTTCCAATAGCAAGTTTTAGTATTAGTTACTCTCCTTAGAGACCACACAAAGCTACAGCAGAGGAGATGACGAAATTTCACTCGGACGACTATATCAAGTTTTTACGTTCAATTCGTCCAGATAACATGTCGGAATACAATAAACAGATGCAAAGGTTTAACGTAGGCGAGGATTGTCCAGTATTCGACGGACTCTACGAGTTTTGCCAACTGTCCGCGGGGGGATCGGTAGCTGCCGCAGTAAAGCTGAACAAGCAGGCGTCCGAAATTTGTATTAATTGGGGCGGGGGTTTACATCACGCCAAAAAGTCGGAAGCATCCGGTTTCTGTTACGTTAATGACATTGTGCTCGGAATTCTCGAGCTCTTGAAGTACCACCAACGGGTGTTGTATATTGATATCGATGTTCATCACGGTGATGGTGTTGAGGAGGCGTTTTATACTACAGATCGAGTGATGACGGTCTCCTTCCATAAGTATGGGGAGTATTTTCCGGGCACGGGCGATCTGCGCGATATCGGTGCGGGAAAAGGGAAATATTACGCGGTCAATATACCGTTACGCGATGGTATGGACGACGAGTCCTATGAAAGTATATTCGTGCCGATTATCAGCAAGGTGATGGAGACTTTTCAACCGAGCGCCGTGGTCTTGCAGTGCGGGGCCGATTCGCTTACCGGCGACCGTTTGGGTTGCTTCAATCTGACCGTGCGCGGTCACGGTAAATGCGTCGAGTTCGTTAAGAAGTACAATTTACCCTTCATGATGGTGGGAGGTGGCGGTTACACCATTCGAAATGTGAGCCGCGCGTGGACTTACGAGACTTCGGTCGCGTTGGGAGTGGAGATTGCTAACGAATTGCCGTATAACGATTACTTCGAGTATTTCGGGCCCGATTTTAAGTTGCACATCAGCCCGAGCAATATGGCGAATCAGAATACGCCCGAGTATCTCGAGAAGATTAAGACTCGACTGTTCGAAAATCTCCGGATGCTTCCTCACGCCCCCGGAGTGCAGGTGCAGGCGATACCTGAGGATGCTATCCACGAGGATTCGGATAATGAGGATAAGGTCGATAAGGACGAAAGGTTACCACAAAAGGAGTTGGATAAACGCATCGCGCCAGAAAACGACTTCTCAGACAGCGAAGATGAAGGTGAGGGCGGAAGGCGGGATCAGAGGAGTTATAAGGGTAGAAAGCGGCCCAGGTTAGAGAAAGGTGGTGACAGCAAAGACGGCGGATTGGATGACAAATCCCTTAAAGATGAATTGAAATCAGATAAAGGTAGGTTGACCGTTTATATAGGGTCAGTTCTAGACATCCTAAGGGGTAAGCTGAAAATTGAAGTAATTCTTTTTTCGATTTCTTCTATTTAGATTAATTTTTCATTTTTTTATGACAAAGAAACGGATAAAAAATGTCAAAATAAAACAATTAAAATTTTTTTTTAATGGCTATTTTGATTTTATTAAAATTTTGACAGTAAGACTGTCAAAAACCTTTTTTTTTAACAGCTGGGCACCCCGGTTTCAGTTTTCAAAAATAAAGAAGGTATTGAAACATTTTCAGCTTGCCTCCTCTCATTTTCGTTTTTTCAAGATTTATTTTGTTTCAGATGATAAAGAGGATTTGAAGAGCAGTATTGAAGACAATAAGAAGGAGGTGGGGGTTGCGCCGTGACGAAGCAACTATTTGCAACATTCTAAATATACGTGATGTAGTTAAATTTTATTTATTCCTCGTTTTCGTTTGCGTCGCAACATTATGAGTACTTGTGAAAGGAGCGAATTTAAGTTTTTTTTAACTTCCAAGTTCACCTCTGAGTTGAATGATTCATCAAGCTGTACAAAGTATTTATTTTAAGGTGTCGATGCAGTATAACCGGCTTATGAAATTACCGAGGAGATATTTGTAAGGTAATTATTTGTAGTAGGTTGTACTGTATCAATTTTAGACGAATTGTAACTTGTAAATACACTTTTATTATTTACCTTAGGTCGCGCCACATTTATAAGTGTTTTCATACAATTTATTAAATAAATTACTCGTACAATGCGTCTAGGAGCTAGTGAATTTGTCGGGGACTACTAAATTCATTCAAATTGCTATGATCACAGATCTACACATACATATCTGTCACTTCACTAAGCGTGCATTATCTGCTGCTCAATAGAGGGCGCTTTTAAGTATACCTAAATGTTTCCCATAAAATGCATAAGGTTAGCAATCTGTTGTATGTGTAGATCTGTTGTATGTGTAGATCTGTGCTATGATAGTGATTTGAAGTTTGCAAACATTTTTTTAATTAACGGTTCCACAAATTGGTCCCCACTTATTTTTGAATGTTTAGTTTGCGTTTATGTTTTAAGGGGAGCCCAAACCCAGACCTTTTAAACCACAATTTGAGCCCATACTTATTTAAACAATGATGCCCATACCAACATTTGGTTTTCCCTCAATTTTAATTGTCAAATTTCACTGCAAGACTGACTGTTGTTACTTTTGCATTTCTGATCAGTAAAGACGCCACGAATACATTCGCTACCGTATTGTGTGCTTTTGAATTTTTCTTCAAATGGAATATTGAAAAAATTAAAGAAACAATACATTTAGGAGCATATAATACATAACCTTTTTATGTATGATAAGCATAGTTTCGGAATTATGTCCTTCAAAACTGATCATGATCATAAATGGGAGGTCCTACAATTTTTCTTTGTATGGATGTTTCCATCTACATGGGACTAATGAAAGGTTTCAAGGAAAGTGCACTTTCATTTTGTTTGCTTTTATTAAAAAAGACCATCAAATTGCTCCTCAAATAAGAAAGATGTTCATTGCACACATCGTGTCTGTAGTTTCGTTTCATGCTATGGTTTGCATACGACTATTCTTGTCTCAATTTTACACAAATTATTATGCTCACATTTGTTTGTTATTAAAACAAACACGAAGTATAAGATTGGAGCGCAAACAACTTGTTAGCGTTGGTCGAGTGTGGTAGTAAGATGGTACTTTTTAGCGCATTTTTGGAAAAAAATACGTTATTAATTTTCGTTATGGCTGTCTGGCTGAGATCTCAGCAATTACAATAGCTAGAGCAGGCGTGGGCAACCCACGGCCCGCCGATAAGTTTTGTCCGGCCCGCTAACATAATTCAGAGTTAATACTTCATAGGGCCCACAAGTGACATTTAAAATTTTAATTAATTAATTAATATGATTATGTTACACTTGCAGCATCTAGTGGACGCGATCCGAAGCTTCCAAGGCGTTTAAAAGCCTAGTTACAGATGCATTTCTGGTTTCAGAACTATCGCCAGGTATTTTCCAGAATTTTTCTAGCGATATATACGGGGTGGGGCAATACAAGGACAGGTGTTTTGGGATTAAACAACATTTTTAAGCCATATATTGCAACAAATCTTAAAGAGCATAAATGAAAATTTGGATACAAGCTGAATATGGAGATTTATTATCCACGTCTGGTAAATTTTGTATGCAAAATCGTGTCAATTTTCAAGAGTACTTATTGTTTTTTTTTAATGATTTTTACGAAACCAAAAAATAGATATAGACCAAAAAGAAATAGATAAATATTGATTTCTTTAAACATACTTTTTATTTGGATTTTCAAGTGTGGCCCGTGGCGCATATGAAAAATTTTATTTTGGCCCCTTGGAAAAAAAGGTTGCCCACACCTGAGCTAGAGACTTCAAATTTTCACTAAAAGCGCACCTCCAGATGCAGTATGGTGCTTATGGACATACAGTACATGCTTGCCAAACGTGACAATGACAGCACAAGGAGATTATGTTTTGTTTTAATACTTCAATTTAATCATGTCAATTTGACATCAATGCGGTTAGAAACAAGGATAGTATTATCGAAGAATGACGCAAACTAGTAAGAGAGGCAATTAGTCCATAAGACCCCATACTGCATCTGGAGGTGAGAACGCGCCATACTCTATTTTGAGTTAGATTACTCGTGAGATCGAAAACTTTGCTAATGAAATACTGATCTGCATTACCAAAAATGTGCTTTCATCATGCATTATGCTGATTTACAACTTATTTTGTAAAGGTTGCAAAATTCCAAAAATGAAAATTGGCCAAAAAGGTGCATTTTCATTATGAGATTTGGATATTTTTGTAATCCCCGTGACCAAATGCATAATATGACATCGAAAAGGCGACAATTTTTGAGAATTTTTTTTCCACGGTAAGGCTATATGGAAATTTGTTTGTAAAACTTTTGAAGTGGGCTAAATATTTCGATGATAAATAGTTTGTTAAATGACCTTTCGGGAGGTACTGATCAATTCATGGAAATGCGCTCAATTTAATTGTTTTAAGGCGAAAACCTTTTTTCCTTTTTTTTTATATGGCTCGTAAAAAAAAGTCCATACTGTATTGAGTGGATTTTTTATTACGAATACAATGATGTACCCGATGTACGGCACACAAAAAAAACAAAACTTAGAAACTGTTGGCTTCAACAGGATTGTGCACCCGCGCAGAACGCTTTAATTGTTCCTATGGGACATATTTTTCCTGATGGGTATTTCCGCGGGATTACGGCGTTGTGTTGCAGGTGCACCATACTGTTGAAATCAACAGTTTCCAACTTTTGGTTTTTTTTTTAGTGCCGTACATCGTTGTATTGGTAATAAAAAAAAGCTACTCGATACAGTATGTACTTTTTTTACGGCCCATATAAAAAAATGTTAGTTTATAACTCAAATATTCTACGCCAATCACGAGATTTTGAGTTGAATTTATCGCAATTTCCTGTTAAACGAATCAGAGGTTCCTTTTTTAGATATTTTCCGTTCACTTCATCCACCAATCCAATGCTATGGTGTATTGCAGAGTGGATGTTTAAAGCTTTAGCGCCCAAAAAAAGTAAAATAGGTTAGAAGACAATAAAATGATAACCAATTTCTAAATAGTCATTAATTTATTGATATTAATACTCAAAGTACCTCGTTATGTATTTCATACCGTGGTTTCACTACACAAAAATAACAGAGATATGAAATAACTGCACCACACCCTATCATCATAAAAATGATTACATCTAACAAAATTACATTAAAATTGAAAGCGGCTAAAATTCGGCGCTCTATACTCCTCTCGGCTGTTGGTCGTGTTTGAGCGAACGTTGCGCTCATCGTCCTCATTCGCCGCAACGCTAGGACTCATCGAGTTATTGGCAGTGTCCAAACGTAACGATCGTATACGTTCGACCGTCGCTTCTAGGTCTTCTTGGTGGGGCGACTCGCGTCCGCTGGCGGGCGTCTGCGGTGTGTTAGATGGCGTGATTGGCGTTAAATTATCAGTGCGGCCTTCTAGGGGGCTATGAGGGCGGTTAGACTCGACGGGACGCGGATTTTCGATGTATGATTGAGATTGATCCAATTCTGTACGTAATCCAGCAACACCTTAAACAGTCAGTGCCATGAATCAAAGTGTCCCTTAGACTTAGAATTAAATAAGTACAGTTGAATTCACGATAGGTGAGCCCCGCGTCACTAGTTTGGGAACCAGTTTCCTACTATTTCAAATTGTTACAGAGAACTGATTTGAAATTGGGAATTGGAGTCTACATATCCCTGTGAATGACGCATTTACCTTCCTGATGATAGTTGCAAACATTCACAGAATCAAACGTAAAAAACGCATCAGCGAAATCTATGTAATTTCACTTTGAATTCCATTCCGCAAATTGAGTGGTACAATATGTCAAGTTTTTTTTAAAAATAGGTCAACATTTTTTTGCGGGTGTCAAAAAATTGACACAAACTGTACATTTTTTCCAAAATACACCAAGGATCCAATATGGTTTGTTTGTGAGCTACGTTCCCAAAAGTTCCAAAATTCGCATTTGCATAGAAGAATGATGACTAAGAACGGCTTCACTTAACTTTTCGAATTTCCATAAATTGATCCAAAATTTATTATATTTATTTCAAAAGTTTAAAATGCCCCCCCCCCCCTTGATGATGCAAAAAAATATCTATGATTTCTGATTGTGATGTTGTACCCCTTAACGCTTTATTTCCCCATTTATGTGGATACTATAGCCTTGATAATCCACCGACCAATACCTACCCTTTTTTGGAGCACTAGCAAAATCTCGTTTGATTCGCCGTCTTCTGGAGTGGTCATTTCTTCTCATCTGTAGCATGGTGTCCAAATTGGCGTCGTATAAAAAACCGGCAATAAGTAACTCGCACGTCCTTTCACCCGCTTTATAACAAGCTTCCAATTCACGACTTGTTCGTTCATCATATTGCCACCACCCTGTAGATTTTAATAACAAATCAATAGTACACCAAACACCTTTTTTTATTTAATAACAAATTACAAACAACACCATTTATTATCTAAGAGATTCTTTTGTACAAACAAGATACAAACAACCCCCTTACTTGTTAATACCAGCGATACCCTTAAAATTAGCAATATTATCGGAGGTATCGCGCTTAATGAATCGTTTACGACTGGGATTTTTTTTAGGATACTGTACTTTATTTTCGAAATCGATAACGTAGGTTTCTCCACAGATTAAAATTTGGAACTGACTATAATTCAATTTAAAGGCTTCCTCGATATCTTCGTTCGTTCGAGGATCGTATTGCCACCAACCTTGAATTTAACATCCCCACTTAACGAATAAGAAGGACAAATGGCACTACTCACCGTTTCGCCCTTCGTAAAACCACTGGTATCCGCCGTCGAATCCTTCCACTGCCTCGGGACCATGGAGAAGTTTGGGATGCTCGATGAAATCCCTTGGGATTTCTTGCCTGCACATGGCACAGCGTTTACTTTGATTCGCGATGCCTTTAACGCATAGAAAGCAAAATATATGCCCACATGGGAGTTGCGCGGGGTGTATGCAGGGTTGAAGGCACACGGCGCATTCTATGTTGTCTGTATCTAGAATGAGTGTTGTAGAAAGAGAGTATAATGAATCCATTTTTACTAACGTTTTTCTTGTGGAGCCTCTTTGGCCATATCTGCTTGAGAACTTCCTTCTGCCATAACGTAGCTTAACCAGTATAGCATGTTTTGCTAATGTCTCACCTCCTTACTCTTATTCCATTCTGTGTATTGTATGACACTGGAAATTAATTAGAGAAATAACAAGTCAAAGTCAATTTGTATGCTGACAGATAACAGATGAGAAAACAAATATTGTATAGGCGTGACGAATGCACTGGCTGTGGCTCAGCTACCCAAGAGCAAGATTATACAAGGTACTCAAACCTTGATAACCCAGAAAAATGATTCGTTTGGTTTGTTGCGATTAAAACCACACTTGAGTCACTTATATACTCAGTTTAAGGTAGCCAGACCTTTGAGCCAGACATACAATTTTTAAGCTTTAAAACGGAAGTATTTTTAAAATGTGTCTTTTCTTAATCAAGGGGGTAACCAATTTTAATAAATTTCAATAGCTCTGCTCATGCATTCTCAACGCTGTGCCAACCCTTATGAAATTCCCCGGAAAGGATTTTATATGGAAATATTTGCTTCTCCTCATTATAGCAATTCCTTCACCCAGACACTTAACACGCGTCTTTTCAAGTTTGGCGTCCCCAAGTGGTCCCTTTGTTAATACTTTTTACTGGTCATTTCGTAATGCAATCACTTATCGACCACACCGTAGGGAACCGTTGCCTTAACAACGCACGCTGATTAAATCAATAAAACCAAACCAACATGCCATTAATTGTGAAGGATTATAAATGGAGACAATCCGATAATTTTGTGATAATTCAAGTTCCACTTCACGGCGTCCACCAATCAAAAGTGGACCTGTTCACCTCGCCCGTCTACATAAAAGCGTCCTTTGAGAAATTCTTCTTCGAGGCGTTCTTATTACGCAGTGTTAATACAGCCGAAAGTAAGTGTACTAAAACCGCATCTGAAATTGTATTTGAATTGGCAAAAAATGAGAATATCGAGTGGGAAAGCTTGGAGGTTGATCTGTCGAAGGCGGAAAGGTTGAAGCTGAAGAAGGGTATCATTGAGGAAGAGCATTTGAGGTTTCAGGAGGAGTGTAAGAAAAAATCGGACAACAAAAGTGAGCTGAAAAGGGTTGCGGTTAGAGAGCAGATTAGTCTTGATTCAAAGATTCGAAATAAGATTGAAGAGATTAAGGTCGAAGAAAAATCGAAGGCTCTGGGCGATGTTCGGGCGTGGGAAAGGAGCGTGGAAAAGTCCGCGCCTAGGATAGTGAAAGGGAGTAAGAAGCTTCAAAAATCCACTTTAGTACCTTTGCCTAGGAAGATAGCTACTGTTCACGTGGATTTTACTCACAGACAGTTCCCAACGCCCTGTCGCGAGTCACACCTTGCAGAAGAAGAGGAATGGCTACGTAAGCAAGCCGAAGTTCGACGGTCCGTGGGGTTTGTAAGTGAAGACCTGCGGGCCGAAGAAAAAAATCCCCAATGGCTCAATGCCAAAGGTCAAGAGTTTTTGAAAGCGGGTAACTACTTGGGTGCAATCAGCGCGTTTAGCTTCGCCATCAAGTTATGTAGTGAATATCCTGATTTGTACATTGGCCGTTCAGAGGCGCACTTTTACAAAGGTTGACCTAGTGCTTTACCTCGAACAATTCTAACCGATTTTCTTCTAGAGAATTATTTCAAATGCGCACAAGATTGTTCCTCGGCCGTCGAGCTTCTTAGACCAGCCGTTCCTTCGAATTTAGAACAGCGCGTAACATGTCTAACGCGAAAGGGGTTGGCTTTGCGCAAAATGGGGTTTTTAAGGGAATGTATCAACGAGTTGGAATTTGCGCTTAAGTTGAAGCCGGAAAACCAAGAAGTAAGAGATGTCTTGGTTGATATTAAAACAGAACTTGCAAACCAGGAAGAAAATGATGAAAAAAATTCTAATCAATTACAAACTTGCTAAATGATAACGCCATTACTTTATACATTTTGTGCTTAAATATATGAAACAATCACCTATCGTTTTTTAACATCGCGGTTTTTGGAAAGCGTTTGTAGGGGGTCACTATTAAGATCTATAAAGCGTCTAACAAGCTCCGAAATACCTTTAAATGCTCAGGGAATGTTGTAGAAACATCAAAATGGACCTAGAATACCCTAAAAGGCTCTTAGGACTTAGGAGCCACAATCCTCTAAAATGCTTGCCTGTGGTATTTTCTATACATTTTGCAATCTCACAAAGGACGATTTCCCAATTTAAATTTTGACTAAGTATAGCACGCAGCTGGCACTACATAATTAATTAATTAAAAATACGCATTTCAAACTTTTATAATAATTAAAAAACCAAGATTTTACGATTTTGAGTAACTTTTTGAGAACCCAATGCAAATATTTTGAATCACCATTTACGCTTGTACATATAAAGTGTGAATGCGACCTAAAATGTTAGTAACTGAAATGGTTATGTTGGTAGAATGAAATGTCATGACAGGGTTGCATTGCAGAACAAGTTTCTGGAATGCTCTAGGACTTTGTGTTCAAGGAATTTTAACAAAATATTTAATTAAAATTGTCACACAGAACAGCAGATTGTAAGTTTTTCTTAATTAAACACGTTCGATTACATGAAACTAAAGAAACCACCCTCTGTATTTCAGGAGCATTTTCCCTGACAAGTGCGTAATTAACATCCTTTTATCATGGCGTCCCAGTCAACCGGTGTGGGTAAGTATTTTAATTTGCAAGAATCGACCGGTAATCCGGTTTATAATTGAAATATTTTAATCATTATTAGTTGTGCCCCGCAATTTCCGCCTCCTCGAGGAATTGGAGGCGGGACAAAAGGGCGTCGGAGACGGTACGATCAGTTGGGGATTAGAAAATGACGACGACATGACTCTAACACACTGGATGGGCATGATAATCGGCCCACCTCGTACGCCGTACGAAAATAGGATGTATTCAGTTAAAATTGAATGCGGAGGTAAATATCCGGACGATGCTCCCACCGCTAGATTCATTACTAGAATTAATATGAATTGTATTAACGGAAATTCTGGAGGGGTAACTATTCAAGTTTGTTTTGCTGCGTGGAAGCGTTAACGATTCAATTATAGGTTGACTGTAGACAGGTGCCCGTTTTAGCCAGATGGCAACGTGATTATACCATCAAGACTGTGTTGCAAGAATTGCGTAGACTTATGACGCTCAAGGAGAACATGAAACTAGCACAACCTCCAGAGGGCAGCTGTTTCTAGCCCTCAAGCCCCCAAGCATCATCCCCCTTACCCTCCGTTGCAACCTGCCCATTAAGCCTTGATACATGTAGAACTCACTCGTGCTGCTTACTTTAGCAGTTCTAATTTTAAATTTGGAAGTAAAACGTGTAGTTACCGTAAGAGACTCGTACAGCCGGTTGCGACTGAAGGTTTTCGTATGTGTACAGCTTAGACAGCCACATTGCTAAATTGTTTTAGATCTTTTCTCAGTAGAGTGCTTTTTATTTTTATTACCGTCGGAAGCATTATTTAGAGCTGTATGCCTATGTAACTCTCTGATCATAAAACAAATTTTTAAATATAGGATGTGTTGCCTGTTGTTTACGCTGGTTTAATTTAATCTTAAATCAATGTTATCCTTAACGTAAGTTTGTGATTATCAAATAAATTTGTATTTATGAAAGACACCTTTTGTTTTATACTCGTCAATAAAATTCTATCATTTAGGCTTACATTTTTTCTTCAAATTATTTTTGGCAAAACAAGCCTGAAGACTGATTTGAAAACCTTAAGAGGTTCCAGTAACCTTCAGTTTTAGTATCCAAAGGAATACCAATTCCCCCTTCCATAAATTTTAAATCCTTTTTTTATTTCAAATTTTAATGAGCTGAACTGAAATTTCAGAGTTTCTGCTGAAGTGACTCACCCTGATAAAAAATCGGAAACTCCAGAGGAAAGTGGTTAGTTAATAAAGCAACACCCTGTATAAGAATGAGAAGCACCAACTGTAGACAGGACTACCAACCTAAAAAATAAAACTCTCCATAACCGTTACGTAAATGTCAGCGGTTAAAAGTTAACAAATTTCACAAGAAAGTCAAATCCTTGTAATGGATGTTTTATTTTGATTGTAATTGTTAAGGTTTCGAATGTACAGTACCCCTAGTTGTTTAAAAAGTGCGTTTTAATTAACATAATTCAATTTTACTATCTACCCGGCCACCTTTTTCACAATATGGCTGCTAGTGTTGGAAGGATCTGTGGAGTAAAACTTTTAAAGAGGAATGCCACCCATATATCACATCAGGTATTACATAAGAGAAATGCTTTTGCTCTATTATTTCATTCATCCCATCGCTGCATGTGTTTGTGATTAAGTTTCATTTCCATTTTGAGCATTGAAATTCGACCGCTTGCATCCGAAAATGTGACTGTGAGTTAAGTATGTTAACGCAGTTGTGGAAGCCTGCTTTTTTTCAATAGGTGTAATATTACATAACTTCTTCTAGGTAGGGGCATTTTCAACAGCGAGAGAATGGGCAGGGAATAATCGCAAGGTAAGCGTCCTTGGTGTGAAAATGTACAGAGAATAAGGAGCAATTTTAGCTACTAGCAGCATTAGGCGGTTTCACGGGAAGCGTGGGGGCACTCATTTTCGCACTGGATCAGTCTGTAAAAGCATCCGATTTAGAATTACATCCGCCAAGCTACCCATGGGACCATAAAGGATTCACAGCAGCGTTAGACCATGCTAGGTAACGGTGCAATTGATCCCCCATTTTGTTTAAACGTGGTGTTGTAGTATTCGAAGAGGTTACGAAGTGTATAAGCAAGTCTGTGCAGCATGCCATTCGATGCGTTTCATGTGTTACCGAAACTTGGTCGGAGTTACTCATACAGAAGCAGAGGCCAAAGCCGAAGCGGAAGAAATTCAAGTAACCGATGGTCCTGATGCAACCGGTGAAATGTTCCAAAGACCAGGGAAGTTATCGGATCACTTCCCTAACCCCTATGCAAACGAGGAAGCAGCACGAGCCGCCAATAATGGAGCTTTCCCTCCCGATTTGACCTACATTGTATTAGGCCGTCATGGAGGTATTTACATCATGCTAACGATCAATTCTATATCCTTGATTTAACAGGGGAAGATTACATATTCTCCCTGCTAACCGGATATGTCGACGCTCCTGCCGGTGTAATCTTACGAGAGGGACAGTACTACAACCCCTACTTCCCAGGTGGTGCAATTTCAATGGCCCAAGCTTTATATAACGAGGTAATCGAGTACGGCGACGGTACTCCAGCCACCGCCAGTCAGTTAGCCAAAGATGTCGCGACGTTTTTAAAATGGGCGGGCGAACCGGAACACGACGATAGAAAGAGATACATGATCAAATCGTTCTTCTTGTTTTCGTTCTTATGTGTGGTTTCTTACTATTACAAGCGACACAAATGGTCTGTAATCAAAAGTCGTAAAATAGAATTTAAACCGCGAAAGTAACACTCTTTTTATGTAGACAATTTAATTACTAAAATTAGCTACTTGAAACGATTTCGATAATGCTTGATCATAATTAGTTAGGTGTTATTAATGTGTACATTATACCTAATAAAGTTATGAGCTGAACATTGACCTTACCAACACATTTCATTTCTTTTTATGTGGCTGTTTATTGGTTTTATGTTATTGTTAAATAAATTATAAACGTTTTGGATTGTTTACTTAAAATGTGATCGATTGATATTTACCAAATTACATTTACTCTAAAGAATTTACAATTGGGAAAACCTGGCTAAGATCAGAGCTGATTCCCTGTCAGAATTGCTAAGTTTGCCTGGAATTGAGGTGCATGCCTGGTACTTTTTTGGGAACATAGAGCATGATCTGCTGGTCTGAAAATGTATGGGTATTTATAGACCACAAGGTGCGGTTTATTGAGCTTAATATTAACCTGCACTGATTCGTTTGAGAGCGAATTTTATGATCCACTGCATATGCAAGGTAATCTCCTGGGGGCAAATATTCCCTGGACGATTTTTGCATGGGTATTGGCTAAGGTAGTAAATTCTAGAGTAATAAATAAAAAACATATTTGTTATATTTCCTATCTTCTAGAGGTTTAGACATTTTTTCGGGAACGAAAAATCTGGTTTCAATTTTTCCCAGATGAAAGCAGTGCTGCAGCAGAATAAACACTTACCAATTACCCTGAGAGGGCCGTTTAGGCTCAAACTGCCTTGTGAAGATATTGCACAGTGTTGCCAAAGAGCTTTGCAATGATAGTAGTCCCCTTTTTCATGTATTTCAATTGGAGAACACCCCCCATACTCCAAAAAATTCTTGCCATCACCTGTACAGCAGATGTTTGGGTGCATGCCATTTTGGAGGAGGAGAACCTTTGTGGATCCATTGTGATGAATTCTAACTTTGTCTCTCGGTCCCTACTGCGCCCCAGTTTCATCACTATAGTCACAATTTGTGTTAAAAAGCTGCCAAAATGGCATTGAGAAATTTGTATGCAGCACAACTTTTGTTCAGGCGTTAACAATAGGGGAACCCACCCTGCTGACACCTTAGTTTCAATTGGTTCTCATTTGTCCTTCGTATATTGGCCATAGGTAGTGGTAAAGCCAATAATAATGTACGGTGTACTTGTATATGGTGGCCTGGCATGACCAGGGCAAGCTACAGAAGCTCGCCTGTCTGGGGTTCACTGGAGTTACGCCAACTTATTTGGCCATGGAACTATAGCGCTTATACACTTCTGAAGGCGGAGGTTTGTAAGGCTTCCATACGGTTAAACGATTGGGGCGAGTGGGAAGCAGCTTTGAGCAAGGTAGAATTCTGGGAGGAAACCCTTAGATCAGATGAGGACTGTGTGCGACGTGTCAGCCAACATATTGGGATCGAATAGGGCGCTTGGTTGCGGGCGAATTCTATATAAATTATGGGAGTAGTCTATATAGTGCAGGGGTTAAGCGCCAAAATAGGTTTCAACCTTGCATTTTGTGATAACTTTATGAAACTTTCAGAGGATGTTCTAGACACCCTAAGGTTTAATTTCAGCTATGTCGCCACCCTCGCAACGCCGGACGGCACTTGCTATAGCGGGTTTCTTAAACGCAAGGTAACATTTCAATACCCGCCCATAAAATGGGTCAAAAATGTATATCCAGGGTTTGTTTTGTATTTTCTTACATCTAGGAAGGTTGAAGGGAATTGTCAAATACCCAGGAAGAATTTATTTATGCTATTTTACGTGGTTTGCCTATTTTTAAGGCGCTTTTAACAGTTCGGACTAGGGAATGCAATACCGAAGTACGAATTGTTTTGGATTCTACGCACCAAAATTAATAAGAAAAAGTGTTTTTCCGAGAAATTTTGGTGCAGTCGATTTTTGGTAAAAAAGGAAGGTTGTACACTGTCTTTTTTTGAGGCCCTCAAAAAAAATTGTCTCAGATCGACCCGGAAAAAAATTTTTCTTATAGAATGTGGCCTGTAGAATCCATAATTTCAAACAGTTCCAAGATTGGGCTACTAGTTCAAAAGTTACAGCCCTTTGAATTTTCTTTCGAATTGGTTTCTAGTCTATAACTTTTGATTGAGAAGTCTGATCGAAAAAGTACGAATTGTTTTGGATTCTACGCACCAAAATTAAAAAGAAAAAGTGTTTTCCCGAGAAATTTTGGTGCAGTCGATTTTTGGTAGAAAAGGAAGGTTATACACCGCTTTTTTTGAGGCCCTAAAAAAAATTGTGTCAGATCGACCTGGAAAAAAATTTTTCATATAGAATGTGACCCGTAGAATTCATAATTTCAAACAGTTCCAAGATTGGGCTACTAGTTCAAAAGTTACAGCCCTTTGAATTTTCTTTTGAAATTGGTTCTAGTCCATAACTTTTGATTGAGAAGTCTGATCGAAAAAGTACGAATTGTTTTGGATTCTACGCACCAAAATTAATAATAATTAAATACCTACATGCTTCCATAAAAGTATATTTAATTACAAAGTATTTGAATACTTTAAAGGATTTGAATACTAAAAAAGTATTTACAAAATCGAATACTGCCCAGCTCTGGTGTCCGATGAGCCGTCGCTTTCGGACCACAGGCACATTCTTTTCCAACTGAACCTGGCATTGCACTGTGGGCCCTGTAGGTCTCGGAATCCCCGATCCACTGACTGGGACTGCTATGTGGCAAAACTGTCGGACCGGTTGGATAGACCACCTTTGCTCTGTCGGAAAGCAGGGCAGGTGGAAGAGGCGGCCGCATTAGTAAGCGACGCCATAACAGCGCGTCCTATGAGGACAGCTGTAAACTGCGTACCTTTCGAGGAAAGAAGAGAACACCTTGAAAAGGCTCGTAAGGAGGTTCGCAGGCTCTTTAATAGGGCCATGCGACTAAGTTACCTGCGGACTGGGGAGATCTTAAGATCTCCCAGCGCAGCGTATGGGGAGAGTCGGAGAGTTAATATCTGAAACAGGGGAGGGTGAAGAAACTTAGGGTAAAAAGGATCGGGGATCCTTATTCTTTAGCAAAGGATGGTATTAAGGTACAGTGGGCCTTTTTGGTGTGCCTAAGTGCTGCTTAGTGAATAGAAGACTTTAAAGAGCTGGAGAGGGGACATCATTATCACAGCTTAGGGGCCTATCCGCCTCTGCCAATCAATTTAATCTGGACTTTTCCAATTCTTTGGGTTTGGGTTCTTCTGCTGTGGAAGTACTCCGGTACTATAAATTATCATTCACGCTGTAAGTAAATATCCAGTGGTTTTGTGCAGTGCTCATTCTCCAGAAGAAGTTTCGGCGTCCTGGTCCTCATTGAATAACTTAGAATTTTATTCAATGTTTTCATTGAAACGGACAAGTTTGTTAGGAAGGCGTAGAATTCAAATACAATACGATTTTCCCATTGGCTAATCGCGTTATACAACAAGCGAAATTAACCGAAGCAGATGACGGCGACGAACGTGAACTACGACGTCACTTAGTTTTACAGCTGTTTTTAGTACGCCATTCTTTAATTTACAGTCGCTTTACGTATAATGGTCGTTTTATTAATCTCTTAGAATCCAAAACATCGTTTCATTTACGTTTTAATTAAAAAATGAGTGCAGGAATGCCGGAATTGGGTTCAAAAATTAGTCTAATATCGAAGGCCGATATTCGTTACGAGGGCCGGTTGTTTACTGTTGATCCAGAAGAATGCACGATAGCCTTGGCCTCAGGTAAAATCCGTTAGAATTCATTCCGCCGATTGTTCAAACCTTTTTTTCTCCTTTCAGTGAGATCCTTCGGTACGGAAGAGCGGGAGACCAAGTTTCCCGTTCCGGCACAGACTCAAGTTTACGATTACATTTTGTTTCGCGGTTCGGACATCAAGGAGATACGTGTCATCGACAATGTTCCCACCCTACCCAACGATCCGGCGATCATGCAGCTGTCGGTGCCGCCGTCGCTCGGCCAGCAGCAGTTTCACTCGCAGGGATACATGCATCCGGTCCTGGGACCGATGGGCCCGCCAATGGGACAGTTTAATACAGGTTACGCCGCGCCGTCCGGGCTAGCTCCCGGCGGCATGGGGCTCGGCCCGGGCCCGAGAAACTTACCGAACAAACAGCCAAGTGAGTTAATAATGTCAGGACCCGTAACCCTACCCGATCTGTCTCCCGCCGTTGAACCGCAACGACCTACCGAACATGGTAATCTAAAATTTTATTTTCTTTCGCTTGCCGCTTTGCATGTGTAGATTCGTTCATAGCAGGTAACTCGTTTTGACATTTTTGTGAGATTACGGTATGAATGCAAATGTGCGCATTGCTGATAAGATGCTCAACTTATCTTAGACTGCAAACTAGCCTTGAGCACAGGTTTCTATACTAGAAACTATGCAATTATCTCTATTTTTTAAATAAAGTTGATAAACCCATTTTAGGATTTCTTGGATTGGATTAGTTGAATGCTAATTTGTTCCTTATAATCGGGACAAATCTTGTGTAGAAAGTATCTCTCTGGTATTCAATTTTGTTCTATTATTTATACAGTGTTCAGACATTTTATTGTTTGATATTGATGCTAAGTACTGAAAAGGAATTGTTTTCTTAGAAAGTTGAATTAACTGGTGCACGACCTATAGGGTGGTCTTTCTTAGAACTTATTTATGCGCCAATGGTTATGTTATTGTTTACAAGAACTTGCTAATGGTATTTTATTAAATAACAAATTATTCAGTACTAATGTCTCATTTTTAAATTAGGTACATTTTTAGATTTCTGGTGATTATTATAAGGACTCTCAGTTTCCTGATTTCTTTTCTCCTATCTCTCTCTTAAGACGGGAACTAGTGTGTATTCTCTAAATGGGCAAAAAGACGCCCAAACATACGATATGCATTTTATTTCTGATGGAAACGCTGGTTATTTTAAGAGATAGAAAACATGGACCTAGCAGCTCAATTTTAAAGGGAAAATCACTGGCTCAAACAGAATTCTCTAATTGTTCGGCCGCTAGGGGGCGTTTCTCGAATTTAGTCGATTTCGCCCCATAACTTTCTTATTATTAAATATAATTGATTTTGACAAAATCTTTCTTAGAGCACTTTTTAGGTAGAATCAATCGTGATACACTGTTTTGATACAGGGGGTTTGGTTTTTCTTATACTACCCCAAACTAGGTTTTTTCATATGCACCACTGTATGTATTTTCGAGTATTTGAAAAGAGTGTAAAGTTCCCTAAATTTGGATCTATCGTTTATTATATTTATATTAAATATTTCTAATATTGCATTTTATACTTACATTAAAATATTTTTCTATCAATCATTTGTTTATGGATATATGTATTAATATTAAATTTATTTATTTAAACACGAAAATCAAAAGTAACAGTGACAGTACTATAAAATCTGTATATCAATTGCATTTGTTTTCTTGGGTAACCCTATATAGAAGTCCTCCTTTTGATTTCATTTTATTTTTCAATTTCCACATACAATTGACGGAAAAATATTGTAACCATCTCGTGTGTTAATTGGCGATTAACAATCTCGACTGATTAATTAAGCTTCCAGTCTCAATTGTTAATCGCCCTTATTAACGCACTTATTGGTTTAATAACTAATATTGCAGACATCTAAGTTTCCATGGCGAACAATGGCAGGATTGTTTAAAACGATAATGTGTTGGTTGTCTACATTATTTATTTATATTTTATATTATATGACTTTATTTGTTTATGAGTTTTCACGTCCTTTATTTTTGGCGTGTTATTTGAAATTAAAAATATTTGGAATTAATAAAAATGTCTAAATAACTAAGAAATTGTCATTTTAAACAATCCTGCCATCTTTTGTTTGTAATGGAAACCTAGATTTCCCCAGTAAAAATATTTTCATGTATAAAAAGCAATATTGCAAATAATATTTAGTATAAATATAACAAATAGGTACATCAAAATTTTGTTCGCAAAAAATGTAGTTTAGAGTCGTATAGGAAAACCAAACACCCTGTATAACAACTCTGAATCGCGATGGAGTCTACATAAAAAAGTGTCCCAAAAAAGATTTTGCAAAAATGAATCGTCTTTAATAGTAAGAAAGTTATGGCGTATTAAAAATCGACCGAATTCGAGAAACGCCCCCTACCGGCCAAACGATTAGACATAGCTGAATAAGAATACATAATAATAATAATGGTATAGGTTTCGTTGAAGTAGTTCCTAACATTATCAAGCAATTAACCTCAATGCCAATGTCTTACAGGTTCCTATTTTATGGTAAATAAATCACGCATCTTTATTTATTGTTATTATTGCAAAGTGACCTTTGAACTCTCCGTTACTTTCATACATAATTTAATTTTACTACGGATGTAGATCAAAGCCCCTATGTAACTAAATCGAAACAATAGACGAACTGTGTGGTGTATCATATTAACGAATTAAGTCTATTTTTCAAAGCGTTCTTCATGAAAATGTAATCCAAAAGCTTTTTACCACCCGCACGTTAGTAAAGGGAAGTATAGCAATGGGGCATTGAACCATGGGATTTCATTTTTTTACCCAGGACATATAAGAACAATAGTACATACCAAGGGGCTAAGCGTGTGTTATCTCAAGGGTGTAGTTTGTAGGCAGAATAGAAGGTAAGAGCAACAAGGTTAAAATACGGGAGTTTGTCCCAGGGGGGCACTTAAATTTATAGCAAATATACGAGACGGTTGGCAACGCTAGTTTTCATTGAACGATTGGGGTCCCTAGTTTTCTTTACAGAAATACACGTTTTGGAGCACAGGAAATGAATCAAGCAAAATCTTGGTGATATCAGTCTGTCTCCCTGTGCTCTAATTTTTACTTAGACGGCTGAACCGTTTGGAACCAAATTTGGTGCACATATAGTTAGACACAAAAGGGCAGAATCGCCCATGCGCAAGTGTGCCAAGGTAACAAAAAACTGTCCATTTTTGACGTGTTTTTGCACTAAATTTGGTACCTATGTGTCATAGACATTAAGAATTGAAGTACAAGTCAAAATCACGAGTCCAAATCATTAAAAATCATAATTTTCTGATTTCATAAATGACTGGGCTTTCCTAATTATGTATAATGACCAAGGTTTACTTGGCAGTACATTACGTAATAGCAGAAGCACAAGCTATAGCTAATTTTGGTTCCGTTAACTTAGCACAACCATTTGTTTTTGAGTAAAATGATGGCTTTCGCTTACCTAGTTGACTTTGGACGGGAAGGATGAGGTGGTGTGTTAACCACAATTGCATCTGATCTCTTCCATAAGCAATTAAGCGCTATGGTCGTTAGACTTAGAGAGCTAGCACCATCTACCGCTAGTGTGGGGTCAATTTTTTTTTACTATCTCGATATAAAAAAGTAAGCAAAGGTAAAAAAAGATCTAGTTACCTGTGAATGTTTTGCTAAGAAATTAATGTAAAACATTTGATTTTTCTAAATGGAAAAGTTGCTTTTTTGTCTCGTTTCGTAAAAATCCAATATGGCGCCCACAACCAATAAGAAAGTAGTAGTATGTAGCGTGTTATGGAAATGCTGACACAGAGGCTGACACATATGCAAAAAAATACCAATAGAAGGTGCTAACGGGAACCGTCCATTTCCGACAGTTGATACTAGGGAAAATGAAAACGAAATTTGACATTTTCAGTTTTTTGGTCATATCTTAGTTGTTTTCAAATGCGTTTGTGAGTCACAAAAATGGGTAACTTTGCTCCCATTTGTCATTTAACCTACAGTGTATCTCTCATTCTTTCGGAGATCCCAATAGTGAGCCACGAATTTGAATCACTCTGTACAGTGTGTCTCATTTTCTACACTTATAGGGTATCTCCATGTTAGTGGTATCAAAAAATTAATATGTTTAGGCCTCTTGTGCTCTTTTTAAACTTGAAATGGTAAAATCAAAATTTGAAAATATTCTCTTTCTTTAAGAGATACAGGTAAAATCAAAATTGTCAATTTCAAAATGACTATATTTTCTAAGTTAAAAGAAATACAGAAAAATGTTTTTTTTTTTGCAAAAGTTTCTTTATAATGATTCTTGAATAATCTGCCGCTTTCAAAATAAGTGTACGAGGCCAGGTAAAAAAGTTACCAGATTTAACGTCATTTTTGCAAATGGAACACGCTGTATATTATTTTGAAAAGAGAATTTAATATGCTAATCTTTTTAAATGAAAATATACAGTGTGTTCCATTTGCAAAAATGAGGTTAGATCCGGTAACTTTCTTACCTGGCCTCGTATACTTATTTTGAAAGCGACAGATTATTCAAGAATCATCAACACTGGAAGTGATATTAATAATATTCAAGTGATTGAAAAACATTCAAATATTAAAAAAGATTTAAAAATTGGTTCAAATTATTCCAAATATATAAAAAATTTCAAAAATACCAGGGTTGATATTAAAAAGAGATTTAAATATTGGTCCAAATTCAAAAAATATTCGAATATATTAAAAAAAAGAATTAAAAATTGGTTCCAATTATTAAAGAGATACAAAAAAATTCAAAAACACTTGAATTGACAATTGACAATTTTTGGATTTTCCCCGTATCTCTTAAGTGAGCGAATATTTTGATTATACTAGTTTTGACCGAAAAAGAGATAACGCCTATATTATTTTAATTCCAATTTAGTGAGCGTTTGGTGTTAATTAATTAATTCAATTAATTTAATTCAGAATTTCATTGATTAACGAGTGACAAAGCTGATGATTTTAGACTTTCTGTCCGTTTGTCTGTGTAGGTACATGACAACTCGCGAACGGTTTGTAATTTTCAATTTCTATTTTTTGTAATGGGTGGACAATGGTTAAGGGTCTAACTGATTAAATTTTGGTCAACACTTGTCAATCGGAAGTGACCTTGTCACTCGTTGACATTGTGTTTCTGATTTGACTATTGCAAATGTGAGAAGAAATGCGTCATTTAACGAACTTCATAGCTAAAATAATAGCTAAAGTTAACAACAGTGCCGACTTCACTTTGAACACATACAGGCAGATACAAAATTTCTAATGAATTATTTCTGAAATTTATATGCCTTTTAACCATGTGTTGTGCATGCTTATTAAGTTTTAGGCCAAGATCCTTCCTTGTAGTAGTAATGTTTGATGGTAGTTTCTAGTGCGGTATCAATAACATTGCATTGTAGTTGGTTTGCTTACTTAGCTTTGCAACAACATCAGGTTCTTGCTAGAGGTCTCAGTCTTTTAGCTTCTTTTCTAGATTTAATCGGGGGCAACTCGCGGAGTACAACCCCGGCGAGTCTTGGATCGCGAAAATCGCCAACGGCAGATCAAGCCGTTCAGGCGACAGGCGCGAGTAAGAAGGACGACAAGCGGGTGACGCGTCCCATTCAACCTCCCGGACGTAATTTGCAAAGGGATCGTAGAGACTCCAGAGGAGAACAGGTAATTCTAATTTTTTACTTGTGTCATTGAATAAGCACTTTAAAGAAGTAACTACATAGGAAAACCTGAAATTGGTGTAAGGTGTGTTGCATACACTGCAAAGTGGTTAATTACCACAAATATTGAAGGATATTTGGCCTCGGTCGGTAAATAATGACTATTTTAAACAGGGAAACCAGTTATACTTAGGGGTCCTTTGTTTTCCTTGTTTATCAAACTTGAACAGTGTTGCCATATTTACCAGATCCTTATATGGAGCTAGGTAAAGTTTGATTGTTTATTATGTAAAGATAATGGTCCTTAGAGCAGTTCTTGTTGTTTTCTTATGAGATTAAAACTACATTTTTTACTTTATTTATTGTTCCTTATGATCTTACATTTCAGATTGATCCTCCCTTACATAATATTGTTATTGGCATTGCATAAAAGCTTATTAAATATTTTAGTTTATTCAAACTCAGAGCGCTTGCCAAAAATCTGGCAACGTTGGAATTTTAAAGAAGTAAAGAAATCTGCAAAGTCGGTAACTAGCTTTAAATTTGTGGTTCACTTTCCCCCACAACAGAGGGACGACAGAATCCTGGGCAGATTTTCTTATTTCATCAGTTAACACGGGCTTTATACTTCTTTAAGGCGCTTATTCAATGCTTGTGTGTAAGGTGGAGCAGATATTTCCAAAACATTTTGATTTGCGCAAACTAGATCTGTGGGGCATTTTTACATGTATTATTTGATAGTATTTGGGCGAGCCGTCGAGGACGCAAAACCGGCCACCCCCAAATCGCAACAACCAACAAGTCCAAGGCTATCAAGGTCATCCTCGAAACCAAGCGCAGCAACAAGGCGGTTGGGGTCAATATCCGCGCGGGCAGCCTAGAAGTAAAACAATTCGTCCGAGAGGAGCGTCGGGCGGCAGCGGCGTCGGAAGTAACCTAAACAATTACAGACAAAATCAGCAGCCCGCGCAATCGGCGAGCGCGAGTAAACCGAAAAACACTCTAAAGTTCGAGAACGACTACGATTTCGAACAGGCGAATACTCAATTCGAGGAGCTTCGAAGTCAGTTGGAGAAGGTGAAAATTAAGGAGAACAAGCCGGAGGTAAACGGCGATAACGAGAAGAAAGACGATTCGGGCAACGAAACGGGCGCGGGCGAGGGCGAACAGGAGGAGGAGGATCCCATCTACTACGACAAGAATAAGTCATTTTTCGATAACATCTCGTGCGAGGCGGTGGAACGGTCGAAGGGACGATCGCAAAGGACCGATTGGCGCGCGGAGCGGAAATTGAATTCGGAAACCTTTGGGGTATCGTCGACGAGGCGTAGCGGGTAAAAAATCAACTTGATCTTTTCGCCTTTTTTTTAAATATTTGCTTTTAGATATCGCGGAAGGGGCGGTTACTACAATCGGGGAGGATACAGACCTGCTTACAGAGGCGGATATCGAATTCAAGGTAATCAAGGTAATAATCGTAGGATGTATCCCGATGTTCGACCTGTCCAAGTTCAAAATCAGCAACCAGCACAAGCTAGTAATACAAACAGCAACGTTCAACCGTCTGTACCTTCCGTACCTGTATCTGGTATGTAGTTACTTTAGGTTCCGCTCTATTAATCGTTTTCGTGCAGGTAATTAAATTGATCTGACTTTGTGTGCTAAGTGCTGACACAGGACCAGTGAAAACTTTTCTAATTTAATGTAGCTGTAGAAATGAAGCAATTAATTTGGAAGGAGTTGTGATTTTGAATCCACATTGCGAAGACTGTTTTGTTAATAACAATACAAATGAAAGATAAAGTTGTGCACAACAAAGTGCGCAAATTATTTTATTCACCGCTCCAAATGTTTTTTAATTTTATACAAATCTTTTTTGTTTTTCCTGTTGTCAGTATTACCTGTGACTTGTGTTAAAAAAAGATGCAAATAATGAATCATTCTATTTACGTTCGTGTAAAATTGTGCAGCCACAGTGTTTCGCTGTCACTGCAGGGTAGAGAGTAAGGTTTCATTTTGTTTTTTTTATACTAAATAAATAATTAATTTTTCTTTATAAGAGTATTTATATTTCAATCTTTCATTTTGTCAATTGTATGGGAAAGTAGTTCTAATCGAAAGGTGTTTGTCAAAATAAAGCTGTCTGTGACGGCTGTTATTTTATAAATGTAAAAACCTTGTTTGATTTTTAATTAAATAAACATAAGATTTGTTCTATTTTTTTCTGCAAACTGCAAGGTAGATGTACTTTATTTCTTTTGTTTAAATTGGTTTTCACTATTATTTTCGATATTTTGTATCAGTGCTTTGAGATTCACATTCCTCCACTCCTCTTTACGGTTTAAAACTTGTTTAAAACTACTTGCCCTGGATTGCTGATCGTCGCTCCCAATCCGCCATATTAAAAAAATATCGAGCATTTACACGGAACTAAATATTAGGAGATAACCTACACCTTTAATTATAAAATGCAACCTGAGCAATAGAGGGGTTTGTACTAGACTGGGCGATATAAAAAGCTGGAATGGACAAAGTGGATATCATGAGTGTTAGGGAAAAAAGCCTTAAAGCAGGAATAAGGGTAATAACTGAGGGTATTAGTACCTAGACGCTAAAACGACAGGTGATGATTTGTATGGGGTAAAAGTGGGGATCTGCTATGCACATACATAGTGTGGCGACGCGTTGCTTTCTCATTGGGAAAAACTACCAACCGATGAGAGCTCAAAAAAAGGCACCTTCCTTTTTTATCAAAAATCGACTGCACCAAAATTTCTCGGGAAAACACTTTTTCTTATTAATTTTGGTGCGTAGAATCCAAAACAATTCGTACTTTTTCGATCGACTTCTCAATCAAAAGTTATAGACTAGAAACCAATTTCGAAAGAAAATTCAAAGGGCTGTAACTTTTGAACTAGTAGCCCAATCTTGGAACTGTTTGAAATTATGAATTCTACAGGCCACATTCTATAAGAAAAATTTTTTTCCGGGTCGATCTGAGACAATTTTTTTTGAGGGCTCAAAAAAAGGCAGTGTATAACCTTCCTTTTTTACCAAAAATCGACTGCACCAAAATTTCTCGGGAAAACACTTTTTCTTATTAATTTTGGTGCGTAGAATCCAAAACAATTCGTACTTTTTCGATCAGACTTCTCAATCAAAAGTTATAGACTAGAAACCAATTTCGAAAGAAAATTCAAAGGGCTGTAACTTTTGTAACCTTTTCCATAAGTTTGTCGACAAGTAACAGGTGTAGTATTAGGAAAAGAAACACCTCCTCGCACATCATATGATCCTGATACAGAATGGCAAATTTTTAAATCGAATTTAAGCTTTGAAATAACTCATAGTGATAGAAAAAGACCTCTTCGTGAATTCTGTTCTCCTAGTAGCAAGACACCTTTTACGTAAGTTTGTCTACAAAGAACAGGTGTATTTGGGACTGAAAGACCTCCTTTCACGTTATATCTTCCTGATACCTACCAAATTTGTAAGTGTTTTCGGCAAAGTGCGAAGAACCAGGTGTTTATTGTACTGTAATCTTCAGTTTTGTTATTGGGGAGAAAAATAAAGTACAACTTCTGTAAATAATTTTTATATTGCAAACTGTACAAACAAAATAAACGCATATTCTGTTCCGAGTGAATCTTGAGAGTAAATGCAGCCTATGGTTAGCTCAGAAATCTGGTATCAGGAGAATATAATGTGCGAGGAGATCGAAGGTTAAAATAAAATTTTAGTGAGGTTAGGTTGGCGTGCTAGTTAGGTTAGCTCAGAAATCTGGTATCAGGAGAATATAATGTGCGAGGAGATCGAAGGTTAAAATAAAATTTAAGTGAGGTTAGGTTAGCGTGCTAGTTAGGTTAGCTCAGAAATCTGGTATCAGGAGAATATAATGTGCGAGGAGATCGAAGGTTAAAATAAAATTTAAGTGAGGTTAGGTTAGCGTGCTAGTTAGGTTAGCTCAGAAATCTGGTATCAGGAGAATATAATGTGCGAGGAGATCGAAGGTTAAAATAAAATTTAAGTGAGGTTAGGTTAGCGTGCTAGTTAGGTTAGCTCAGAAATCTGGTATCAGGAGAATATAATGTGCGAGGAGATCGAAGGTTAAAATAAAATTTAAGTGAGGTTAGGTTAGCGTGCTAGTTAGGTTAGCTCAGAAATCTGGTATCAGGAGAATATAATGTGCGAGGAGATCGAAGGTTAAAATAAAATTTAAGTGAGGTTAGGTTAGCGTGCTAGTTAGGTTAGCTCAGAAATCTGGTATCAGGAGAATATAATGTGCGAGGAGATCGAAGGTTAAAATAAAATTTAAGTGAGGTTAGGTTAGCGTGCTAGTTAGGTTAGCTCAGAAATCTGGTATCAGGAGAATATAATGTGCGAGGAGATCGAAGGTTAAAATAAAATTTTAGTGAGGTTAGGTTAGCGTGCTAGTTAGGTTAGCTCAGAAATCTGGTATCAGGAGAATATAATGTGCGAGGAGATCGAAGGTTAAAATAAAATTTAAGTGAGGTTAGGTTAGCGTGCTAGTTAGGTTAGCTCAGAAATCTGGTATCAGGAGAATATAATGTGCGAGGAGATCGAAGGTTAAAATAAAATTTAAGTGAGGTTAGGTTAGCGTGCTAGTTAGGTTAGGTCAAAAATCTGGTATCATGATAATGTTCAAGGAGTTGATTGAAGGTTAGGTTAGAGTCGTAGTTAGGTTAGGTCAGATTAGTTTGGGCGTTTTAAATTTTTACAAATCTTCCCAACAAACCTCGCTACATAACAGTTTTATAAATGCAATATAAATGTGTTACTTTATTAGTAACATGTTATATAACAAGCAGATAACATGTAAGTTGCTAGTAAATTGTAATTTCCCACTCAGCACAACATAACCAATATATAACAGATAAATCACATGTGATAAAACATCAACATTGTTGCAATGTAACGGGTTTATAACTGTTACTTTGTTGCAATGTAACAGGTTTATAACTGTTTGTACCAATACATTGCAACTGTATAACTTCTATGTAACAAGCACATAGCATTATACAGTCGCATTTGCTATACAGGGTAACCCATATTTTCCACTACTCAAATAATCTGTAAAAAATTGTATTAATAAAAACTTTTGCAGTAAACGGTATTTATTTCAAAATAAACAAACCAAAATCGAAAGATAAGTACAATTTGAATACATGTTTATATTATCTAATTAAAAAAATGTTCCTAAATTCTAAGTATAAGCTATACAGTATGGCCCATTAGTGCGTGGTTGGAGGATTGTGGGTTTCTTAAAGGACACATTTGAAATTCATTGTTGGAGCATGATGATGGACTTTTACGGCTACAAACTAAAAATATTTTCAACAAAATTGCAATTGTTATACAGGGTGAGTTATATCAAAGTTGCAAATGTACTAACCAACGGCGAACGGTCGAAGTTAAACTTTTTTGTGTGTTAACAGGAATCGCTCAGCCAATTTTCAAAATTTGAGTCAAAGGTAACTTGGTTTTTTCAAACGGAACTACCAAGTTTGTTTTATTGCATAAGGTGTAGGATTTGAGTACTTTTCTAACAGTATGAGCATGTCGGTATTCAGCCTTTTACATATGTCTTGTAATTCATCAGTTTCTAATAATCCACAGTGCTTTTCCATTTGCAAAGCCTCTCGGTAATTAATAGGCCGTTAAAAATTATAAACACCAATTCAAATTATAAAAACATTTACCCCAAACAAAACAAAATAAAAACTCAAAAACCAAAATAAAACGTCTAAATAAAAAAAACCATTATCTTGAAATGCACTTAATATTACAATAAAACATGTAAAAGATAAATACCAACATGCTTATATCATTAGAAAAGTAATCAAATTCTACTCTTTATGCAATAAAAAAAAAGGGTAGTTCTTTTTGAAAAAATCACGAATTGCGGTTAAACAATAACTGATTTTAGATATCCTGTGTGATACATAAAGTCACACTAAAATTGACCAACGAATTGAAATTTTGTAATAATAGGTATGGGTTCTATTTTAAAAAAATGCAATTGTGATATAAATCACCCTGTATACCTAACAGTTGCAATTTTGTTAAAAATATTTTTACGTTGTAGCCTTAAGAGTCCTTCAACATGCCCCGACAATGAAATATGTGCGTAAATAAACCCATAATCTTCCACCCACGTACTAATGGGCCACCCGGCCACCCTGTATAACCATTAATCCGCTATTTAAAAATAAAATTCTATAAAACGACCATATCTTAATTATTTCTCGCTGCTGCGCCTTTGGTTTCTCTGGTGAATCTTTGTTTGGCGAAACGAAGCCATTCTCCGCAAAACGTTTCAAACTCTTGTTCTTTCAGTTGCGGAAATGCTGATAGAACAACAGCTAATAACCAAATGCAGAAGTTCGGTTCATAAGACAAATATAACTTACCATTTACAATGCTCATGATGGTTAATTTGGAAACTCCAAAATTATTCCGATGCCCCATCCACGAACACTTCATTGCGCATTCATTTGTGAATATTTTCCGTAATAGTCGCACAACATTGTCCTTTGGGCAATTCCCACCAGTGTTTGAAATATATTTCCTCTAAAACAACACAGTACAATAGTATATATAACTACCATAAAAATTACATTTTCCGTACAAATAAAATTGCTGCTTCTCTGTTGGTCTTTACTAAATTTTCAAAAGAGTTGATTTCCTCAATTGTCCTTAATGGCAAATTGTCTTGAATAACCGTATCTTCTTCTTCTTCATTCAAGGCGGGAGCATTTTTTTCTAATTTTTCCAGTCTGGAGTTAATGTTTTTTAAATTTAAATTGATCGAACCAAACATTCTCTCAATTTTTTGGCAATGCTCTACAGTAAATTATAATATACCATTACAATTATTATATACCATATATTCAAAATATTACCTTTAATAATGCTTTCCAAGACTATTTTGTCAGCTCTCGTGTCGACAGTACTAGACAGTGTAGTGTTATCTGCTATTACGACTGGAGTGTTTTCTATATCAAATTGGCTACAAAAATTCTGATTAGTTCTGGG